ATTTGGAATGTTAACGCCATTGCAGCAGACCTCTGTAAAAAAATTCAAGGCCATAAATCTGCCGACTCCATATTGACTGAAATAAGTGAAGATATATACTTACACAAAAGTAGTTATTTGTTTTATTTTGGAGGGTAAATGAAATCCCTACTTCATGTAGCAACAGCTGTTACAGGCCTGTATGAAACCTGTAACATGATATTGTAAACAGAGGAAGTCAATCTCTTTGTTTTACCCCCGAATTCTAACAATATTTGCATTGGTGTATAGACGAACCCCCCCCACCACCACCACCACCGGATACTATAGGTATACATTTCCGAATGGAGACTTAAACAAAAACTGAAAAAGGAGCTCGGAGCTTATATTGAGATTGCAGGTCCTGGAATGAGTGAAGACCATTCTCATAGAGAATATCCATTAGATTCTGAATCCCTTTATCCCTCCAATGTGAGGAAAGGAAAAGGGAATTGCCTGATACAATGATTTTCAAATGAATACAGAAGAGCTTAGTTTTTATTTTCATGCATGCTGCATTTTCTTGCTGTAACTTCTACTGCAGTCATGCTTCAACCAGAAAAAAGTCATTTGTTTAAAAAAATGGTTTTCCTAAAAGGGTCTGTTAGTTTCTGGTAGCTTGGATTGAGGTCAGAGCCCCTGGGATTTGATGATGAAATGAGTGAGGTGATATCTCATCACTCTCACCATGTGTCCATGTCTGAAACATTCAGCATGGCTGAACACTGTGTGCTGCAGTCCAAACAATTGCAACTGAGTTTTGAGAATGTTTGTCCATTATGTTTCTTACTGGAGGTGATGTACCCATTGTCAAATACACACGTTCGTTCAAGTGGATTATTTTAACAACCCGCATAATAAGGGTTTTTTATCAGCACTGTACTTCCTGCACGGACTCTCCCATATGGAAATTTCTGGTTGATGAGTTGCTGGTTTTCATTATAGGAACTTGGGAGTAATTGGGAACTTGGGAGTAATTGGGAAGTGAGGTTCAGATGTAAAATACTTTACCACAGAAAATATCTGAGAGCTTGCTTTATTATTTTTTTAGTATTTTGCAGAAAATACCACTTCTGTCAGACACAATCAGACTCTGAACAAAAGATTGGTCCACTGTTTAAATACAGAGTACAGAATTCCTTTTGTCTCTCCCTTTAGCACAATCCAGCTTAAACAAATGTATTCCTTCTGTGTAATTTACCTCCTGGAAATTGTGAATACATGCAATTATTTGCTTTTCAGTTTGACTGAATTTTGCTTCTGTGATTTCTTGTTTTTGCAAAAACACTTTGATGACCATTAAAACTATGAGTGCCACTAACAGATAATTTCCTGTGCAATACTTTTAGATGTTTTGTTTAGTTGTACTTCAGAGACCATTTCTATGAGCACTCATACACTGTTGATTGTAATGGATATATCCATAAAAAATAGTTCAAATCATAAAGCTACTCCACCATTCGTAAAGCAGTTCAGAGAGAGCAAATAAAATGCCACTTATACAGACATACTGTACATTTTCTGTCATTGTCCTCAGAAATATTGTTTTTCATTTCAGATTTTTCTTGTGTAGCTCATACTGCGTTCAATATTTATTTTCAATTATGAAAAACTGAAAACTGCAAAGAAAAAATAAAAAACATCCCACTGAACCCTTTTAAAACCATATCAGCCTAAAAATAAGTGCTAAAAGGTTTTATGGTTTAAGTGAGTTCCCTTCTTGTCCCAGTTGTGCTGAATCTCTGGATGTGATGAATTCAGATTCATCTGTATATCATGTGGTTTCAAATCATAGTTGAATGTGAAAAGTGTTTTAGACATTTTCCTGCTTCTTTATTAGAGTCATACAAGAAGCCATTAGTGATTACAACTGAATGTAAAATTTAACATTAAAGGAGAAAAAACAAATATTTATGGATAAGTTATGTAAATCAATTTCATAGTGTGCCCTTTCACATACCTCAGTCCAAAAATGCATTCATACCAACATAGTTTAGGCAACATTCAGTCAAAGCAAATGCTAAAAGGTTGCTTTTAGTAAGACTAATGGTTGTAGATAAATGACAATATTCATTTTATTTACAATTACCACAGCTTCTGGAATAGTGTGCTAAACATTTAGACACCACTCAGTGTAATGGAAGTCTTGCAAGAGAAGAAATGATTATGAACACAAACAGTTATTGCATATTGCTTTAGGAAACAAAATCCCCACTGTAGTTTGATCCATTGTTTGAATAGAGCCCCCTGTAGCAGGCTCATATTTAGATAATACCAAAGTGACTGATGAGCAATATATTTTGCATCATATTCATGCTTCAAATCTTCCTATGCAAAATTATTCAAAGGGCAAAAGCTTATTAACCGACAGCAGGAAAACCTCAAAATTGCTAGTCCTAATAAGCAGTGGGGAACTTATCTCTTTCCCCTCATTGTTAGCAATAAAAGTAATAGGGTAGGAGTTAGGGTAGCCGGGGGAACAGGGGAATAGGTTTAAATTGGAACAAGGGGAGGGCAGGAATGTGCAGTTATATTGCAAAGGTGACAGAGAGGCTTTTCATGCATAATTCTGCTCTCCATGCATAACTCTGAAGTGTGGGTTTGTCATATCCCCACATTTTCATACTGCTTATTGAGAACCTTTAATCCTCTCCTAGCCACCCTGTTTCCTCTTGTATCAATTCCCCTGTGCCGAGAATAGTTTGCAGTGCAGTCTCACCCTGTGAAATAAATCATATACAATTCTGTGGAAAATTGAAGTATAAAACTAAATACCCAGGAGTCCTTTTTCTTTTTCTAAACCCACAAACTCTTTATCTTTCTCTGCATGTCATTTATAACCCTCACTGAGTTCATATTATATGCCTGTTAACACTGTGAACTATTTTGGCCATCAGAACGTTTTATTCTATAAAATTAGCTGTAACTGATGCTGCTAGAACTATATTCAGCAATTTCTAATTAACTGTTTGTAATACACGTTTATTTAAATGCAATGCATGGTTGTGTCAAAAATGAAAATAAAATGAAATTTGGTTTGATCATATTCTTATTAGTTTTGTATTTTGAGGTGAAAAACAGTAGCCGCAGTGTAGAATTGCTGTTAGGGTTCTTGACCTGTTTCTGAAAGGCTTTGGGTTCAAGTTCCATGTTCAAACACTAGACACCACTGTTGAACCCATGTGTAGGGTAATTCACCCAGACTGCTCCAGTACAATAAATACCCGACTGTGTTTGTTGGGTGCAAAAGCAAGTCACTTTTGTAAGTCAGGAATTGGTATGTGTTAATGCTTGATTGCCGGCAAAAAAGCAAGATTGGACGAATTACGTATTCTCATCTATATCCTGTTTTAGGTAATGAGAAAGGAAAAATTTAAATGTTGATATAAAATAAAGCAAAGGTATGAAAAAAAATATTTCCTGAGGAGACTCTAAGGGTAAGATGCACTATTTTATTTGAGTATGCAGTAGCAGAAGAAAGAAAAAGAGGGCCCTGAGTATTTGTGAATAAAGCTCTGTGAGTAACTGTTTTAATGGTAATACTTCAATTGGCAAAAAAAAATATCAGATTTTCATAACTGATCTGGTCCACTGGGACAAATCCCACTCTATTCCATGTGTTCCAAGGATGAACCATTTGGCTTCCAGGCTTTGAGGGCAGAACGAGCGCTCGACTGTCAGAATGACACTCTGGAACAGGGGAAACAGAGGGCTAAAAACATATGATTACACACATATCTTATAATAAGCTGATTTCACTGCAAAACCAATTCTGCAGATTGAAAATGCTTAGAGTGAAGATTCTGAAGGATCTTCTAGAAAACTCACGGTCCTAGTCAGCTCCATACCTTGACTTTAATGATACAGGCTCTTAATGGAAGGGCTAGCCAATGACAAAGCACTTATTTTGCCCATCCCTGGAGTCCAGAGCCCTAACCAGACTGAGTCTCAGAAACATCCTTCTAGGCTTACAAAAACACAAGTTGCTGTACAAACAAAATCTGTGTACTGCTTTAAAATGTGTCTTGTCCTACAGAGATTCCTATTGCACTGCCTTGGAAGTCAGTTTACTTTTAGGATTTATATACATTATCGTATAATATTTTAGAGTGTGTTAAAGTCTTTAAATAATTAGTATTTCATAATAATTCAAAACTATTACTGACCTCCTGCTGAGTGCTACAAAATGCTGAACAATGTGAGAATAAGTTTTCTGCTATAAAATGTTATGGATGCTGCTGAGTCATCTTAATAGTCCTGTTAGCTAAGCTCTTGCCACATGCATAACCTGTACGGTCTCCCCTCCCCTCTGAGTTTGCCTGGGGTTGTGGCCCTGCCACAGCAGTGGCTTGATCTCATGGCTCTTATTTACTTCAAATCTCCCACGGAAAAGCCTGCTTCTCACTCAGCAATCAACAGGGCCTTATTGGATCCCATTACCCAGCTAACTTAGCACATTTGAGCTATGCTTAAGCTCATTACTTTAACAGTCCCTATGGTTTCAGGCTGAATACTCCCTCTGTGCTCTGCATGTAGAGTGTTGTGCCTGAAGCTGCCAGCGGCAAAATGTTTTCCAATAACAGAACTTAAACTGGTCTTTTGCATGATGTTACTGCAGTCCACATTTATTTCATGATTGAATCAATCTTGCTATTCCATCTCTGTTTTGATCTGCTTGTTAATCCCATGGTGAATGATAAGGTCTGTTTGTTTTTAATATCCCCACTGTATTAAAACTCTGCTTCCTTCCACAAGGGACTCGTCATAACGGTCAAGCATCTTCTGGAATATGTGCTGTTTTTTTAAGTACTGAAAATGCCTTTAAAGCTAACAAGATTAATATTAGCTGCAAGATAAGACCTTAGGATCTAGCTAAGATGAAACAGAATTAGTGATCCTTAACTGAGGTTTCTCCTTCTTCTTTCTCCGGGTCAGTTTGATGTCAGGATTGGCAGCGCTGGACGCCAAGGCCTCCAGCAGACTGGGCATCATCACTATTTCCTATTACCTGTGGACCACTTTCGTGGCCGTTGTGGTGGGCATCATTATGGTGTCCATCATCCACCCGGGGGGCGCAGCGCAGAAGGAGAGCACAGAGGACAGTGGCAAGCCCATCATGAGCTCCGCCGACGCCCTGCTCGACCTGATCCGGTAAGAGAGAACTGTCTCCCTTCCCCCGCCACTAGGAGAATTAACCCCCCTCTTGCCCCAGTAAGAGACACTGCCCCCCTTCTGCCCCCTCCTGCCCCAATAAGAGACACTGACCCCCCCCTGCCCCAGTAAGAGACACTGACCCCCACCTGCACCAATAAGAGACACTGAAACCCACCTGCACCAGTAAGAGAGCCTTGCCTTGATTACTGCTTTTGTGTAGTACCTGTTCTGCTGTATTATTGTACTTCTACCTGTTCATACTGCAGAATACTTAAACAAAGAGAGTCAAGGGGTTTTTAATGTTATTGGACTCTATGCTTGGATGCCTGGTGTTTATATAAAGTGGAATGTAACTTTAATTAGTCCATTTTAACTAATTCATGCTTATTTGTAAATTGCAGCAATATTGGTATACTACAGTTGGTATACTAGAATAATGTTAAAAGCAAAAATATTTCCTTTCTTGCTATTAATTTAGTGAGGCTAGTAATGCAATACAAAAGCAAAGTTCTGGGACTAAATGTCTACAAAACTCGTATTGTATTGCTACAAGCATTCATACAAGACCCTGCTGCAAAGTCAGTGTCTCTGGCTTTTTAGAACAAGTTACATAAAAAGAAAGTCAGTGTCTGCTGTTGCTAAGAAACAGACAGGTTATGGCAAAGTATTTCTGGCTGGCCACTACATACGCACTTCTTACTGAGGGTCATGGTGTTCTCAGTTAATACACCATGTGACTGGCTTTCCATCAGTTTGTAATCAAATAGTTAATAAGGTTCTGTACGCAACAGTTATTGTTGTTTATTCCTCCCCTTTCCAGTCTGCTGATCTCACAGTTCATGAGACTCACAGCTTCCTATGAATGGCTACATATAGAAAAACGTAGGCACAGATTATCGCCACATCAAGTTGTAAGGAGGTCATATCTCTAGTAACCTTTCCCCTTCAATCCAATTGAAGATCACATTTGTTGGTGGTATCTTAATAAGATTGGAAAGAGTGATAGTGAAAGTGCTTAAGATCAATGCTTCAGCCTTTTCTTAGATCCTTGGAGTACTATTATGTAAGGTACTATTTAAAGCAGGTAGAACTGACCTGCTTGTTACATTATTCCCCTCTTGTCCACTTTAGTAGACTGCTGGAACACATTTGGTTGCAACAGACTGGCAGTAGGCCAGAGAAGGAGAGAGAGACAAGACTGTTTGTAGCGAGGAACTGCTAACTAGAATCAGGAATTCAGGGAAAATCAGAGATTAAGTATTATTTTAAGGAGATACTGAAATAAATCAAAACTGTGCTGCATTCTCACAGGAACTATATAGTGTGCTGGTGTTAAATTTCCGTAGAGTCCCCCTCATCTTGTACAAGCTTTAGCAGAGTTATTATATAATAATTACAGATAACCTTAGAGTTCATGTAAGCTAATAAGTGTCTGGGGACAGAGGCTCTTGTCCTTCAGCAGGTGCTCTAACAGACTAGCAGGATCAGCTGTCTCAGAAATCTGGGCGAGCCTGTACATTGTTGGAATAGATTCACTCCAAGACATTGTGAGGACTTTGTAGTGTAGACTCTGATGTCTCTGCCCAAAGTTGAATTAGGCATTGATGTCTCTGCCCAAAGTTGTCTGTCTGATACAATAAAATCATTAGACATAGGAAACACACATCTGATTCTGTAGATAATACTTTTCGTCTCAATGGCAAGCTGGGTGTCCAAGTAGTTTTGACTTTGACACAATTACCATACAAAAACCTCCTGCAGAATAAGATTACCAAGATTAAAAACGTTTTGGTTGGCTGTCTGCTCCAACCACCATAGCTCAATAGATCACTTGAGTAACTAGTGAGGTTAGGGGATATCAATCAGGCCTCAGTCTTTCAGGAATGACCATTCAGTTTATGACCAAACATACAGGGGAGAAATATTACTGTATTGAGAGAAAAACCAATACAGAACAGATAGGAGGATGTGCATGGCTTGTGTTTTTCCTTTTTCAAAGCACAGATGTGCTTTGGATTGATTATAAATCTCCTCTAGAGCAGTACCTCCTTTCAATTAGCCAGTAATACCCCTAGAATTAATTAGAAACATTGGGGTCAGTGTCCTGTTCTGTTATAGAAAAAAAACATTAGCCAGATTTTCTGCAATCTGAAAGAATACATGTATTAGAGAGTCAGTTATACTGTTGCCTCATTCATTTTTCACTGAGACCCATAAAGCACTGTGAAAGCTCTTAGATGTAAAAAAAACACCAGCTAATTTAATTTTTCTTTTTGGTGTTGAATGTTAGGACATTTCCTAGATTAATCTGCTGTTTTAATCCATTGCCTGGCTGTTCTTGCTGGGACAAAATCTTCAGAATGAGTCATTGCTATTTTATTGATACTGCAGGAGTGACACTTTAGTTATAAATGTTTTTTTTTCTGAAATATTAGCCACGGACCTCCAACCTTTACTGAACAAAATACAGCTGTGCAATAAATATTCTGTAGAAACATGTTTCAAGAGATGGTGAGGAAAGCAAAAGAGAAATGGAGCTTCAGTCTTAATTACTTGAGGGCTTAGTATCTTTTAAGTTTTATTTAATAATAATTGGTAACTAATTGGTTCACTTATATTCAAATAAATGACTTTGATTTTTCTTTAGTACTTTTATTGTTGAGTAGTCAAAACATTCAATTCTTTCAATGTAGAACTCTTAAAGAAACACCTCAGAATATTACAATTACAGTATTTAGTCAATTAAATAATTTGATAAACTACTGTATGTAACTCAGATCCCGGGTGAAACAAAAACCAAATGACACTAGGTTCTCTGGTAATGTTCTGAATTTGAGACCCCCGGGAAAGAGCATGTGTGAGGCATCAATTTCAAAGTTTCTCTCATCTATCAGTGGTAAACTCATTGATAAATTTATGATGAAAATGTTCGTCAACAAACTGCTATTATGTTAGTCCATAATGATGAAACTCTCACAAAAATAACCCACAATGATGATGCTGTAGACTAAATTGCTTTTGTTGGAGTAAATTAAGATGGGAAAAAATCACCTTTCTGACTTCAACTCTTGCAAAATGGGATTTCAGCATAAGTTTCAGCTTTCACACATTTACTTTCTGTCTGGCGAATAGCAGGCTGGCTGTAAGGGGTATATCTATGTGCTGGCTGGCAAGTATTTGGGTGTGCCATTTTCCTTCCTTTTCCCTTTTGTTTTGTATCAGTCCCTCACTTCCACATCCCATGTCATATCATGATAAACAATGATATTTATACTCATTAATAATTAGATTCAGAAGACTAGATCATATTGATGAGAAAATAAAACCTCAGAATAAATACTTTCTTGTAGTATTCCATGCTATCAGCTGGAAGAAAAAGATCTAGAGTCTTGCAGTACTTCATATACGAAGTGAACATCATAACCCTGTATGACAAGTTATGCAGTTATAGGTATTGGCAGGGGCTTAAGGAGTAAGATATTGTCTTGGCAGCGGGTCGAGACCTTTTAGAGAAGAGGTTATGGGCTTGGAGATTGGGGTTTGATTCATGTTAGAGCTCCCTACCCAATTAAGTGCAACATTGGTGTCAGCAGTGAAATTACTGTGGTTGCAGTGGGAGGTGTGCAAGCTTCCAGGCGGTTCAGCAGAATTGCAGCAGGACACACAGTAGTGTATGAGCTTGAACAGCTGTGGTTACAGCAGAGAATCGCCTTTGGCAAGTGGCGTGGGACAGGGGCAGTGTAATGGAAACACTCTAGAGGGTGACAAGGGGAGAGAGATTCCTTCTTGTCAGCATGTTATGTCCTTTTGGCAATGAGCTATGTGTTTATCCTGGAAGCTGGAAACCTGGATTTGATTTACATTTGGATCTACCCAGATCTTAAGCATTACAATGCAGCTTCCATAGCGTCCAATGTCCTGATACGTGACTACTGTGAATTAATTTTTTCGGGGATATGCATGTGTTTGCTGTGAGGAAGGTTCCTGCAGAGTGTAGGGGGTGGACTCTGGGCGGACAGGTGCTTGTAGTGTGATTGTAAGTACTCGGTCTCTCCTCTGGATAATGCTAGTCCCAGCAGGGTACACAAGGTAATGAGGGTTAAGCTCTGTAACTTCTTATGCCAAAGATCTGACCCTTTTGTATGGAAGCTAAGACGCTTGCATGGAGAACACAAGGTTACAGCTGGCATGCTGTGTGTTTCTCCAGAGGAACAGGAAGCTCACGTCCTTTGAAAAATTAAACAGATAAGCGAATGAGACACCTGCATCTGCTCTATAGGGAAAATAGGAACTTTGCAAGTATTTTTCGCTTCGGGTCCTGCATTGTCATGAGCACATTAAAATAACATTTATTGAAGGACCTACCACTAGTATGCCTCAGCATGTCCAGTACTACCTGAAAGTAGCTTGAATAAAGTCAGAACCTTGAACGAAATCATTTTGACTTCAGCCCAGCAACAAGTGCTAGGGAGGGCTAAATTTAGCTAGTAGATTTAGAGCTTACAAAAATGCAAAATAAAATCTGCAAAGCTATGTAATACCCAGAATATTTGGAGAAATCTAATTAAAAGTAATTTACTCATGTATCCTTTGCGAATTAGTTGATTTCTAAGACAGGACTGCCTTAAACTTAAACTGCCTGTTATTTTTCTAAAATATTCTTACATTATGTCTGTTTCTGTGTGCCTGTAACCAATCTTACTGTTGATGTGGAATGCCCCTGAAATGCAGATATTCTCAGTCCTTATGGAGAATGTTTATTTAATTTGTTTTTTGCTTCAGTGTTTAATCAGTGCTATTTTTGTATCTTCTTGTAATAACATTACAAACTAAAGAAATGGCTTGCAATACAGGTCCAAGGGCACTTGCTCCCGTGAGAAACAGCAACCATTCCAGCTTCTCTTGGCAGAGAGAGGTCACCTTGAATCCAAAACCTAAACGAAAACAGAGGAAAAGAAATTAATATCCCAGATATTCACACAGGGATTAACATACTGTATCTTCTAACATTAACATATCTAGCTATTCAAGCCCTGAAGTGCAGTACCAAAACCATCGTTGTGTTTTCAAGCTTGATAAGGATTTACAAAGTTTAATTTAATTAGACATTTTAAAGTTCACCATGTTTTCTCAATTTCATACTGCACAATTTATTGGAATTCCATGGCTCACCCTAGTTTATCTCATAACTCTGCCAACCTAGGTTGCTATTTTTATTATTTGGTACCACTTTGCATTTCAAGTCACATCTGTATTGACTTGTAGTTCCAGTGTTTGCTGTTTTTAAAAATATGGTTAATACTGCATTAAGACAACACACAATGTCCTGGACTAGGAATTTATCTACACATGACAGGTGTGGGCAAAGTCTTGTTTTATCTGTTTATTATGAGAAACATAAGAACATTTGCCTGTGTTACTTTAAAAACCTTAACTGTTAGGGATTTTCTTCACAAAAGCTTGTAATAGAAATTGCTAAATATTAGGTAATATTATACATCAACCAGTAGAAGCAAATGTATGTGACTGGATTGTAATGAGACATGATTTCATATAAAATACTTTTCCAGCAGGGTCAAATTGTGAAGGCAGTATGACCAAAGAGCATAAGCAGGATTGCTTACATGCACCATCGAGTTTCAGTGCGTGGAGAAACACAGGCCTTTCCTAGTCTGATATAAAAATGTTTAGGTTCTCTTTCATTCAGATGAGTTACAAATATTCTCTTCTTTTTCAGCAACATGTTTCCATCAAACCTGATTGAAGCGACTTTCAAACAGGTGAATCCTAATTCATTCAATGTTTTTTGTCAAAAGGTTTCTGTATGATTCCATTATTTAAAGTGCAGTCTTTAAAAGGCATCTGTAGAAGACCTACAGTACATTAAAATGGCAGGTGGTAGCAATGCACGTGAAAGGAAGGTTGATGTTGCTGTCCACTGACTTCAGGGAGTTGATGAATAACTGGTGAAGTTGGAAAATCTCCCCTTGCTTGCAGGGCCATCTCTTGATACTGATATATGATCTTTTGTCTCAGTTTGATTCCTTACAATCAATTTGAAAAAGTGTGTGATTGGTGGCTGACTCTATTTGACTGGAACATTTTATACTGTTTTGATTTTACATGCTTGCCAAAGCATCACAGTTTTTGATGCACTGAATCTGTGTGAGGGGGTCACATTCCTTTCCTGAAGATGAGATAAGACTTGGGGGTTATCCAGTGTGTCCCAGTTCAACTGATCACCGGGAGGTTTAAACAAACTCGATAGGGACTGTGTGCTGACACAAAGACTTGCGTGCCTTCCCCTCATGCAGTTCTTCTTGTGTCACACCCTCGCAGTACCAAACCAAGATCACGCAAATCATGAAGTCGCCCAAGTCAGCCGCCATGACTGAAAGCACCACCCGCAGGATTCTCATCTATGGGATCCAGGACGACAATGGCACAGACATCCAGAACTTCTCCCTGGATCTTACACCCCCTCCCGATGTCATTGTCCGCTCACTGCCCGGCAGCAACGAAGGCATGAACGTCCTGGGGATTGTCATCTTCTCGGCCACCATGGGTAACTACATCTGGCTGGCTTTCCTTCATACAACATGACACAGCAGTAGTAGAGCATGCAAAACACAGAGAGATTTTTATTTATCATTTAGGAAGAATATCTATCCATCCATGTTCTTCATTCAATTCAGTGTTTCAGGTCACCAAAGCAAGGCTGGGTACACTCTGGATGGGACACCAGAACATAGCAGACACACACAGACACAAACAGGTGTACACTCACACCAAGGCCAATTTTCCCAGACATCAACTAACCTACCAGTATGTTTCTGGACTTTGGAAGGAAATCAGAGCACTCAGAACAAACCCACATAAATGCTGGAAGAAAATACAAACTCCATGCAACTAGTATGCCAGATCCAGAAGTGAACCCAGGGCCTCAGCACTGCAAGGAAGGGATGCTAACCATTGTGCCACCATGCTGGCCATGATGAATAATTTCTAGTGACACCTTCAACAAACTAACCAATTGAACGTATCCATTCATTAGAAACAAGAAAGCATATGCAAAGAAAATTCTTAATTTTAAGCACAGGTTTATAATGCAACTGTTACATGAGTAAAAACGTTCAGATGCTGTTTTTTTGTGGCTATAACCAACCTTTTGAAGTATCTTATTAAATCCACTTCTTGTTGGTGGATCACTACACCAGCAGGTATCGTTTCAGGGAAATCCTTCAGTCGTATGAGAGAATTGACAGGTTTTATTGATTACACATTTTCTTTAGTGTTGAAAATGAATCATCCATCTGTATATGCAACTAAGCAGCTGGGTCTCTGTGTCCACAGGATTAATGCTGGGGAGAATGGGACCAAATGGGAGCCCTCTCGTCAACTTCTGCCAAAGTCTGAATGAAGCTGTCCTCAAAATTGTAGCCATAGTTATCTGGTAGGTTCTTGGAACAATAAAGTAAGGAGAAGCAAGAGATCCCTAAGCTCAAAGAAATCACCTGAGCAAATGGAGAAACGGAGACAAATAATGGCTTCTGAAAACTCAAGTGAAAACTGTCAAGTACAGTGATAGCAGTTTTCTAAACTGAAAAGTGTAAATAGCAGTATTTCATGTAAGAATAAAAAATGTATAATTTTTACAGCCCAGCCACCATCAAATGCAATGAATGTTGATAAATCATAACTCAGTCCAGGGGTGTCAAGGTGCAGTGGAAAGGTTCTAAACTAAATCAGATCACATTCAGAACTTACCGAAATGATAGAGAACATATCATCTTGTGAAGAGAATATGTAGAGATATTTCTGAAAAAAAAAAGAAAACTTAATTTATTTTTTAGAGGAAGAGGTTTATTTCCTTGAGACTTAAAAAAAATGTTAAAAACAAGACCTAGTTGAGACTCATCTCTTTCTTTGTTTTGTGTTGTCTAGGTACTTTCCCTTCGGCATCGTCTTCCTGATTGCTGGAAAGATCCTGGAGATGGATGACCCTTCAGCCATTGGTAAAAAACTGGGCTTCTATGCCATCACAGTGGTGCTGGGGTTGGTGCTACATGGCCTCTTCATCCTCCCCTGCATGTACTTCTTCATCACCAAGAAGAACCCCATTGTCTATATCCGGGGAATCCTGCAAGCACTTCTAATCGCCCTGGCCACCTCCTCCAGGTACTGCCTCCTGACAGAAAGCTATCTCTTTCTCCCTGTCTGTTGGCAAAGGGTCTTGTGTACTCTCCAAACAGGTTTTGATTTTAAACATGTGAAAAGAAGAATCATTTGAATTACACACAGATGTGCGTATTTGTTTAAAGAATACATTCTTGCTTTTATAGACATGCACATGTTTTTGTTTAAAAGGAACAGCCTGAAGATTTGTTATGGACTAGTATTTGCATGTCTGATGAATGGCTTCACGTACAGAGTCCATAACAGAGTTCTTGAGGGCTCCTGAGCAACCCAGCCCAGTTATGGCACTTGTTAATAGCAGAGATTGAGGCCTAAACTTGTGCAGTGACCCTCAGCTAACTATGACCAGTATGGAATTGCCTGGTTGCAGCCGGAGCTGAATAAGTTTGAGCTGGCTAGGGTTTCTTTGGCTTCCTATGCAGCCTATTCGGATTTGTTTGGACCTGCATGTTTGCAGTGTTTTTAGGGAGAGTCACATCACCTCTCCAATCCATGGTAAATAGAAAGGCACTTGTGTGCTTCAGTGGGTTAAATGGCTCCACCGTGCATGTGTCAGAGGAAAGTGTGCACATTCTTCACACCCCCATACTTGTACAAAGGTCATCTTCAGCCAAGGAGATTAACAATTGACCATTCAAAATGTGGACAGCATGTAAAAAAATAAATGTGGCTTTCAGTTTAGTAAATAAAAAGTTAATTATCCTCTCAGGCATTCAAAAAGAATGGAGTCAATTAAACGTACATTGCAGATACAATTTCTCGCCATTTTATTTTAATTTCAGATGTTCCACAAGAATTCAATATAATTGTTTATCCAGAACCACAGCTTCCAGTGGAAATGTTTTGCGCATTCTGAACAAACCTTCAAAAAAAAATATTTGCACACAAGTCTTATTCATATTTTTTTATGAGGATGATTAAAATCTCCATTTCTGACCACCCTGAAGCGTTAGATGAAACACATAATCTTTATACACTTCCTTTTGAGCTGTGCATTTTTCCTAGATGCATTGTTTAATCTCTGGAGTTGTGAGGATCAGAAACCATCTGGTTGCTATTGAATGAAATATGAAACTGGGAAAAGCACAAGGGTAAGGACACTGCCCCACTGTGTTAACTGGAATTGTATCCCGCAACATCTGGGCAGTTTGGATTAAACTCTGGCCCTGAAGAGAAGCCTAAAGACAGAGCAGGAGGAAAATTTTGTCAGCAATAAAAATGAACATTTATATACTGTATAGCACTCTTTAGAGCTGGATTGTAGTAATTTACTTGCACACACTATTTAAAAAATACTTCAATGTGAATCATTAAAGTAGAGTATATGATTCTAATAACTACCCAAGAAAAGCACTCAAAGAGTGAGAAAGATAATTAGATAGCATTATGAAAAAACAGTGTAATTCAGATCACTTTCATACTTGGTGGCACTTAATGTGAGGAAAGGTAACAGCTAAACAACTCCAGGGGTTGATGGAGTCAATGCTAGAGAGCAATTTAGACAACAACCTAGATTCAGAAACGCCATCACAGGCACCATAACAGTCTCATTTCATCACACCTGCTGCACCTTCCTCCAAGGAAACCTAAGTAACCAATATAAATTATGATATGCACTGTATATGATATAAATAAAAGGGTGACCCCCTGCCATTCAGAGTTTGAATGATTTTGACCAACTTGCAGGAGTGACATGATTAACCGTGTCATTTGAGACTATAAGAACTGACACACGTACGACCCCCCAAACTCCAGTCTCAAGTTTAAAAAAAAAAACAATCCAATGAACTAACAAGCATCACTATGAGCAATCTGTTCAGTAGATTTTCTTTGTTTTCCCATTTTAACAGACAAGTGAACAGTTGCACAAACTGTCTAATAAAACTGTTCAGGAGCATCAAGATATTTGAGATGCCTACCAGTCTGTATTCCTCTGCTGTAACAGGTTTTGAGTTCAGGGGAAGGCTGAGATTAAGAGTACAGTTTGAGCTAGGGTCAGCGCTGGAAGTAGGTAGGGTGTTAAGGTTGACAGATAGAGAAAGAGTTCAATTTAGGGTTCAGTCTAGGGGTCAAGGCTGGCACTGTGAGGAGAAATGCAATGGTTCTGCAGTTGTAAACGCCAGCTCCATACCTCTTGGAGTTTTTTTCTGCCTGTGAGAGTGTGATAACAATAGGAATCTTGGCTGCCTCTCCCTGCAGCTCTGCCACGCTGCCTATCACCTTCAAGTGCCTCCTGGAGAACAACCACATCGACAGGCGCATCATTCGCTTCGTGCTGCCTGTGGGCGCCACTATCAACATGGATGGCACTGCGCTGTACGAGGCGGTGGCTGCTATCTTCATCGCCCAGGTCAACAACTACGAGCTGGACTTCGGCCAGATCATCACCATCAGGTAGGAGACACTGCAGTGGCTATTACAATCAACACTGTTTTTATTACTTGCAGATCCAGTTTTGCTCATTTATTTTCAACAATTTATTTTAAAACAATGTTATTGATACTTAACAAATGAAATGTATTGTAGACTGTTGTTGTGAAGTTTGTATGGCCTTTAGTGACTGAACCTGATATACGGTTCTCTTTTGACCATTTATGTTAATTTGTTAATATAATTTGCATTCAGCATTCTTGGTTAACTATGGGCATAATAAAAATATAAAAATATTTCAAAATCTTTGCAGGCTTTAGAAACAATGAAAAAAATTCATTCATTTTTATTCATTCAGAAAAATGAAATGTACTTATAGTATCCATTTTCAAAGAACTTTGCAGAAGGAAATTTCTTAAAGATGAGAGTAGTGCTTTCAATGGGTGTAGTAATTCCCCAGTCCTCTTGTGAGTATGTGTGAACAATTAGTAGTTAGTCTGTGGGGAAATGATCTAATAGTTTATTTTAACTTGAAAACTAGAAGTGACAGTGTACCCACTCAAGAGATAACACTCTGAACAAAAATGTTGTGAAGTCAATTAAGTTTTTGCCAGTAAAAAGATCAACAAACTGTATAATACGTGTTGATTTATAATTATTTTGGATGAGACATTAAACCAAGGTCATGATCACTTAGTCATTGAAAATCACCATGGCACTGTTGATAGGAATAGGGGTGTTAACTCAGGTGTCCTGTCTTAAGTCCATCCTGGGTTGATACTATCTGGCCTCCATACAGTTTCCTCTTAATTCAATTGATGAAGTGGTTTCTCAGTTCTCCACCTGATCTGCTGTATGGGGAGGCTGCTGATGTTTCATGGCTAATATCAGCACATTGGGCATTGCTTCTCAGTGATGGATATATAGTAGGAGATGCAGGGTAGAGCAGTTTTGGGATCTTTTTGGATGAAGATTTTCTCCCATCCCCCCCAATCATGTCAGAATCATTTTCCCATTGTGTCATTTTTGCTGTTGTATCAGATACAGCTCTTTGTCTCCATGCAGAAGCAGTATCAAAACGTGCATGGGTTAAGGACATCTGTGGAATCGTGCAAGGTTTCCCTTCTGCTGACTTCAGAGATTTCTGAATAATCTTTCAAACTTTCCACATCTGGGAAACACCTGGGTCTGTCCACACACATCTGGGGGAAAGAAGGGGAATGGGAATGATAAACAGTCACGTGTTTCTGATATTTTTCTGCCTATAGTCACTTGACTGAAACTGTTTTATGAAAAACAAGCCAATCTGGGGATGAATGTCAAGAGACAGCCGTTTAAAAGAGTAGGATGCTTTCACAATAACAGAAAATACAAATATTAAAGACATTTCTCTTATCTTTACTACTACAAAGCATAACCGCCACAGCAGCCAGCATTGGAGCGGCAGGGATCCCTCAGGCTGGACTGGTTACCATGGTGATTGTGCTAACATCTGTGGGATTGCCTACTGATGACATTTCCCTCATCATCGCTGTGGATTGGGCACTGTAAGTATATCTTTCACACTGGTGCTGCCTCTGGCCTTTTTTATTTTGGCTGTAAACTTATGAACTCTTAAACTCTACTTCTGTCAAACTTATTGGTGGAAAATGTCTCAAACTTACATAAACAACTTTCTGAATGTGCAAGTATGTGAGTCAGTAAATGTCTGCTTGTAAAGCTTAGATATTGAAGAGCCTCAATGTTCATAACTACCAAGAGCCTAACAGATGATCACACTCTGCACAATTTCCTGTACATCATATATTAATTATGACATGCTCTAGCTGGCCCTCTTTTAGTCAGTGTGAGTGATAGTAAGCTTTTTAATTGGCTCTTTTGAGATGCTGGCAGTGGCTTGCAGGGTATGACAGGGCAGGTTGAGTTAAGTGAGAAGGATCTTCTGCAAGTTTAGCCAACCACTTTAGTATTACAAAATCTAATTAAGAAGTAAAATACAGTCTTATCATATAAACATCACACTGCCCGCCAAAAATAACAACTCACATTCGTTTACTGTAGAGCTAATCTACTTCTGAATTGTTTCTAAACTAACCAGACTGCTGAAGTTTATCGACTAGGTGATTTACATAAGTCCTTCCTGTTCTCTAGGGACAGATTCAGAACCATGATCAATGTGATGGGCGACGCCCTGGCTACAGGCATCATGGCCCATATCTGCCGGAAAGACTTCAACAAGGAAGGGGATGAGGTGAGGCCCATATTTCTCCTAGATAATGCTCTTTAGCCAGAGTTCTACATGACACTTTTAAAAAACACTTTTTTCTATACAGCTTCACCTCTCAGTCATTTCTCTACACAAAACTATGTTTCTAGCTTCCTATGCTCAGGGGTTAATGCAGAGGAGAATGGGCCCAAATGGCTAGCCTGTGGTCTGAATGAAGCTGTCCTGAAGAAGCTCTACTATATAGCAGAACTGTAGGAGGTTTTCACAATTTCATAGCAGAACAACTGTAGCATAATACTCTGTAACTAATAGCATGATTAATAATGGTTCTCTGAATGTAAGTGCTATTAGGTGACACTTTTTATAAGGGGGTTGCATATATTCATTTATAATTTCTTCATAACCTGTAATATTTTAACAAATCCTGGCAACATTGGTAATCATCTGGTAGGAAATTACCTCTGCGAAAGAAAATAACATTTTGAGAATACAAAAAATCCAATTTTGTCTCATATGTAAATGTTGTAGCAAAGCATAAATGGCTTTTCACAGCTTGGGCATTTGTCAAGTGTCACTCGGAAGCCCTAGACTACAGCGATCCCTTTCTCCTTCCCATCAGGTGCCCCTGATCTGCGAGACAAAGCCCATGATCAGCATCCAGCAGCTGATGGCCTACCAGAAGAACGGGTGCTTCCAGCCCCCCCTGGGCGGCAAGCTGGAGCACGTGCCCCCCGACGTGGCCCGCCTCATGCAGCTGGAAGAGGGTGTGCGGCCGGAGAAGAAGAAAGTGCAGCAGCTGCCGCCGAAACGCGCCGAGAAGGACCACTGCGCCATTGACATGAATGGACTGGAGACCAACGTATAGGTGCTGCCAAGGCAGAGACTACAATTCACGAGCAACACCCATGGGAGAATTCTGTCGTGTGCTTTTTTTTCACTCCAGTTTCTCTCAATTTTGTATTAATTTTTTTTTGCTTTTTGTACAAGCGCACTGCATTGTCACATGCTTGCATGAGGCTGGGTGTCTGTGTGTGTGTGTTGGGTGAGAGTATTTCTTGGGAAGGCAAGAGACAAATTTCAGAACAAGAGGAGGTCACTTGGCCTTTCTAGTTGGTTTTCTTTCGCTAGAAGCAAATCGCAGCATCTGCTCCTGTTGGCCACAGAGATGAGAGAACCAGAGCGACTGTCTGCTTGGGAAAGAGAGCTCAGCTAGAACTGTTACTGTCACCAGCTGGTGGAGAAGAAGAGTTATGAACAAGAAGTTCAAGACATTCAGTTCTCAGAGTTCTCTTCACTCAGGTCAAAGGCATACTTAACGGAAGGCAATGGCAGGAGGTACTACAGAAGCATCATTGTCTTCTGGTTCTCCAAATCCATTGTGCAGCTACAGTACTGGTCAGAGTCACATGCAATCAGAATTCACTGTATTCTGCTTCCTCTTGGCCGATGTTGTCTACGATGTCTCAGGGTCTTCATAACAAATGCTCTTTTATTGCTGTTGTGGGTGATGTGGTCTTGTTATGTGCGCAGGTGTGAGAGTACCATCAGTGTGTGTGTGGATGTGGATGACCAAGCTGGTTTACATTACCATTCCTGAGTGCACTGTCCCTGTTTGAACACCCCTGTTTTGAGCCAACCTGGACTACATACAAACAGAAAGTGCAGACTATTTTGTTCTCCTTGATGCTACTGCATTTCCTGCCCTTTTGGTTTTTGTTTTATAAGTTTTCTTATTTAGCTTTTTTGCTCCCACTGGAAACAAGAACCCTGGAACAAAGCACACATCTGCAGATGCCAGAACCTAATGTCAGGGAGTGTGCCCCAGAAATTTTTGAACACCCACACTGCCTGCAAGCTCCTTCAATGTATAGATCTCATCTTTCTCTGTCATTGTCTGTCTTTTTTTGCAAGACTTTTTTATTACTTTATACCCCAGTGTCTGACAGATTTTGCAGTTTAAGCTTCAGGAATTCTTTCAAATGATTTCCTGCACAAGCTCAGAAAAGAGGAATGCCCAAACACCAACATATGGGATAAACAGTATAGATTTTGAATACAGTGTTATCATATTTATGGGATGTCGTGTTTTTTTGCACTGGATCTACAATGCATGGAGGAATACCACTTGTCTCACCTACACAGACTGGGTAAGAGGTGACCACTAGCACATCAGAGGATACTGTTGGACAGAGATAAAACAGACTCTGCCTTGGGTCCATAATTCCCCGAAGATGGCTAGTCTTTGGTCTTCGCTATTGTCCCAAAAGGTAGTGTATTCCCTTCAGTTATTCTATTTTCCAACACATGCTGCAGTGTTGATAGCCCAATTTTATTTTTTTCCTTTATTATTAGTGTATTGTTTTATTATCACTGTTCATGAACTTACAGAATCTGCTGTGCTTGGTGTGACAGAGATCTCACACTTTTCAGTACTCGAGCTGGATGATTATTATAAGGTGGACTAACCACCTACTGCAGTTCACCTACAAAATAAATATTCAGTTCAGTAATGCCTTGGATTAAAGCTCTTGTAGAAATGTGACAATTCTACAATTCAAATAGAATTTTTTCTGCCTTGTTTGAAGACAAGTCAATTAACTTTTTTGTCATAAACTACATAATATTTTAAAAACTTGTGTAACAATTCCAGCGACTACATTCTGCCATCACTTGCATTTAAAATTAGCCAACTGAATAAAATCAAAATGTCCCTCTTTAAATATCTATATTATACAAAGAAATTCAAGTCAGCTAGTTTTGGTTACTTTGCTCTTCTGCAGTGCTAAGTTTAAGATGCACCTAAAAAGCTGGTACAAATTATACTATGAATGTGAGAAAAAAAGAAAACCTCATGATACTTCTTTACAATAGCAGATCTTACAGCACAATCCTTGATTACTTTCATTGATGGTTTAGCATTGTTATTTCAGAGACATTCTCCCTGACATTTAATCAATGTTGTATTTAACGTCAGCTATACTTTTGTAAAATCACTTTATTAACCCTTTACAATTTCTTGCATGAGGAGTTTGTCTTTTCACATACCCCAGCTTGCTCTCCATGAAACACACAGATAGGGAGAGACAGATCAGCTATTGTACAGTGCCTCTGGAGCAGTTGGGGTTAAGGGCCTTGCTCAGGGACCCAACGGAGTAGGATTCCTCTGCCGGCTGCGGGATTTGAACTGGCAACCTTCCAGCCACAGGCGCAGATCCTGAGCCACAGAGCCACCGCTCTGCCCATGAACTAATAGCTGACCTTGAGGTGATTTGAACACGCAGCCTTCGGATCTGGAGTCAGAAACGCTACCGTTGCGCCACACCACAGCTTAATAAGCTATACTTATCAAGCTGATCTGTCAGGTCATTTAGGGAATCACAGGTATATTAAATTTGAGGTAATTGAAATAAACAGCAGCCCTCTCTCAAGGAAAAAGTAGTTATGTATTTCGACTTGCTTTTAAGCCAACAAAGAACATATTCCCAAATGCAAAGCTATAAAAAAGAAGATGACTTCATCATTCAGAATGCGCTGCCAAGCTGTTAAACTGAAATACAGCATTTCATCACCCTTTTATGCTCTAATTTCTAAAAAGAATACAGTCAAGTTAGCAAACATTTCTTTTACAAACTTTAACAGTGAGTGACTAAACTCCTTCTTAATGTTTGCCCAATGGTGCTGCTTGCCTTTCTTTATGTTTAGAAACTATTACTCAGAATCTAGCAACGTTGTTCTTTGTACCCTGTCAAAATGTTAGTCTTTCAAGGGCCGTTATCTCCTGCCAGCAAACACACTGAATCTTGGTGACCTCTATACAGATCGTCTACTTATTAATGGGAAGAAAGACAGAATGTACTCATGTATCCCAATTTCTTTGTGATGTGGGTCCACTTATGGGGCATACAGTATGTACAATACTCTATTGGGAGAGGTTTCTGGAACAGTGTGGCCAGAATTTTCCAACTCTTATTCTCTGTGGACTGGCAAAACAAGAAGAAAAATCTTCTAATGATCCACTTCCTGAGTGCGTTGAACTCTAATGTCACCTTACTCCTACTCTGCCTTAAAGAAAAACAGCATGAAAACAGCACAAAATCAAAGCGTGAGGAGCCACAAAATAAAGGGGTGACACTGCAGCCCAACACGACAGAACAGAAATATGCAGTGCTGCCAGTAAAGTCAAGAAAATCATGGGAAAACATGTTGGGGAAACAAATGGGGTATATGTAATTATAAAAAGTATATTGTAATTTGTATTTACTGTACAAACACCGTCTATGATTGCAGTGTCTCTTTTTTGTTCTTATCAAAAGCCATTGTTATTGTATCATCCAAAAAGTATTTAAAAAACATAAAACATCAACCATTTTGAATGAACACAAACATTTACTGATAGTACAAAAACCATTAAAGGTACTGTGGCATATAGGGTTCTTTTTTACATCACTTGCTTATTCACTGGGTTAGACATTCATTCTTTTCCTATTATTTGTCTGTGTGTTGTGTCGGCTGAAGTTTGCAGAAATGCTCTATATAGTATATGAAGAAACAAACTCTGTAGGAAATGACCTCATGGAGTTCTCCTGCCCTTCAGAAGAACTTTTAGTTCAGACCTGTCATTAAAATTAGCATTTTTTTCCAGAATTGGGCTAACATTTAGTCTATATGTCCCTGGATCTGAAAGAACTATATAATTCTTGTCCATTTGTTTTATCTCTTCAGTCCCAGAAGCACTGGAAGTGAGGGCAATGTCTGCCAGGAGAATCATTTCAATAAGTAAATTATTAATTTAATTAATTAACAGATTTCAGTTCAAACACAAAACAGGAGATGCTGAAGTCTCAAAGGGTCAGAAGTAGGGAGCCCTTAATTTGTAATATTCTTTAAGATGGAGGTGACATCAGCTTTATTAGAAAGTGTACCCCCAGAGGAGCCTGCATTTATGCATGTTCCAGAAGTAGCACTCATTTACTGTAATTAAAATTCTTGAGATTCTTTTATTATTCATATTTAATAATGATGCCTCAGAGCATCTTTGGAATTGGAATAACTATGAATTTGGCCTTGGATCTCCACTGCAAAATAAACCTTGTGTGTAGTATATTCTAGTAAAGTAAAAGCTCACACTGTGAGGCTGACAAACAACATGCTAGTTCAGCTGAACCCTCTGAAACCCTAAACAGGTTTATTTCACTGTAAATCAGCACCTACAAGACTGATGTGTACATTCTAAGTGTTACATATCAAGGAACAAAATAATTAAAAAGCCTAGAGATTTTGTTTCTCTTAGTAGTTAAGAAAAGAAGGAACCTATCTGCTTGTCATAAGAATGAATGCTTTGTACATCAATACAATTGCTGGCTTGTGTTTTTATTTTTGAACAATTGAATTTCTTTCTGTTAATACCCCACATCTTCAGATTATAAATAAAATCATCATTTTATATTTGTTCTGAAGATGTTCCTTATTCATCACTATGGTTATGTTGTCCTATGCAGAGCCATAGCTGTCCCAGGCTTAATTGTGACTTTGCTAATCTTCCTTCACCCTGTAGTGCACAGCAAAGACAAGGCATCTCTCTCTCTCTCGTGTTCCACAGTCCATCAAATAATTTATTGTGTAATAGCATGTTCAACATAAATGTGAACGTGAGATACAATGCTTCTTCTATAGTGTTTGGTGAAGGAGTATTTCCATATAATGAATCATAAAAAAAATATAAACTTTATCTTCAATAAGAGAAGTGAGACATATTCAGAGTACTAAACTTAAAGCGAAAGTTAAAAAAAGAAAGCAGCAGAGACATCTCTAGCTGCACAAAATAAGGTGCTTGCATTGAATGATGCAAAACAAGCTAAAAGGATGCCAAGGCTGAACTTAAAGCCAGTTAACGTGTGCGAATAGAGTCAAGCATCATATCTGAAATGCTGAAACGTGCAAGCACAAGTGATTTCTGACAAAGCGCCTCCTCTTAATTCCACTGATTCGGGTACTGAATAACACTGGTTGAATTCCTCATGTTCTTCAAGAGAGGCAGGCAGAAGTCTTGAATCCAATCACAGAAATGTCTGCAGCTTTTAGATCGACAGTGCTGGCTTGGATTCCCCTCTTCTGTCACTGGCTGTTCTTTAAGCAATTGAAAACCAGTCCAAGTAGAGTTTTCAATTGGCTCATCACTTTGATGACCCCCAGATGACAAGTATGCTATTTTGCTAAGTATGCTAAGAAACTGCTGCATTCTAGGATTACATGTGGTGTCCATGAACACATGATGCTGCACGTGATGCAGAAAAAAAGAACATGCAAAGGCAAGGGAATGTAATGGCATTAACAACAGTAAGAAAAGCGAAGCCAAATGCAACATATTTGGCATCCTGCACCAAAAATCAGTCTGACTTCTGCTCTTGTAACACATTTCTGTTTTACAGTCTTCATTTCTGATTCGTTGCTAAATTCTTGTCCTTTTCATTTTTTCTTCTCATGATCATTGCATTTGAAAAAGAACGGGAAAAATATGTTGGAAAAAAAATCTGGTATCCGTGTTCCTTTTTCAGCTCGACAAGTATTGCAGATGCTGCGCTCAAAACATCGGCTTATGCAAATCTTCAGTTTCTCCTTGAGGAGCTGCTGAATGTCGGCCCCATTTGGCATCCAGATGAGGAGATGAAAGGATGAATTTCTTGATGTAAAAACTCTGGCACAAAGTGGGTAAAACTTCTCTAATGTTCTCTTTGTTAGTATTCTCCCACTTTCCAAAGAGAATGGACATAAGTGTATCTGTGACATGTTTACTGGATCTGTTACTTTAGAAGTCCGAGTGATGTGGAGGTCCTCACTATGGTGGAACGAAACAAGCAAAGTAGATGCACAAAAGGCTCCATCCTGTCTCTTCTACAATTAAGAAAGTAACTGGGAATGGGGTTAGCGGAAGGTGTCTGACCGGTCACTTCACTAGCAGTGGATTACTTGTAATCCTCCTGGCCTTCCTCTTCCCCTCCATCCTCCTCTTCCTCTCCCGGGATGAAGCTCTTCGAAGATGAGCCGATGTCCAGCACCTGCAGGTGCTTCAGGCTGGCAAAGGAGCTCTCCTGCACGGTGTTCACAGACAGTCGGTTAAACCTGAGAAGAAACAGGTACTGGGTTAGGGTTAGGATTACACTTCACTGTAATGGAAAAAGAGAAGGGGAGCAGGAACAATACACCTCTACTGTCCTGCACACTACAGCTCTCTTAGAAATAGAAACAACAGGAATGAAAAGGCAAAAGTGCTGAAAAAATATTTTTACCACATTGAAAGCTCTGTTTACCTATATTTAAGCACCAAACAGCCATATTCATTGGAAATTAATTGCATTTAGACAAAAAAAATAAAATAAAAAAAGATCTGAATGTCCTTATTGCAGACTGGAATATTCTTAATGAATTCTGGTGTATGGATCTGTATTTCCTATCTGCCAAAGTCTCTTTAAAATGATACTTACCCTTGACCCATTCTAAACCTAAACCTCTACATATTACAAACTGGTACTGGTAAAAAGACTATATACAGTAATAAAACCGTAGAATCTCCTTTAAATGATTTTTAATAATTACGGCTTTTAAAGCGTATGCTTGGGATATTTGTCTTGTTTGGGACAAGATAATGAACGTAATATCACAATATAATCAGATTAAATGAAAACAGTTTCTTATAAGATATAAGTAATATCTTTTATATACGGTATGTTGTAATAGAACGGTAGACAGAGACAAGATGGAGGTTCTTGTGTGAGCCACATTGCCCAAAGAGCAATGACCTTGTAGGGTGACATTTAAATCCAGGAAGCGGAGACTTCCAGTATCAGTCAACATCTGCTGTCTGGGAAGAGAGCAGATCCTCTGTTATGTGTTTTCACCAAAGGGAGAGAGAGAAGGAAGGATATTCTGTCTGACTGACCGACAGATCTTGAAACCATGGAACTTATGGTTTTAGAAGAGTCAGACTTTTTGAATTAATTACTCTTTTAGGGTTTTGAAGCCAGTAAGGAGTTTAGCTACTCGGCAGTATTATTAGAAAGGAACTTGGAAAAAGTCTAGTGTAAAGCTCAAAGAGGAGCTTAGATTTTGTTTTGTGCTCTGAATATCATCTTCTTCACTCTGTAAATAAAGGATAAAAATCCTTTTCTTACCTAATAGCTGTGGTTGTGCATCTGTTTTCTCTGAGACCTGCTCATTCAAAGATCCTATTATTATCCCCCCAGAAAAGCCACAAGCATATTGATCAGTTTGTATGACAATTACTAAACCAAGCTCAGCAATATACTTGAGAACTATGGAAGATGGTAGAACAAAAATATGTGATTTTCTGGATGTAGAAAACAATCCTTAATATTTATTTTAAATAATCCTTACACCTATATACTGTAGCACTAGGGAATAGGGACTCTCCACCACCATCAAGTAGTGCAGCGAAAAACTCATGAAGCCAATTCATAGAGGGTGATTATTAGGAGGCCAAGATTTGGCTGGGACAGACAGGGGAAATTTGGTCACAACACCTGCATAACACCCCTACTCTATTCGAGAAATACTGAAATGATTTTTTCTTCACATAGTGAGTTGGGATTTTTAATGACCACGGAGAGTTAGAACCTAGGTTTTACTTCTCATTTGAAGAACAGTGCCATATAGTTTTTCCATATAGTGTCCCCATCACTCTACTGGGGCATTAGGACCTCCACACAGACAAAAACCTCTTCCAGCAACAACCTTCACTTTCCCAGGAGGTCTCCCATCCAGGTACTAGCCAGGCTCACACCTACATAGCTTCAGTGGGCAGCCATTTGTTAGTTGCACGGTGATATAGCAGCTGGCACATTAATATTCCAATCCATTATTGCAAAAAATTGCATTTCGCATCCTGAGCAAAAAGAAGGAAAGTTTTTCTGCTTCAAATACGCCCAAGGATGGAATCATAAGTGTCTCAGGAATTATTGGTGTTCTCATGATGACTCTTAAAAATGGGGATGTTATTTTTCTTTCAGAAAATACAATCACCAGTGCTGAAATGACTGCTCATGAAAAAGGTGCTAGACCTTTTCAAAATCACTCAAAGAATAACGCCCCCACAGAAATAAAATAACAACAGGCTTCAGTGGCTGCCACTTATAGTACATTTTACAAAATTTGTTCAGTTTTTCTTTTTAAAAGAAATCCAAGGTCTAAGGCAAAACCAACTAACCATATGGGTAAGGCAGGAGATTTTGTTCTGGAACTCCACACAGCAAATCTCCAAAACATATAAATAGACAGTTTCATTATTGAAAATATACAAGACATGTAGAATTCATCAGAGATTCATGGCTGAAATGTGCCCTCTTTTTAGTTTTTAGATGATAAATTATTTGATTTAACTTATGGAGTAAGTCCAATTTGAGGAAGATTCCAGAGCCTGACCAGGATGGAACATGAGATTTCAGCCACCTTGGAAGACTCAGGGAGGGTAAGGGCTTACCTGAGGAAGATGCCCTTGATGTTGGGCGTACTCTCGAAAGCGCTCTCGGACACGGTGCTAATGCGGTTACTCTGCAGGTACAGGTACTCCAGAGATTCCGGCAGGTCAGAAGGAATGTGGGTCAGAAGATTCCTGGACAGGTCCAATGTCTGAAGCAAACACACAAAGTAGATTCTTAAATCCAGCAGGGTTCTTACAGGGAAACATTATCCTCCACAGTCCTGAAGCTGATGCTTGTTTTTCTGTATCAACCCTGCTGTCTGCTTTTACATTTCGGACATTAAAACAGATAGAAGAACTCGGGTACCTTCTTAGCTCCAACAGTTACAGACAACTGTAGTACAGGTGGGGCTTTATAGCCCAGATATGACTAATTCATCTGTACTGTCATTGTCTGGATTTCCAAATAAAGCACAGAGCTGTTCAATCTCCACCAGGGTGAGGTGACTTTATGTCTGGCCAGTGACCCTTGTAAACACATCTGTGAGTTTGCAGTATTATATTTAACAGTTCTTACTGTACCTGCCTCTCATGCTTCCACTCAGGGCTTTGTATTGTGAGAAAAATGAGTATGTGGTCTGTCAACATCCCAGGAATCTGTTTACGTTTACATTATTTATACTCTACTGGCACATTGCTTAACTCCAAAAAATCAACTTAACTAAATCAAAAAGATGTACTGAGGCAGTTAAAGGGGAACACACTGAAACACCTTCTACCTTCTAGTAGCTATAGTAGAGTGTGGAGGTGACAAAAGTCATGGACTGTGCAAAGAAAGAATGACCCCAGTGCCAACTGCCCCCACTCACAGTGAGACTGCTGAGCTCCTGCCAGGCCCCCTGGTAGATGGAGTTGATCTTGAGCTGGTTGCTGCTGAGGTTGAGCTCACGCAGCTTGGTCATGCCGCCGAGAGCGCGATCAGGGATAGTGACCAGCTGGTTGTCCTTCACCTTAAGGATCTGCAGACTCCTAGGCAGGCCAGCCGGGAGGCTGTGGAGCTCGTTGCCCGAGAGGTCCAGGGACTCCAGCAGCCGGAGCTTGCGGAAGGCCTCGCGGTGCAGGCGGGGGCTGGTGAGCTTGTTGTAGCTAAGGTTGAGTTCAGTGAGGGTGTACAGCATGGCCAAGTCATTGCGGTTGATCTCCAGGATCTGGTTGTGCAGCAGCATGAGGGTTTTGGCACGACGGGGGAGCCCACGGGGCACGCGCTCCAGCTTGTTGTTGTACATGTGCAGCGTGTGCAGCTTCTTCAGGCCCTGGAAGGCCAGCGGGTGAATGGAGCGGGCCCGGAGCCTGTTGTTGTGGAGCAGCAGGTACTCCAGGTTGCGGATGGGGGTCAGCGCGTCTGCTGGGATGCTCTGGAGGGAGTTCTTCTCCAGGTGCAGAAGTACCAGGCTGCGAGGGAGCCCCTTCGGTACCACGGTCAGGTTGTTGTTAGACAGGTCCAGGTACTCCAGGCGGTTCAGGTTGCTTTGAAAGAGACATGAATTAATACAAACACTGTTGTTCTAAAAGGAACCTTCCGGAAACGTGCTTAGAGCCACACATCCGATCAGTGCACCCCCTGACCTTAGCTCTGCCATTGTGATATTTGTTCTCTCATGATTTCCTCTTTTTAATGAATGACGATGTCTCAGGTTATGAAGCCATCCTGTGCCTTTAGCAGACAAACATTCCTCAGCTTCTTATCAACTTATATGCTTCCTGTAAAATGCTTATCTTTGCAGGGCTTCATCCTTTATTTTGGTTCATTTGTATCATTTATTTCAAACATGTTGAGTGGTGTCCATATTTAATAAAAAAGCACAAAAAACAAGAGACTCACAAAAAGTCAAAAAGCACTTTGCTGTTTATGGTAAAACATGGCATAATAAGCATTGATAAGCAATAAGTTAATAAATACAATTTATGAGTTGCCTTATAAATGTCTGGTTATCTGCATTTTCTTACACAGATAACACAAATATCACGTATGTTGTTAGCCTGGGGACCTGGGTCAGTATGCAGGCTGCAAAAAGATCAAATGTATAGCATAATTGTAGTTTGAAATGTAAAAAAAACTTTCTTCAACTGAAATGTTTTTTTCTTCACTTATAATTGGTTGACAGTTTTGAAGGTGGGTACAGTGGGATGGGTCTCCAGTTAAATTTCAGGAAGTCCTATGTACATTTATTCTTTCAGTAATGGGTTCCTGAGTTCAACAGTGAACTTTTACTCACCTGAAAGTCTCATTGTCCATGCCATCGTTCCTCAGGAGGTTGTTCTGTAGGTACAACTCCCGCAAATAGGGCAGTTTGTCAAAAGCTCCTTTAGGGATCCTCTCCAACTTGTTATTCTGTAAAATAATTAAGAAAGGTATCGAGACACTTGGTTGGAGCACAGCAGACATTTTTGTAAAATATTACCTCCCTCACCCCCCAACTACAACCTTGACAGACTGGAATATGTGTTATTTTAAAATTTTATTTTGGTACAATCTGGATTGCCAAGCGTGCATTCCTACACTTATCTGCACTTATCTAGACATTTCTTTAAATTCCCAGTGATCTCAGGAAACTGTGCCAACTCCAAGCTGAAAAGAACATTCCCACCCATTACTGCTTTGTCATGGTGTGTCAGCCTTCATATAATGTAGAATTATATTCTAGATTCTCCTAGGATAACAATATCCTGTAACATGTGCCTACTGTTTAGCCATTACCAATATACTGGGCTATTTTATTATCACAGAAAAATAAGATGCTGCTTATAAAACATATTTATTATCACATGCTCTTATGCTTGGATTTAATTTTCAGACATTCTTCCAACAAGAGCTGTTAAATCGCTATACATAGGAATGGATGCAGCATCTAGATGCAGTGGAGTACAAATTGAAAACGTTTACCCATTGTTTGGTTTCAAAGTGAGCTGGCGCCTCTCAGGTAAGTATCACTGAATTGTGTGAATTTACACTAAAGCAGCCAGCTTTAGAAAAACTCCAGGTCTCCAGCTCTGTGTACCTTTAAGTGGAGGCGGTAGAGGGCAGAAGGCAGGTTCTTGGGCACGAATCTGAGGAAGTTGCTGGACATGATGAGGATCTCTAGGGCATCAGAGCCATTGAACATCTGGTCAGGAAGGCCAGCATCAGTCAGCTTGTTGTTGTGAAGATACACTGACCTGAATCAAGCATAATGTAGGCCCAACACACAGAAGCAGAGAGGGGGGAAAACATTAAAAGCTGAGAAGACCCAACATATCTTCACTCCAATCAGAATGAAACAACCTCTCTTCTTATTAAGCAATGAAAAAAACAATAATAAGCAATAAACCCATGCACACCACAATAGAGCTATTTTTCCACCCACAGTGACATTCTACTTGAATTTATATCAACTCAGATTTTAACACTCACATTTACAATAAATGCATATCTTTAAAAGAAAAGCTGACTTTGCACTCTTCTGAACAACTGATCTACTTAGCATAATTTCCCTCTCAGAGTTTTGTGACAGCTGTCAACGAGATACTAAAACACAAGTAAAGTCTTTACTTGAGATGTGGCTTCTGTCCAAAGGTATATGGGTAGATCTTGGTTAACTGGTTGGCTGCAAAGTCTGCGCTGACCAGTGAAGAGGGCAGAGACTTGGGGGCAGTAGTGAGCTGAAAACACAACCCAATACAGTGTTTGAGTAACAATTGTACAGCAACACCCAAAGCTCTGGATGACTGACACTAGGCATCAATTGAAAACAAAGAATTCTGGCAATTAATCTCCATTTGCAGCATAAACCTGTGCTGTGATGACCTGATTGATTAACACCTTTTCAAGTTCTTGCTTATATAGACTGTTCCTAATTAACAATGCTAGAATGTGCCATTGTAAACATGTCCGATTTTGATATGCACAGTTATTCTTTGATTAAATCAGATAACATGTTTAGAATATGATGAGTGTTTGAACAGTGACTGTTCTGCATTTTTTTTTTACAATGACATACCTCTTGTTAAAATGCAGTTAGCAGTTACTGCCTCTTCACTAGATCCCAGGTCAACAAATCTGCCATTTAGGTACAGGATGTTTTGATTCTTATTAACTTATTAACTATTATTATTGCAAATTCAAAGCTGTAATTATTCTATATTACAGCTGTCTCTGTTCTGTTGAAAAAATATTATTAGGATGTCTCATTCAACAACTGGTTTTCTAAAATGAGCAGCCACATCAATTGCATTGATGCAGACTGATTTGGATTAATGGTCAGAATCACCTGTTAACTCTGCTTCAGTGACTTATGAGGTAGAGCACAAAGTTTAAGTTTGAAGCAGCATGATTTGTTGCATAATAAGCAAATTCATAGTCTTTTTAACTTCCAGAGATCATGAACACTGGAAACGAAGAGCACACAATATGAGTCACATATGAAGTTGGGTGTCAAAGAGCATAGAGAAACTGAATCTTCTGCAGGATATGAATCCTTTGCCGTTACCCTGAGATTTTTTCTTCATTCCTTTTTGAAATGGAAAAAAACCATCCCTTTCCTATCACAAGACATCTCATAAATACCTCCAGGGCTTAAGTTAAAAGCTCCTGGCTGCTCTTGGAAGTAAATATTTGTTTAGAACGTAGTCTATTTTAGGCAATGTGCATGGTACATAGATTAAAACAGAGCACGGGTGTTTTTGGAGATTAGCAAGCACTTAAAATCCCCACTCTGTATCCCTAGCACAGTCATCCTTTTAAAGTTAAAGACCAATAAATCTGCTGCATGTCTGCTGTCAGAGGGAGAAAGTGCCAGCAAGCCTAGCCATGAACATTCAGCAGCTTTTTTAATTCTAAAAGCTGGCAAGCGCAAGGGCAGGATGATTAGGAGCAGAAACTGGCACCCAGAGAAGGAAAAGCCACTAACAAAGCACAGTACACTGGAGCCAAGAGGGTGGCGACAGATTGGGACCAGAAGAGGAATTATTATCCATCTAAATACAAAACAAGGTAAATAGGGCAAGAAATCTGTAAACTGGCACAAGTATAAAATTACAAGTGCACCAGCCTGTGAGAAAGAATAATTACTAACAAAATGCAGACTGTGTTTATATTTTAGTATTTATACCCATTCTGACATGTATTAGTGATGAGAAAAGTAATTCATTTGACTCCATTATGGTGATCCAGTTAGCAAACCCTGAGTTAATGATCCGAGAGATATGACCATGGATAATTACATGGTGGTACTGGAATACACAAGAGGCAGTCCAAACTTCCAACATCTATTATTGCTATGGGCTTGCTGAGCCACAGGGAAAGACAAACAAACAAAAGCAAACCACACAGAGTGTGTTTGAGCTCACTGATTCTAGATCAGCATGGTGATAGAACAGTGATCAATCTCACAATGACCTTTATTGCCAAAGCCAGCAAAACCGAGGTCTCTTCTTAGAAGCAAGAGATTAATTAGGTGGCAATATGGAAATTGGAATATCTGACCAGCCTCAATCACATTGATGCATTGTAGGTAAGAGAAACTGAAGCGATTTTATGCCAAACAAAGTCATGCTATGGCTATGCTTTCTTTCCATAAACAATGATAAAATCTTCAGTGAAAGTCTAAATATGATGTGATTTGGAGGTGAAATAAGTGAGTCATCTGGTGGTGTATATATACACTTGTCTAGGGTCCCTAAGTGGCCTAAAAATGACTCAGATAAAAAAGCTCAAACTGTGCTAATGTACATTTTGAATGCCAAGAAAAACCGAAAAAGGGACCCCTGGAAAGGCGCCCCCTTAATGTGTTGGACTCGTAATCACTTACCTTGTTGTTTGCCAAGTATAAATAACTGAGGTGATCCAGCAGTTCAAATGCCTCATCATCAAGACCTGTTAATAAGAAAATCCAGCCTGACATATTGCTTAAAAGAATCTTAAAAATTACAAGTTGTCTTGTAAGGCATGAGGTTCCTGGGTTAGTGAAGTATATCTGTCAGCTGTGTGAGAGTGTACAGGAGGCAGCATTTCTCAAATTCAATGTAATTCTAAGGACCATCAGGCATATTTATACTCAATTAGTTAGACTGACGTAATTGCAAAAAAAATAGACTGATGAGGAAATATTTAACAAAATAAATGGCACTCTTAGATTTTTTTTTAAAAAGAGAGCAGGAACATTGAACGTGTCAATAAAACACGCACACTCCAGATGTTCTGCTCTCCGTTACTCAGAACAAAGCTACATAAAATACTCTCCCTGACACATCATGTGACAAAAAGGAAGACTTGACAAAATCTGAAAACTGGCACAGCAGACATTTGCGAGCTGACTTCAGTTGCCATTGTGTACTGTACTTTACTTCCTTTTTTAAGATTTAATAGATCGGCTTTTGCATTCATTAAATGTTGTATCCAGGGGCATCAGTTCTAAATGACTAGCAGCAGCATTACTTGATCAGATGTACTACTGTAAAGAGTCGGGGTGTAGCCCTGAAGAGAGACTCCAATCCTGTCTGTCTGCTGTACACATGTGGGAATCGTATCGGAGGTGCCGAATGTGCATTGTGCAGGTACTCTCACCATGAGATGTGAGCCTGTTATTCTGCAGGTTGAGTGTCTCCAGTCTGAAGAGTCGAGACAGCTCATCCACCGTCACTGCTTGTATCTGATTGTTCTGAAACACAAGAGCGACAGGCCCCAAATGCAATTCAATTTTGCTGTTTGCGAGATTTATTACCATGCCTGTACTACATATAAACTGTGTTCCAGTTTGTTATCATATTTTACAGCGCAACCACTATGAGATCATTGTGCTTTCCTTTGACATGGTTCTTTTTTCACCTGTACCAACCACAACAGACTTCCACAGCAAGGTACAGTCAGAATAAAATGATCATACTGTACATAACGAGCATCAACATACTTCATATTTCTTAAGGCACAAAAAACAAACAGATTATAATTAAACTTGGCTTAAGATATACAAGTAAACCCATGTACCATGCAATAGCAGGGCACCTGTCAAATTGCTTTCTTGTACTGTAAAGAGCCAGTAGGGTTCTACCTGTAGAGAGAGGTGCCGAGTGGTGTCTGGCAGCCCACTGGGAAAATGCTCCAAGTCCACCCCAGCACAGTCCACCACCCCCTCAGGAGTACAGGCACAGTCCTCAGGGCAGTCCACCACCTCTGTCAACTTAACAGTGGGGGGGGTTGTCTCTTCTACCCACTCGTCCTCTTCTTCCTCCTCCTCTTCTTCCTGCAACTCAGCTTGGCACTGCACCAGCCCCCAGCTCAGCGACAGCACCAACAACACGAACAGGAGCCCCCTGGCCTGCGTCATGTTCGGTATTACTCTGGAAAAGCAGTTGTTCGAGACGGCAAACGAGTGCCTCCTCAGCCTCTCTAAATGGGGTCCCTTTCGCAAGGCTTTGAATAGGGACCCCTCCCTGCCAGCAGCAATCTGGAACAAAGCACAGCCAGCAAATTACTAATGGATTTCTGTCTGCATTTTCAGTTCTAAATCATCTCATGGGTCTCTATGAGAGGAAGGCAAATCTAATTAAAATCATTTGCTGACTTTTGTTTTCCATAAATTGAACACATCTTGGGTTTCAGAGAATGGCGCTTTCTCTAAAGAATAATACGAGTGAGAAAAGTAAGTAAAAGCAGAAAATACACTGGCTTCTAACACAATAAAAAGACTGCATTATAATAGGACGGTGCTATTCCGTGCCATTTGAAGGACAGAACACAAAGATGTAATGAACATAGAAGCAGCAGCAGAACCCAGGCTTTAGCCAAGAGATTGTCCATTGATGGAGACACTGAAAGTCACTAAGAGAATAAATTTGTTTTGTCCCTGGTACTTTGGGAGGTCTCCGTTTTCCTAACATGGCTGCTGTTACATAATCAGGAATGTGGAGCAACACACCCAGACAGTCAGTCTGTCTGAACACATCCCTGAACCCTTCTTAACCTCTGGACGTCACCTGCTCTCACACACAGCTGTGCAGCTGTAAAATACAGACATCTACATAACACAGCTGGAGGCTTTGGGAATTATCTTGACAATGCATATTTGCAGAATACAGTCATGCAGCTAAACCAATTTTATGCCGCTTGTCATCACTGAAACGTTCTATGTAAAAAACACGTCACAGTGGGCAGTGTTAAATATATATTAATTCGCATTTATTTTTATGCAATTTCACATTTTGTACATTTTATTTTGCACCAGTGAAGGAGTTTTGTTTTTTATTCTCTGTGGAAATCAGAAATACTCTGCTTATTTTGTTAATTAGAATATGCCAAGGTCTTTGAAATTATGACTGCTCGTAATCAATATTGATATGGATGAATTGCAAAGTGTATATGGTGAATTGCAAAGCTTCTATTAGCTCTAAATCACAGCAGTTTATTTAGATCTGCATTTTACTTTGCTAGAGTAGGAGCACATAGCACTTACCAATCTACTACTAAATTCAAGTACATATTGGCAGGCATCTCCCACCAGCTAAATCTGTCCTAGTCCTGCCTGCTAACCTTTTCGTGTCTTCCTGATGACAATTCCCAAGGCCATGAGGATGAGCACATTTGACCTCTTTTGGAGATTGTTCAAACTCTTTTCTCATTTCTAATGGTAAGATTTCACCAAGCATTTATTGTTAAACATAAGAGCATGAGTGTTGTTTGCAAAACAGGAAAGCATTGTTTGGACAGCTGACATAAAAGGATACAACACTAATTACTGCACTAATTATTGCAATTTTCCTACTGAAACTTCCAAAAAATATATTGATTTTTTTAGGATACCTGCGCAGAGCTCCTGTGAACATGATATATTTATTGGATTTCTAAACAAACCAAAGTATGGATTTCTTGGAGATGTTTTTAGTTTGGATTCAGAGACGAAAACTGAAAGACACATGTACATACCTGGTACTGCCACCAGTACTGGTACACACTGGTACAGCCACTCTACCTGAAACCAGGCTGTTTATCATTAGATGAAGTTTACAAGTACTGAATGTGCTCTAAAAAGTTTTCAAAAGCACAGTCAAGCAAGTTGTTGATAAGAGGTTCTAGTGAAATAATTAAAGAAACAGTGTGCCCATTCTTATGTCTACATATACACATTTTTCTTCACAAAAGCAAAACTTATTTTCTGATTTTTTAGAAATCCTTGGATTACTGAAGATTATGGAGGGAGATTATTGTAATCTTTTACAACGAGACACTAGCAATGAAATCAAGGTTAAAGTTTAGTGAACTGTGGAATTATGAATCAAATTCATGATGACTGCATCCGTAAGGCAGAAGCCTGCATCAGGACTTGCTGCAACATACAACAGTGCATTGCACAAGCTTATCTGTGGTGAAGCAGTATCTCTGTGTCACGAGAGGCAGATTAAAGCCCTGTAACCTGCTATCGCACAGCATTCTGCTTGGAAAACCATCGTCTTAGAATTGCCAGCAATCTATTTGGCAGTAGTGGAAAAAATCCAGCAGGCAATATGTTTGCACTGTTATTAACTTCTCCCAGACAATCACTCAAGCCACATTACCTGTCTCCCAGAGGATCTGCTCCATATGTATACACCAAATTATTATGTGCCCCATTCAACGACACAAAACCACTTTTCAGTTAAGAATACTGAGATATTTATATCTATTAGTTTTGAGATCATAAGTAATAAATTACTAATTCATGGTTGTTCACAAATTGCATACCGCGAAGTGCAGATTAAAACTAATCACAGTATCCATATTTTTTTAAGTCATTAAAGCATTATGGTAATAATTAACTGCATAGTGAAAATTAATAGTTTTAACTAAGAGGGTCGTAAGAATCACTTCTCAAAAATGTCTGATTGTCAGATAACAATGGAATGATAGCATTTTTACTGTGAAAAAAACTCACCTTTATTGGCTCGGGTTAGTGCTGAAGGAAGTGATAAAGTCTGACTTTAAAATCCACAAAACACAATCCCATGTCAGGACTGGAAGAAGCCCTGAGCTCGACAGAGACGGTGCCACTACCACCAAGAGATCCTTTCCAGATGTGTGTGCGTGTGCGAGAGAGAGCGAGAGAGAACTAGTGAGAAGGAGAGAGAGAACAACTGAAGAAACTGAGGAAGACATGCTCAATCTTTCCAACTAAGAAATTCCTGCTCTCTGACTTTTTTTTTGTCCCACGACAGGTCTTTTCCAGTTCCCGTATGGAAATGTCTTTACGTTGCAAAGGAAAGATTAATTTGTGCAGAATAAAAGAAATATCCCTTTGCATCTTGGAAATCAGCCCATTTCCTTTCCAAGATTTAACAGAACCCAAAAGTAGGGCAAATAGTTGTTGCCTACAATAAATGTCTTCAGAGCCACTGGGTTTTAAAGACATTGTTACTTTCATACAGTAAAATAAAGACAGCTGTCTATGTTGAACTCCGCTTTCTATTCTGTTACTGCCTTTGAGTTTCAGCACTTAAGAGCGTCAGAAAATTCTTTTGAGCAACATTGACAAATTAAAAAAACTGGATGCAATGTGTTTGTTTTCTTTGGTCTTGATCTCCAGATTCCATTCCAAACAATGTTTCAGAAAGTTTATAAGCCAGAGGAGGACTTTTGAACCAATTCTCACCCTTTCATCAAAGTTTCCGTTCAAAATACCTTTTTGAAACAGGAATTCAGCGGCCAATTTTCAGACACTTTGCTGTCTTTACAAGAAAGTAACAAAAACCTTACCGTGCAGTAACCAAATCTTCCGAACAACTCTCCAGGACTTTGTGTTAAAGCTGAGCCGCTGAGATTACCAAGAAATTGTTACTTCTCTTATTCCTAAAATACAAAAACAAGCCTTTTTGTACATTATTGGAAACATGCATGTATTCACTCAAGAATTATACGACTAATACTGCCTGATGCTCCTGAGTACAGTTATAGTTCAGCTGTGGTCTTGATTAAAAACAAAACACTTGCATGAAAAGGTTTCTTTAAGTGTGATGCAATACTTTTTGAAAAGCCTAAGCGAAGGGGGAAGAACAGGCACATTTGCTTTCTCTGAGAGCTGTTACAGGTGAATGCTCCAGCAGAAGGCAAGATCTTCACTTACTCCCCCTTTAACATTCCCTTCACTTTAATTGCCCCCTCTTAAGTTGCCCCCTGGGGATGAAAAAAGTTTAATTTAATTCATTTTTTCCAAACCTGTAACAGCGGGAATGTAGTGGAAATGTCAAAAGAAAAAGGATAGGCTGTTAAGGGCTCAGTGTGATCATTTCTGAACTGCACCTGAGATGAAAACCAGACAAGCAGCCAGGCTAGAAAAAAACAAATCAGAAGACAGGGACCCTTGTCTTCTCAGAGCTTGTTTACAGATTTTCTCATTTCTTTGTCTTTCTCTCTCCCTCACCTGTAGCACAGTCAACCTTAATCAAAGCAGAATTTTTGGCACAGATATGTTGATTTCACCCTCCCATATCCATGAAAGGTCATGAAAGAAACGCATCTGAAATGATTTAAAGCAGAAAACAGCAGCTCCACTGCCTCCCCCAAAAGATCCCTAGTGATTCCAGTTTCTCCAGAAGGAAATATGCAATATTTCCATAAGGATTGACAGATACCAGACCCCACATTCCTAATATGAAGCACCCACCCGAGATTCCTTATAGCCAGATCTTAGTCTTGTAGGATCACCCTGGAAAACTGATAGTCACTTTCAATCAATATAATTTCTAAAATGCACCATGTTATTGTTTAAAGTAATGTCATAATACTGCAATATATCATTTGAACTAGTGCATTATTAATACCCATAGTAGCAGTTACTGGTGTTTACCAAGCTGATGCCTTCATTCACAGGAACTTTAAAAAAAGGAGAAGGAAAAGCACATTTGCTTTCTCTGTGAAATGTTAAGGTGAATGTTCCAGCAGGAAAATTCAAACACGGTAACAGAAATTCTACTCAGTAGTAAAGATCAATGAAATTAAAAGATTAGAGTTTAACGCTAAGCAGTTATATAGCACTTAGAGCAAACAGAGAGATGGGTCTTACCATGTACTGTGCAATCTGAACAGGTGGATCTTGAAGAGGCACGTAAAACACTGCCTTCAACAGGGGTGGGTGAACTTGTCCTTTATAGAACGAGCTCACACATTTCCTGCTGTGCTGTCTTATCTGAAACTTTACCTGAGAAAAATATTACACTGACTGGTATTACCTAGGCAACAAGTATGACCGGGATCACACAGAAAGTGTGAAAGTATAACATCTGGAACGTGTTTGAAAGGCAGTGCTGCAACCATTTATATTAAAAAATATTCTCTTATAAAAATGTGTAAGCCGATATAAAACCCATAAAAAATCAAATGGGTAACTGCTACCCTACCAGAATTATATTTTGATTTGTAGGTTATATAGAACAATGATGAAAAATACTTTTTGGTGTAAAAAATAAGTGTTAAAGATTAGCAAAACTGCAGAATTTCCTCAGTCTGTTAACATAAATCAGATGGCGTAAAACAATAAACCATATAGGATTCCACGGCTCTAGTCCAACTGCTACAGTCTTTAGTTTCACACGACAGAACACAGCCACTGCAAAAACACAGGAACCAGACCTCAAAATGAATCATTAGCTACATAATATAAGTACTAATTGCAAAAGCCAACGCATTTTACAGGCCTTCAGACACTCTCCCGATACATTCGACCAGCAGAAGGTTAGAAACCTACCAAACAGACATTGTTGGTCTTTCTGGGCTGCATTTGCTTTAATAAAAATGTTTCACGCATGGCTCTCCATGCAGCCTGCACCAAATTCCCTGGGCTGCCAAGTTTCAGACTCAGAATTTACTGCTTAAAAACTTATTTCCAGACATGTCATCAAAAATATTCATAAGCACCTCTGATCCAAAGTATAAAAAAAGGGTTGTGCTGCTCTGATTCACATGCAGGGCTAATCAGCCATCACTCCGCATCCTGCATAGTGAGCCAAGTCCAGCCTTATTGTGCACAGCCTCCAAAAACAACTTTTGCTAAAGTGCGCAATTCCCTTTTAACTCTAAAAACCGACTGCGTGTTCTACTGCAGTTGAGAAGCAATAATTTCACATGCATGAACTGAGCAGAGCTTCCATTAGAAAATTGGCCCATTAGTAAAACCGAATCATTGCCTGGATGCTGAAACTCTTTGCTCAAGTAATCACAGACCCCTCACAATCACTTTTATGCATTCAAGGTTCTGAAACTATTATTAAGAGTTCAACTAGAAGTCTATGTATTAACAGTAGAGCTAAGGGAAAGCCAGCATCCATGTAGAAAAGGTAGTCTTAACCAGCAAACTATATTTCATGGTTGAAGCAACAATGGCACTGACCGGCAAAATTCATGATACGGTTACATTTCCAGGAGACGTTTGAGAAAATTCTGAACAGAAGAGTAATTTTCTATGTGTAAATACCCCAAATCCTCAGTATTATATGTAAATGTAAGGATTAAGAACTGAAAATGAGCAGAACATACACTGCAGCATAGTTGTGTCAATGTGAGGTAATTAGGGGAGTGCCACAAGGAACTGTTTTAGAAATCCTACATTTCACACTTCATATTCATTTAGATTCAGAGTCTAACATTGTAGTTATTCCATTTCATACAGAAATTGGGAAGGAGGGGGTTATACAAAGAAATTGTGTGTGACATGTCTATGAACGTAGAACATTTTGGAGCTGATAAAGAAGAACGTAGAGTTCAGTTTTGGACAGGACATTACAAGCAGGATATTGCTGTATTGAAAAAATTTGAAAGAGGGACCAGAAACATTTTCCAGCCTGAAAGCATATTATACATAGCAAGGCTAATGGAAAAGAATCTCTCCGGTCTTGAACACTCTGCAGGGCAATTTGGTTCAAGATTCAAATTGTCCTCAGAGGCAGGGGTGCCCTAATCCTGTCACCAGACAGAACTACAGGTTTTATAGGCAGCCTCCTTTTCAGAGTCGATGAGCAGAGATATGGAGCTCCTGTTGCCCTCTCCTGTCTAAACTATTGATTTAGCCAACTACTTCACAGCAGAAACAGAAACTAGTCACCCCAAACCTCCAAAGTCATCCAAAGTCTTACTTATAAAGTGCAAGGTACATACTGTAATTAAACCCTTGAAAAAGGTTATATCTGAACACATACCACTCCAAAATATTCCATTTCAACACCACGCTGACAGTCCTAATGAAAATGTCATTGAGATCAAAATGTTGACAAAGTAGGGTGTTGTAAAAATATTTGCTGCACTTGAAATAAGTTGCCAGTATTACTTTTTTTTGACTGGCATAAAATCAACAGTGAAACAAAGACCCAGGGTCACAAGTGGAAATTAAGAGGAAATGTTTCCAAGAATATAACCAGGGGGGCACTTTAATTACACAAAGTAAATGAGTTGTGCTGACCCAGGCCTGTCGCAGAGCCTGAATCTGACAAAAGTCTGCATGATAGTCTATATCAGATTGATAAAGAAATCAGCATACAAAAAAGAAGAACGGACTATTCATTTGCAAAATATTTGTTTATGTTCTTAACATGATTGTGATGACTGTAAAGTTTTTACCAAAATACAAAATTACAAATAACATACCTAGTAAATAATGGTAGAACAGTGAACCAACCACTGTCAAACAAAAAGACAATTTTGAGCACTGGGTTTGTAAGTTGCAGTTCTGGGGTGGGTTAACTTTTCTATGTAATCGGGGCATTTCATTGCCAATACTGCAGAAGACAGCTGAAGTATTGGTACAAGTCAGAATTTTCTTGAAGTCAATATAACCATTCAGACTATAAACTCAATTGCATGTGAAAGGCACACACAATCTCAAGGATCCTAGTGTTATCTTCTTAAGCATCAAAATGTTTGACTAAGTAAAATCAGCAAAATATTTGCAGGCTCATGCTGTTATTAAAGAGGTATCAATCATATCGCCTATCTTCTCCTTGTTACCCAGAACAGAATTCTTTTATAATTAAAACATACAAATGTGTATCATATGGTTTCTAACATACTCATATTGGAAGCCAGTTGCCACTGCAGGACATTTCAGCCTGTGCAACACTGAAATGATTCCCCATATTAACTCTACTGTCATGTTTGAGAAATCTTTTAGAAGTCAGACTGCATAGTCATTGTCTTGTCACAAGATGCTGGAAGAAAACATGCAAAACATATTATAACCATTATACCTATAGTAAAAAAGACAGATTCAGATATGAATAATTCCCTAGTGTGTTATGCATCACATTATAATCAGAACATTTTCTCTAAAAGTTCAGTCATACATAAAAATCTATGAGGATAAACTGCTTCAGAGTCTATTATTGCAGCATTAAATCCTTAGAGACTGGCAGCAGGAAAACAGCTGGTAGATTATTTCAAGAAGAAAGATTGAGAGATTTGACTTTCTGTGGCAACAATAATCATTGCAAATCCTGCATAGTACACTGTAACATATGTACAATGCACAATATATGTCCATACTTGTTCTGCCGAACATGTGTTACAGCATAATAAAAAGGCAATTAAAACTGTCTACAAAACTTTCATTTGACTAGACCAACAAACACATAAGTATTTCAGGTGTGCTCCGTCTAGTTGTACTAGTATCTAAAAAGACTCACCTTTTCATTTTAGGAACACATTACTCATTATTTAGAATTACAGGAATATTTTGTATATTTCCCAAATGCTTCAATCATCAGGAATATAAGAATGTGACATTTCCCCATTTTATTAATAATATTTTCGTGTAACAGCCAGTTTGTAATGCTAAGTACATACTGTACACTAGCTACAACCAAGAAATTCCACATATCATGAAAAATAATTAAATTAGAAAACAAAGACTGTAAATGAGGTACTGTAGCTCCCGAGGAATTACATGGTACACAATACCTTATGCTATAAAAATATCTTCAGATCAGACTAAATGATCTATATTTTCATCATGAGATTTTAGATCTCATAGGCTTCTATTTCCATATTGCAGAATTCGATAATGTGTCAGCAGTAAACAAGTCATGACAAAACATAACCTGCGGCCAAGAACAAAGACAACAGAACAGCCCATTATTTCCTGAATAAAACATTTTTAACTGATTCCAAGAATTATGAGGGACTAACCATAATCTTAACTCTCCAACCTCAACAACATTGACTTTAATAACATAGCAGTATGTAGAACTACTTTGTTTCAGTAAGCGTGCCCAGAGTCATGTGACTTAGAGTAATGTGAAATGGTTTGATGGAAATAATTATTCTGAGTGATGACAAGTAGTCCCAAAACTTCAGTAGGAAACATTGTTCAATTTAATTGGTTCTACATGCAAAATGAAAACCATTTCAATAAATGTCAAGTAAGATGTGCTGCATATATACAGTACAGAAGCCTGAAATCCTAACAGTATTTGAAACTTCTGCTTTTCTTGTAGACTTTAAGGAAAAACTGCAACTACCAGTATCTGTGTGAGCATATATGTGGAACAAAGATAAGTTTTTTTGTTTGTTCTTATTTCTTTGGAGTATTTGACTTTCAGGTATGGAAATGATTTTAAAGCATTTCAAGTGAATTTTTTTTAACCACGACTCTCAACTTATTATAGCACAATGAAAAATCTACAGTAAAACACTGTTATTAAGATATATAGTGTGTAGATACACTGTTCCTAAGAGGATGTATCAGAAGTAGCAAAGATGCCACAGTCTAAAATAATTTCTACAGTACTGTGTAAAGCCATTGTGACAGTAGCTGTGAAAGAATGATTAGGAATCACTATACTGTAGTACCATCATTAGAGTTTCTAAACAGCTGGAATTTGGTTGTATATTTCAACATCTTAAAGAAAACATTTTATTTTAACAAAAATGCTGAGTATACCTAAGCTGTTAGGGTTATATTATGTACATTTCCCGTTACACAATACCTTTTACCACAATTGCCTTATAACTGCAGATTATGGCTCCGTATGGCTACAAGCCATTCATTTGTATAGGAATCCCAACCTTTTCAAGGTGAAGCATCACATGATGGACAGATAAGATACAGCCCAGCAGGTCTGATAAAATCTCCTGTTAGATGGCCTGCATTGGGTCTGTCCAAGAAAACGATGAATGCAGCCACTGTTGTAGTGGCTACAGCTGTCAGGGTATCAGCAACAATCTTAAGCAGGAAAAAGCCACTCTCGAAAACAAAACTCCAAGATGTCTTTGGGACTTTAGGTCGTTTTAAACATTTCAGATATAGAAAGCATCACCTAAGAGACAAAGGAGGTGTTTGTTCTGTTTTTGTGTTAATGCAATAATTCAAAATTTTATTCTGGGACTTAAAACAGTACTTTAATATCTTTAGTCACAAGCTTAATTGGTTTGCATGAATTTCACATTATCTTTCCAATAGGATTTTCAGAATCAGCTAAATGGATTAACAGAGACTTTCTCCAATTATTTGTCCATCAGGTTCCAGTAAGAGTTAACCGTACAAGTACAGAACAGAGTGACTAACTGACAGCTGTGCAGCTCACAACATTTTCAGGAAACACTTCATGAACATGATGCACTACAGATGTAACAAGACTGATTAAGTGACCCCTTACATCACACACAGCTTTCTCATTACTCTATACAATACACAAAGACTTTGCATTCACTTTATCAAGTACAACCTCTGTGAAGAGGATAACACTACCAGTGCTGATATTTTGGCAAGAGGATGTCTGAAACATTTGTGGCTGTAGCTGAAGAGTCAATTAATTTCAAAATTCACAATTATTTAAACACATGATCAGGTCAATAGCATTAAGCTTAAGGGTCACTCTTTAATTTAAGCCTGTGTTATAGAGGTCTAATACCTTATTATTTACATGATTAATGATGATATAAACAGTTCTAGAAATTATTTCATACCCACAGGGTTAGAAGCATGATTTATGCTATAGTCAGGATTAGGTTTTTCTTACTAACATCAATTTTATCTACAGTAGAAGTTGGTTATCACAATCGTCATAATACTTTATAAACAGATTTCATTTATAAAGTTCTTAAAAATTCCATTTGCATTTCCTAAAGTGTTAGTAGTTTCAGACCTGTACATAATCATACAGTATTGTAAAAAGATATCTAAACTTAAGATGATTTTACTATTACAAAGTCCCAGTGCAATTCTATATTGCTAGTTTCTCACCGAGTTAGAACAGGGGGAAAAGACATTGGGAAGATGCTCATCTGGCAATTGTCCCCTCATCCATCAGCCTACCCCTCTCCTCTTTCACACTACAGAACAGATATACAGTGTGGCAAAGACCCCTCCTTGCACAGAGACTATCCTGGGGAGACCAGGAGGGAAAGAAACAGGACTCTGAAGGATTCCATTACAGCTTTGCTTTTCCAGGTTGGAGCTGCAGATTCTGAAGTTTCATGGCCATACCCATGTTCCCCGTTATCTTCAGCTTTCCTTGGAAGAAGGCCTGTACAGAGAGCAAAAGAGGAAGACAATGATTGTTATACAGAGCCTGTCAGGCCTCCCATGATCTATGTAACCGATTCTGCTTTCCTTTAAGGAATCAAATCCAGTTGTATCCACCTGTAATGGGTTACTGCACTTAACACCTAAAATAGTCATTAGGATTAGTGGATTCAGCAATTAGTGATAAAATTGACCACAATTCACAGCTCCACCTCACAGGCAGTAATGTGTGTTCTGTTTCTGGATAAAATCTTTTCATCACCACAACAAATGCAATTAAATATAAGCATCACAAAAATGTGAAAGAAAAGCATATAAACTCCAGACAGCAAGTAGGCATGATTAAAGGGTTAAGGTTACCCACTGGCCAGATTAAACAGAGACCAGAAATTGGGACATCAACATCAATGACAACAGCTTGCCGAAAAGCCCTAGGTCTTCAACATCACAACAGCAGCTTTTGAAGGTTATCTTTGCATGAATGATTGAAAGGTGAAACAAGATTAACAGAGCAGACCTCATTTTCAAAACCTGCAGTTCATCCGGTCTGGAGAGTCTCTCAAAAATAAAAATATGCATGTAAACATAGTTTTGGAGATGTTATTTTTTTCAATAAAAATTATAATAGCTTTTTTTGTTTCCATTCAGCCATGGCTGTGCATAAGGACTGCCTTTCTGAAAAGCCAGCAAAAAAGCAACATTTGTTTTAAGAGGTAATGCAGCATGTCTATATTCTAAAAACAATCACTGCAAGACCCAGGGAGGATGAGATGTGATAATAATGAATAAGTTTCTAATCAGACCATTGGCAAGAGCAAACAGTAAATGTCACGAATCTGAGAAACACTGGGCATCTTTCAATACCAAGAGACCTTGGCCAGTGGGAAGTTAATTGTATCTATGAACCATGCTGTAAAACTACATCACTTCGTAGCAAGTTACTGCAAAGAGCTTCAGCTAGGATGGACGGCACACTAGACCCCCAGAGACGAGGTAAACAAGATGCTGGCTATATAGCTTCCAGTCAGCATTAATCTAAAAGGCAACAGGAGGTACCCCGATATATCTTTTAATCAGAGTCTGAGAATAAGCTCTGACAGTCTCTAGAACAGCCTATATTCCCAATAAAACACAACTAGAAAATCACTTATTGAAAGAAAACAAAAATAAAATAATAAAAAACTATTTGTTAATACTTTAGGTTAAAAAGAAAAACTTGTTTTTAAACGGTGCTGAGCTAAACAGCTTAACAGACAACACCCAAGCAAGCTGCTGGTACGTTAAAGAAAAGAACAGAACAGGATATTCTGGAATTCTGTCAGTGTGCCAGTAGCACATTCTGCAGGTCCAGAGGGACCTCCCTGACTGAGAAGTGTGTTTCCTGCCTGCCCCTGTGTCAAAGACAGGTGTGTACCCTTGACAAGGTGCAAGGGGGGTTCTGGCAGCAGCACAAAGGGTGCTAAGCCAAGACCTGTGAACACCGGGCCATGAAGGACAGGTCTGCTGCAAGTTCTTCTGTGCTGGTTTCAACACCGCTAGTTCACACAGACAGCTCTCAGACCACAACACCTTCTGATTGGCTCGTTATCTGAAGGTAGAACTGAACAAGTGTAACTAACTAATTAGTATGGGTATGAAGTATGAACATACTGTAAATCAGGGAGCACTAGTGCTTGGATTCCCAGTTAACTCTAGATCAGCACTCCAAATGCAAAGGTGCATTCAATCCACTCCACTGCAGTATTGGCCCACTGCAATCAGCACCTTAACTGCTATACTGATCCCACTCCTTAAAAATTCAATAGGGAGCTACTTGCTACAAATCATTCAATGGCATGGATTGGAAGTGCCACCACTTAAGCCCTGTTCTAGACCACCCAATTCTGCACTGTCCCGCACCTGATCCACAAAAAACCCATGAATAACATTTGTGAGAATTCATAACTTACAGTCTGAGGGTTCATCTTCCCAGTCATCAATGACAGCAAATCACTGTCAGACATTGTAATGGTACAGTCTGCTTTCTTAGCTGAGGAAAAAGAGAATAAAAATGTACATAAGATTGAAGTCTGGCAAATGCCTGTTGCATCTGGTATGGTGAGTGCCAAACCACATGGTTGCAAAGACTAAGAGTGGCAGGCTTTCACCAGATCCCATGAGATCTCATCCCCATCTGTAAACAGACACAGCAGGCTTTGATTGATTCTTCTGATATAAATTCTCATATGCATTCCAGCTCCTACAGCTGAACCAAGGGGAAGTCAGGCACAGCCAACATCTTGACTACACAGTTTTAATTAGGACCAAGGGAGACAGCCTCTAGCGATGTTTTATTAACCGGGAGCTTTACTTAACAAAACAAAATAAATTTAAAATATAGCCATAAAACTTGGAAGAACTTGTAATAGGACTTGTCTTCATTTCACATTAAAGAAAAATTAAGATATTGAACAGTTTAAAACTCCCATAATTTTTTTAGCTTTATCCTTTAAATGGGCCATTTAGTGGCACAAAAATAAAAATCTTTAAATTATCTAAAGTAACTTCAGCACCTTACAAACAGCTGGAACCAAGTGGTACTGTATATGCTGAAAGAGTTTAATGAGAAAAACAATTAAATTAAATTTTCATTTTTAAGAGCAGCATACATATGAATGAAGAAGGCCTGAAACAAGTTATTGGCAAAAGATGTATGTATACATTTAAAATAAACTGTTTAAACCACAACCTGTCTCTACAGGTTGGTAGCGTAACAACCAATGAGGAGCAAGATGGCTCACTTCACCTCAATCAATAGCCAAACCTGTTTCTTGCACAATAAAAAGGTCATTTTTAATAATAATAATTGCTTACACTTATATAGCACTTATCTGAAGAAGAGGTACAGCTTAATCACCAGGTGGTTGATAAATATAGCTTTCTAGTTTGTTGCCATTTAATAATTGCTTACACTTATATACTGTAGCTCTTTTCTAGACACTCCACTCAAAGCACTTAACAGGTAAGGGGGACTCTCCTCCACCACCACCAATGTGTAGCCCCACATGGATGATGCGACGGCAGCCATAGTGTGCCAGAACGCTCACCACATGTTTTTTCTGCCATTGTTTCATTTAGGAGTAATTCCCCAGTGCTGTACTTTCCTTTCCTGACAGGAACGTGTGGTAAGGCGGGAGGAGGGGCCTGTGGACAGAAACATGAGCCCCAGACCTGTGTCAGTGTCCACGGAGCCTTTGCCATTCTTCACATCCACGATCCAGGTGGCCTCGTTGCCTGCAGGCCCATCCCTCACCTTGAATGCGAACACCCCCCCGATCTTCTTCACAAACTGCTCTCCTTCCTGCAGCGTGAGAGGACAACATCGTGAAGGAACCACACCATTTCCCAGTTCTTATCTACAATAAAACCACCCCTCTATTGCATTTCACGCATACAAACACTGTGCATTTAAACCAGGATCAGAAACATTCCAACACAAAAGAGAGCCAAAGCACTACATTTATAACAAAAAGAATTAATGTGAATTAATTTCTGTCCATTCGGGTTGACTTTACTGGAGCAGAAATCTTTTTACTGTGAAAAATACATAGGAAAATGCTTCATTAAAACACAAAGTAAAAAATCAGGCTTTCATTAATTATCATTATTATTAAGCTAACACTTTCATCCTGAGTGAATCTGAGTAAAGTACCTTCCTCAAGGGTACAATAGCACAAACCCTCTAGTGTCCTAACTACTACTCCAAACTTCTGCTCTAGTGCATAATGCTCAGATTTTCTCATACCCTTGAAATCCATATATTTACTATGACACTACTTACTTAGATGTACAGTGATATTAACTATATACCGTATACTGTATACTTCCTGTATACTTTTAATAACTTCTTAATTTCTCATGAGAGAATATGACTCCTCCTCCATACCTAAGCCCTCAGAAGCTTTCCTGCAACTCCAAGTTCGCAAAACTTAAGGCTTCAAGCTTTTGGCAATAATATTTTGGCAGTACTTTGAAAGCTATCTGCCGCCTCATTTTCACCAAAAACATTGGCACCAGAGGATGTAAAACAACTTCAAAACAGAAAAGGTCCATTTACATCCTATAAAGTCTAAATAAGGTAAGACCATACTGAGGAGTGCCATAATACCTCTAACAGGCCTTTTTGTCCACTGTTATTATCTCAATATGCTTAGCTTTAATAAGCTGTTAGGAAGCTCCTTTGACTGAGGAGACCCAATATAGAACAATGAGAGAGAACAATGCAGCTAGAACAGAAAGATTAACAAAAATAATAAGGGAAAATGACAAGAAAGCCCCAGATGCTCAAGGGTTTTTTTTAATAATACACTATAAAACAGATACACATTGCTGGAACAAGATCAATCAGTTCAGTCTTCCACGTCAAAACAAATTGTATAATGTAGTTTCCGTACCGACAGCATTACACACTTAACAGAAAATAACATCAAGCATTATGAGTCTGGTGAATGTAATTGTTAACCAGGAATATATACAAAGAGTAGAAGACGAGACATTTTGAATGCCCTTCATAAGATTAAAATAAGACTCCCCACAGATACTGCGCATTTAAATCAGTTCTGCAGAATTTGTAGCAATTTGTCACAAGTTTCAACTACCGTATATTTTACAATGTAAAAAGCACAAAACACAATAAATTAAATTAATACTTCAGAAGGTTTGTGATGCTAACGCAACAATTCCCATATGATGTGCACTTTATTTCTTTGAAACGTTACAAGTGAAGGTGCCTTGTGCAACTAAGTTCTCATCTGTGAGAGCCTGACAGATACTGCTTTTCCTACATTACTGGAGGTCAGTGGTGCTCTGCTGAGAAATTAACCTCTCCTTCCTGGATTAATGTTCTGGTTCTACAGAGACTGGCAAATCAGGTTGACAGGCATGGTACAAAAAGCTTTTTTTTCATTTAATTCCCCAGTTTCTGTTGCAACATCTTCAGCAGACATATTTATACAAAATCACATGAAGAGTAGGGAAGACTGTTTTACTGAGTATGTACAGTAGTATTGTTAAAAAGTTAAAAAAACTTGATGGTGCACACAATTGTCTGAGACCATCAATAAACATGTTTATGTGTTCAAAAATCGATTCCAAGACAGATAATGAATTCACAAATTAAATACTTTGTAAAACAATTTACATTTTACTTCGTCTACATGCCCAGTTTCGAAGTTTCGAAGGGACATATTAAAAATAAAATTTGACTTTTGCTCTGAATATAATTTTTATCAATACATTTACTACTGTATATTTAAAAAAAGAATCAATAAAAATATATAATAGACAATTTAGAATTAAAGAAATGATAAATAATTGGTAATCAGGCACTGTAGAAATTGCACTATAAGCATGGATGGAATATTATCAAGAATTACGGCTCTAAAATCATATATTTCCATTGGAAAACAACAGAAGTGTGGAAAGCACATCACCAGCACAGACTGTACATCCTGAAGCAGCAGGAGAGGACACTGGTTGAATATGCCTCATGAGGCACTTAAGAACCTTAGAGGACCAGCCTCTCCCAATACTACATGATAGGGTATGAAAATATTTAAAAATAAGTATCTGACAGACGTTTATATTTATATACATACAGTATTGCAAGCCATAGGTTTCTGAGTACTAGAAAATATTGAATGCATTCCTGGATTTTCATGCTAAATTAAATTTTAGTTACAGTTCTTTGAGAAAATGAATAGATTTACGGTGTAACATATTAAGAGAGGAACCATTCCTTAACTGTGGAGCTTTCCAATGCTGAATGTAATATGGACTGCCCTGAATCTCTGTTTGCCTTCCATTTCTTCTAAAAAAAAGGGAGTTTTGAGTTTTTACCTCTTCCAGTTTCTTCTCAATCTCCTTGAAAACAGCATAAGCCTTGAACCCCTCCAGTCCACCTGCCGCACTGGTGTGCACTGCCTGGATCCTCTGCGCTCTGGAATACCATGTGCAAATTAGACTTATGGTCTATAATTATTAGAACTATACTTACAAAGTGCTGTAATCAAGTGCAGATCATTCAGCCCATCTATCTCATATCTATCTAAATACTGTATATAAGGATCCTTACATATATTTTGTAAGCCTGACAATCAACCTTGCATAAAAGTTCAATTATAACTAAGCAACAAAGGAAATACTGATAAGGTGACCATCCTTAACAAAGCTTTAGTGCAATGCATTGAGAGTTGTGATGCGAGAAGGCCTTAAGAGCAAATATCAAAAGACCTCTTTGAAGACACCTCTAGAGGTGGCCAGCTTGTTTATAGATGGACAACCGTCTGCTCAGGTCAATTTTAGAAAACATTTTTTTCCCCTGGGATTGGTTATGTTTTGTGTGAAACAGACCAAGCATTGGTTTCTGTAGAGAAAACACGTCAAGGTTAGGAGCTGAGCTATTAAGGGCTAATACAGCTTATTTCAAACATCAAAAACATGCAAGTGACAGATGTAATTTTCGTCCCTTTATATAAAATTATGATCCATATCAAACACTTGTCACTGACCATAAAAACAAATTATCTGCAGTTAAAACTGTAAAACAACACAATTAACAAGTAATTTATTTCAATATGTATTTTCATGCTCCTTTGTACTGCAATTTGTAGAGGAAACAAGATACTGGTACTTGAAGAATTTTACTGAGTACGATTTTCAATATTGAATATGTGATAAATAGCTCAGAATACATCTTTTGTCACAAGTTGTTTAAAACTCTTGTAAGTGCAGAAAGATTTTATTTGCACTGCCTGACTCTGAAGCTCGGTACTGAAGCTCACACAAAATAAAAGTGGAGTTTCAGAACCTAAGGGTTCCCTATGGGAAAAGCAACAGCAGCAGTTCCACAGTGAATTCCACACATGCCACGCAGCCACACTTACACTAATGGGAAGTGACAAGGCAAAGGGTGGAGACAAAAGCGTACAAGACAAGAAAGACAAATACAGACAGAATAAACTCCTGGATTAATGATTTCATTAACCTCTTGCTGGACAGATGTCAGCTCAGCTGTAGTGCAGGGATCCATTTTAAAATCAAATCAAGAGATGTTATGTTAAAATTGTATAATGGTACCATTTGTACCAATTGTGGTACAAAACAGGCTTTTGCTCTTATCTGGAATTATTAGCAGCAATCAGATGCATTCTGCGAAATAAAGTAATGCCCAACACTGACAGGTGAATTACAAAGCAGACATACACAAAATCCAGGACTGAGTAGACATGTAGCAAATGAAATTTAATTTTGATAAAAGCAAAGTGATTCGCACAGGAAGTAGAAACATACAGCAGACACTGCATAGATGATCCAGAGCTGAAAGACATTAGGCATAAAAGGGAACCAGATTATATACAGTAGATTCTTCTACGTCCTCCAATTTGGGAAAGCAGTAACAAAGCCAAAATATTGCTTGGGTATACTGCAATTACAAGTCTGGAATTTAAATAATGTGAAGATATGCTCAGCCTTTATGATGCCTTTTGTAATATGATAGTGTTCCATTTTGATTGTAACATAAAATGTATATTACAAGCCTTAGAAAGAGCAGAAATAAGTGCAGACAAAAATATTCTCTACAATCCACTACATTTCACAATAACATAAAGCTGAATGATAAGCACTGGTTCCTTCTCCTGCTTGTAAATGTTTGTAAATCTTGCATACTTTTGTTTGACTTAATTTAATGGCAGCAATAACTCTTCAATAAATTTGTTTCTGGGGGCACAAATGTGATAGAAATTTAACATTTAGTACACACTGTGTTTGCTAGTTAGTTTAAGTTTGAAGGTATGGTATTTGGCTTGCTGCACGCAACTTGGAAGAGCAGCCTTTTTTCACAGAAAATATAAACACAAACCAAACTCTGCTGAGTGTTTCTATGCATTGATGTGGATTGCAAATTACTTTGTAGTGGCTCTGTGGCTAAGGATCTGCGCCTGTGGCTGGAAGGTTGCCGGTTCAAATCCCGCTGCCGGCAGAGGAATCCTACTCTGTTGGGCCCCTGAGCAAGGCCCTTAACCCCAACTGCTCCAGGGACGTTGTACAATGGCTGACCCTGCGCTCTGACCCCATGCTATCTCTCTATTTTTGTGTCTGTGTGTCACATGGAGAGCAAGCTGGGGTATGGGAAAAGACAAATTGTATAGGGTTAATAAAGTGATGTTGTTGTTGTTGTTATTATTATTATTATTATTATTATTAAGACACCTGAACACTGAAACGGGAAATGGTTTTCATTTGCATATTTTTGTTACAGGACAGTCCAGTTGACATGCTGGTTTCACAAAAGAATATCATACATGAAACTTATACTGATAATAAACAGAATGCAACTGTCTTTATTAAATGTAATGAAAACATTGCACTTGTCTCACTACACGAAGAAACAGTATATTAAAATTCACGGTAATCTTATGTAACTTTAGACTTCAAAACAATGAACTCATTATGTCATCCCTTCTTGAACACTGCTTCTCTAAGCCGATGACAGTGAGACTACTTACTTTGCATAAAGAGATGAATCGCGATTTTTTTTTGTCAGTTAGTCAAACTAATACTTTAGTACCTCACCTTGTAACCTGAGGAAAACCCATTCTGTACAGAGTTACTACCACAGCTCCACCGATACCGATGTTGTGCTGCAATGCAACCTTTGCACCCGGAACTTGCCTCTTCCCAGCTTCCCCTCTGAGCTGCCAACAGAGCTCAGCACACTGTGCCAGACCTGCAAATCGAGCACAGAGAAAACAGCGTGAATAGTTAGCGACGCACAATTTATAACGAGAACGTACTGTATGGGTGAAATCACAAACTTTAAACTCGCCTTTCAATCCAGCCAGCCGCGCAGCTTTGTATTTGTATACACACTTTTACCCTCCCTTTTTGTTGGAAAATAATGCATAAAGAGAATTTTATTTTTAAAGCATTTAAAAATAACGTCATTCTATATGTATAAATAAGCCGTATAACATGAGCCAGAACACACGTGCAAACTACATGGAAGTGCATTTAAAACTAAGAACGCGACAATTCTTTACACAAAGAGCTGAAGGGGTGTTGGACATCCTACCCATAACAGTCATAACAGTCATTTATACAAAAAAAAATGACAAGGTGAAAGCCTTCAAAGTGAGGACAGGTTCACTTTACAACTACCCGAAAATCAACTTACCTAACCATGCCAATGCTATTACCGACAAAACCTTTATCCAGCAATATGAGTTGCAGCTGCACATTTCTTTTCTTAAAATATATTATAATACACTTCTATTTCTGAGTTATTTTCAGGAAACCAAAATAACTTTTTTATTATTTTATATGTACTTATAGATATATGTCCACTGATTCTTGAGATAAGGTGAACAACACATTTTTTTTAAATAAGGGAAATTGATGGGAAACAAATAATGAAAAACAATGAAAACATTTAAATGCTATTTTTTAGTATTTAAGTGTCATAAACAATTACAAGAGTGTCATCATCATTTGTCATCCACTCATCCATTTTCTGACTGCTTCATGCTATACAGAGTTGCAGGGGAGCCAGAACCTACTGGACACAAGACAGGATCCAGCCTGGATGGGATGCCAGTCCTTCGTGGGGCACGCACTCACACCAGGAACAATGTTCGCAAAAGCCCATTAGCCTACCAGGATGTCTTTGGTCAGTGGAAGGACACTGAAGAACCGAGAGGAAACCCACATGGACACGGGAAGAACATGCAAACTCCACATAGACAGCAACCCAGGGCTCAAGCAATGCTAACTACTGCACCATCATGCCACCCAACTTAAAAATTCCTAACATCCATTTATGTAATAATACTCAATACAAGTTATCTATTCCCAGGCTTTGTGCTCTACTGTCTGAGAGGCAATACAAATATAAATTGGAATAATAGCTCTGGTGATGAAAAGGTATGATGGATTTTCTGAAATGAAAGACCTCTGCGTCAATTTTATGTGATGTTCCACTTACCTCACTTGGTTAAAGTGAATTATGATGTAATTGTGGTCTCTGCCTTCATGCAACATTTTTCTGAGTCTCTGTGATGAATTTAATTCACACTAAAACCCCCTGGACTGTTCAACCATGTAATAAAACTGTTCTGTTCTTTTTGTCACAGGAACAGCCTGGGTGGATTAGTTTTTTTGTTTTTTTAAACTGAATGGCAGCATGATAGTCACTGTGGTGTTGCTAAAAAAAAGTCAAGAGTAAGATCAGAGCCACTGTAGTTTGCTTAGATATGCTTAGAATTACTGTACACTGTTATATTTAACAATAGCCTTTTAAAATGTAACAGTCTATAGTCAATAGCACTCTCTCTCACCTCCTGGACATTTTCCAGACCAGAAGAGCAGAACACAGATCACGAATTCTAGCCAGATAGACAGCCCGCAGGGAGCAGCACCAAGACATTTGCAGGAGCACTGGCTTCAGATTATTAAACAAAACACACGTATATCAGTAATCACTAGCGAACACTTAATAATACTGATTAACCATATGCATGGCTGAAACCAACAAAGTCAGAGATCTCGGATTCTTGAACTTCTCGATATTTCTGTGAGTGGATGTCAAGGTCCAGTTCAGCAAACTAGATGTTGATTAAAATATTAGCCAACATCTAGTTTCATTAAGCAGCTGCAGAATGTGCACAACCTTTACATTCCCTGCCGTACTCTCATGCCCATTGAAACAACTTCCTAAAAAACAATATATAATCTTCAATTATGACAAAAGCAAAATATAAAAAATAAATACAGAAAACTAAATCTAACTGCTGTGACTCATATTATCATCCATTTTTCATGCAAAATGTCTATTAACACGTATTTTACCTGACTGATCTTCTTCCTTGTTTAATTGTTTTTGCACTTGTTCCTTCATTTAAAAAATATCCCCACTTCAAGCACTTTGTATCCAACTTCAGAATGTAGTTTACATTTTAAACACTCTCTCATTAACTTGCTTTCAATTGTCTGTTCCCTAAATATGCATTATAATATTTTGATAGGTGATCAACACAGTACGAACAGACATGGGAAAAAACGATCAGTCTTTCCCGTACAAAGTGCTTTTTCTTCTCCAGAAATGGAAGAAGAAAATGTCGGCTACACTTCAGGAAATACACCTGAATGAGAGCAGTGGTACAGGGCTTTAGCCCACTACAAATCTCAATGAACTTTCTAGGACGGAAACAAATGCATGCAGAAATGCATTAAAACGCCAACAAAAACCAGAAGAAACAGTGGTACCCCTGGATGAGGGGTTGGAACTACTGGTCTATGATCATAAAAAATGCGGCCACTTTCATTCTAGTGAGACCTAGTATTGCCACTTGCATTACATTTCCTCATCACACAAGCAATAAAAGATAAGTGATGACTCTTATCCGGAAGCAGCTGCAATGTGAATGTGTTTTTCTGACACAGTAATAAATGTCTAGGACAGGAAATCAGTAGAGACCGATCTCAGCCTCATAGTGCCTGATGATTGTAATGTTTGTAGAGCATTAGACAGCATATATAAAACTTAGTCACTTTTAACAAGCACAGGTGTAATAATAAATTTAACAAGTGTATTGGGAGCTAAAGATCAAACACCACATTATCTGTTTACGTGGCCCATCTTCACAGAGCTCTCAGCAGGGTAAATTTGCGGAAACTTTACAACATCCTGTCTCCAAATGACACAAAGTGAGCAACAACGCAAACGGACAGCGAAGGATGAAATTTCTAGAGATGCTCAAGTGAGAAGAAAACACTGAAATAACAAAACAGATGGGGGGGAGGAAAGGACAGACCCAAAGAGTGTGTGTTTTTTTATGAAGGAAGGCTTTTGGCAGATGAATCGGTTTTAATGCCAGGAACTGGACTCAGAGCAACGTTAGAAAATCTCAGAAAACATTAGAGAATCTCATCAGTCTAATGGAGCCGGCGAACTATCACCTTCTTATCTCTGACCCACAACACACACCATCCTGCACGTTTTTTTTCCCCACAGCTCAGCGGCTGCTGCTGGCCGAGGCGCAGGGGATAGGTTTGGGGGGGGGAGGGGGGGAGAGAACGAGTGTCACACAGGATTACTGCGTCTCACCCCGCAGAATTAAAACCGCCTGGCCCAGGAAAAGACTGCCAGGGCCACAGCACAGGGCAGCCAGGAGGCTAAAAGTGAGGACGGAGAGCTGGCTCTATAGCGCACACCAGTTAAATTTGTCACAACATGGATTCCACTCCCCACAGCCCCCAGTTTAGTGTCAGGTTGTGTCCCCTTGTCTCTTGTGTTTTACTGAAGCCATTTTATTGGGCTGGCACTTTTATCCAAAGCAACTTACACTTGTACCCATCTATACAGCTGGCTTGTTACTGGAACAGTCCAAGTGAGGTCTTTTGTTCAAGGGGACGACAGCAGTGTCTCTCCTGGAATTTGAACCCTAACCACTGCTCCACACTGCTTCCCTTACAAGCATGGTGTTCTGTCTGTTCTTCTGAGTAACCTCTCATATTGTCATAAATATTTCTTCTGCCAAAGCATTTTTTAAAATAATTTAAGAAACAAAATATGCAAAATAAAGTTCAGTGCCTGCATGCTGTTTAACCTGGTTCATTGGAGATTATCTTGGGAAATGACAATGACCTGTCATATATGGTAATCAATATGTACTTTTATAGATTTCCTATAAGCATAATCTCAGAAAAGCATATTCATATGTTAGTCCGCCTAAACAGTTGAAATTGACAATAATTTTATGCAGATTATTGATTCCATCTTTTTCTTTAACTTCGACAGTCTCTGGAGAAAAAAAAACTTTTTTTTTTTGAAAATTGCCCTTATTTAAATAGCAGAAGGTCTGGGCCCTGCACTGACATAATTCGACGATTTCCAACCAGTTGAGAAAAGGCATTAAGCGAACAGCTTGCTACGGAAACTCTTTCCATCCTGCAATTTGCTAGAGCAATACTGCCCTCTGCTGGTCATGTTACAGACGCAGCTGTTACTTTGTGCAGAGAATACAAGATCTTAGAAGTTATAAGCGGTCGGTATAAATCTCAGATATCATAAAGGCTAGATATTTCTACTGCTTCATCAGAACTATGAATTGGCCTGATTTTTGTAAGTCTGGAGAGTACTTGTCAATCCCAAACAAAAGGTTACATTTAGTTACTTCCAGTGGGCACGACAGCTTTGATATTGTTCCAGTCATTTTTTAAAAGACGCCAAGAAATGTGCTGTGATGTGGGGTCTGACAAACCTAGGGCTTCACACAGCAGGCAAAAGGAGAAAAAGGCAGCATGGTTTACCTGTGGCCCCTAAAGGGTGTCCCTTTGAGATGAGGCCTCCACTGGGATTAACTACCCACTTTCCCCCATAGGTGTTGTCTCCTCTGTCAATCAGCTCTCCAGCCTTCCCTGTAGGCACACACAGCTTCGCAATTACACAGTGCACTGAGTCAGAAATCTAGCATCCCCTGGATAATGGTGAACCAAGGCCAAATAATTCCAACCATAACTTGGAATCTGGGACTTTGTTCACATTTTGCTATGGACTCGACTCTTGCTCCAGCAGCTGTAAAGTCAGAATTTGTACTATACTCAAAGGCCAGTTAGGCCAATGATACCTTTATGACAGCAATGACAGACTTCTGGCGGGCTGAATGCTTTCTAATATAACAACTACAGGGTGTTCTATACTATTTCAAATCTTTTTTCTGTTTAAATGAGAAAAACAACAGCACCCTGCTCCTTCGGTTTGACTTGCTTTTACAGGAAGGCCATAACAAATACTGAAAATAAACATTTACTGAAAGTAAAGGCTCAACAAAGACACTAGTGGACATGAAACCAATGGAAACTGAAGAATTTGTGCTGAGTGTGTTCTCTTGCATCACAGATTCTGTCACCACAAAATGTCTGGTTTTTGATTTGCCAGCTGTAAAGATCAAACTTCAGTGCAGGTTTTAGTGAAACGTAACAGCGATAGTATCTGGTGTTTGCTAAATGTCATGGTCATGTCATGGTCAGCTTTATCAATTCCCTATTTGTTTTCCCTTATGTGTACGTTTGCATAAATGTTGCATTAATCAACATTTCAATTTCAACACCCTAGTAAGGAGCTGAGCATGCATATTTGAAAATGATGATGTTCTGGACCTATGAAGTTTTATGCAATGAGTCAAAGACTATTCGGAGCAACCCTCCTGGTGTGATCTCTGCCCAACTCCTGCCCACTGGTCAGACTCACCTTCTGGACACAGCCCCAGGGCTTCATAGGTGATCAGCTCATTTGCAGAGAAGCAGTCGTGCAGCTCAATGACATCAACATCTTCGGGCCGCAAGCTGGCCGCCTGGAAGCATCGCCTCGCTGCCTCCTTGGTCATGTCATACCCCACCTGGGCACACAACGCAGCGCTCGTTCACTCTGGCATGGCCAACCACCCTGCCGAGCCCACGGGACCCTAACACTGACACATGAGACACGCCAGCGGGCTTTCCTCTTCAAAGAGCTGACCTCCCGCTTCATTAAGTAAGAAACTACTTCATAAAGTGCCAGCAGCCATATCATCCTGCAACTCACTACTGGCAACCCACTGAAGCTCAACAGGTGTGAGCCTGGTCAGTACCTGGATGGGAGACCTCCTGGGAAAAACTAAGGTTGCTGCTGGAAGAGATAAGATAAGATCACTTTATTGGCCATATACAATTTCTTGTATTAGGCATACCCCAACTTGTTCTCCATGAGACACACAGACACACAGACAGGGAGAGAAGCTTGGGGTCAGAGCGCAGGGTCAGCCATTTATACGGCGTCCCTTGAGCAGTTGGGGTTAAGGGCCTTGCTCAGGGGCCCAACAGAGTAGGATTCCTCTGCCAGCCACGGGACTTGAACCGGCAATCTTCCAGCCACAGGCGCAGATCCTTAGCCACAGAGCCAGAGGTGTTAGTAGGGCCAGCAGGGGGTGCTCATCCTGTGGTCTATGTGGGTCCTAATGCCCCCGTACAGTGATGGGGATACTATACTGTAAAAAGGCGCCATGCTTTGGATGAGACGTAAAACCGAGGTCTTGACTCTCTGTGATCATTAAAAATCCCAGGGTGTTTCTCTAAAAGAGTAGGGGTGTTACCCCGGTGTCCTGGACAAATTTCCCATTGGCCCTTGCAAATCATGACCTCCTAATAATCCCCATCTATGAATTGGCTTCATCACTGTTTTCCTCCCCACTGATAGCTGGTGTGTGGTGAGCGTTCTGGTGCACTATGGCTGCCATCTCATCATGCATCATGTGGTGCTGCACATTGGTGGAGGTGGAGGGGAGTCCCCATTACCTGTAAAGCCCTTTGGGTGGAGTGTCTTATTATAATTATTATGCAGGTCTGAAATGGTTAGAAGAAAGCTCAAGATGTTGGCAATGCTGAAGAGAAAGCTTAAAGTTTGCCACCTTACAATAAACATACACTTATAGCACAACAGGACACATCAGGACTCAGCTCTTCAGTCAGTACTGGGAGGCTATGAAAGCAGAGCTCTGAACACAGAGGTACAGAGAGCACTTTCTCAACCTCTGTAGCGGTCTCTGGAGTTGACAATTCTGGGATATATTCCTTTACCACTACATTACATTTAAAATGCTTTTCTTTCATATTAAGAGCTTAGAACAAGTTACAAATGACAGGAGACCAGTCTTGCTCATTTTGTTGTGAGGAGCTAAGTGATCCAAGGATCTTTTCCAAAACATTCAGGCAAGAAGGCCACAAAAAAAGTTAGAAAATGCCATATAAATCTATCAAGACTCTAATTTGTACTGTATGGGGAGTTTGAAGTGTAGCAGATTTATAATGATGGTAAAACATTTTTACGATTGTGGCCCTCTTGCTCGGCTGCAGTCTGTCTCCCGCCTCTCACCATTTTAATGCAGCTGTTGTCCTGAAAGGTGCTGGCAAAGTCAGTCACCAGCTCCTGAGACAGGATCTCCACCGCCTTTTGCTCCAGGCCATGTCTCCTCACAAAGTCTTCACTGGCCAGCACTGCAGCTCCCGCGCCGTCAGAGGTGGGGCTGAAGATAAAAGAGATGGTCTCATGTCACTTTCCAGTCACTCGGTCCCAGGATATCCACAGCCTCAATCCGCTCCAGCACGACATATTTTAAAGGAGCTGCCAAGAGAAATGCACTTACATACACTGCAGACTTACAGTGTAGCCTTTGTGTAGCCACATACCACAAGCTATCAATATAAACACATGAAGGGTGTAAGTGGAGATTTGAAACAATGCTGATAAGTGACATGTGAAGCACAGCAGGTCTTCAAGTTGCCTTTAAACCATCAGTCAGTTAAATTATGAGGTACGGACTTGGCCATTACTGGCTTAACTTGACCAGCATGAGAAGGGAGGTAGGTCCTTTTTTTTAGGTCATAAAGGCCCATGGGGGAATGAGGGGCAAGGGCCACCATTTTTCTTGACCATCAGACAGTAGAGGTGGAGGTGATATGGTCAGCACCACGCTCCCACCGGCCTATTACCCCCAGAAGGATTAACCCCAGTACTCATTTGGAAAGCAGGCTGAGTGGACCTGGGAGCGGTCTGGAAGGAATTAGAGCAGGCTACATCACTTGCCCCTACCTGGGGTTGAAGCCGGGACCTTCCAGTCAGGAGCTAGACGCCCTTGCCGTCTGAGCAACCACAGCTCCAACCAGCTTGAGAAGGCTTTCAGTTATTCTCGATTCACTTGTCCTCAAAAGCCACAGGTGCTTCTTGATTGCATCCCATGTGTGATCTAAGCTTTTTAACCAGAGCTACTTAATTCTTTAGCTTTGTTTTTTTTTTCAATTTTACAATATAGGAGCTTAAAAAGAGGCAAAATTCTAGAGCTCCTCCACTGGACTCAGCTATCACTCATTTACTATTCTATCTGAATGCAAACTGTAAGTAAAAAGTGTATGCACTGCAACCTGAACCCAACAAACATCCAGATCTTACAATAACAGCAAATATTTTCAATCTATCACATAGCACAGAAAGAAAAGAAAAGTTTGATTTGTAAGAACTGGTCATGCTGAATAGCTGTTTTGTATTTGACAATCTATGGGTTTTTTTTCCCATGTCTTTTTTAATAGTATCTCTCTGTGCTCTCTGTCCACAAGCCCCTCTCCCAGGACTCATTTTCTTACCAGCACTGCAGCAGAGTAAGGAATCTAAAGACCTTCCGAGACTTCAGCACTTGATCCAGAGTGTATTCTTCTTGGAACTGAGAGTACCTAACGCACACAGATGTACAAAAAGGTCTAATACTGGATTGACTGTTAGTATGTTTTCAGTGCACAAACACAGTAAATGGATAGCTCTTGCACAAGGTTATAATGCCAGAGGTATAATGAGAATCATTGCTAAGCAGACATACTGTACAACCAGCTTTACAACATATAGAAAAACTATGCAAACTTAGATTGCAGTAATCACGATGGACATCTAAGTGTAATCAGTACAGGACCATATATCACATGGATTATGCTGTGTGTATACAGTAAATAACCACACAAAATTTGCAAGTTTACAGCAATTATAAAATCTGCTTGGATACCAATGGAACATCAAATGCAAAGGCCTTCTTCTTACGGGTTGTTGATGGAATGTTTGTGGTTCTTCCAAGCGATTTTGGCAAAATGCTCGGGCTTGGTGCCTGTAATTCAACACGAGAGAATTAACAATCGTATTTTAATTGTCCTGATTATCATAATGGACTGTCCAGTTACATATAGATTTACAGTGGTCAGAACAAATATGCAATCTTAGATACAGTAGCAGTAATCATGGTGGGAATAATGACAAGTTGCAGCTTTTTAAGGTTAAAACAATCATATTTGTTCACAGTTCAATCCTTTATTCTCCAGGACTATGTTAGGCTCCAATCAGGTTAGATTTCTATTCTAGTGTGCCCGCATAATAACAAAGGTAACATATTTCAAACATTCACATAAATTAATTATTAGATACTTGGCATTATATTTAAAAGGTGTGGGGTGAATCTAAATTAAATAACATGAAGGCAAGAAACATTTTTTGCTGAATCAATCATGAAGTTGTCACTCTAGTAGTACTATGCTTCCTTCATTTTAAACCCCCAAATCTCCACCAAACCTGCACACCCCTGCTGTCCTACCGTATTTCTCCATGTGCTCCTGACCAGCATTGCCAAACATTTGGGGGGCGGCGGGGGCAGCTGCCAGGCCATACTGATTGATCATCACCTCCATGTGCTTGTCAATAGGGTTGGTCCGGTCCATGTACTGCAAGACGTTCAGAATGAACACCTTCAGAGTCCATTTCCAGCAGGGCTCCAATACTTTAACTTACAACGAATCTTCAAAGCATAAAATTTGGAATCGTTCATAAATCCCAAAGGATTTTTCTTCTCCAGGTAGTAGACTGGTTAAGGTGTTTTTTAGGATGATTTATTCTTTGTTTCCTTTTTGATTTGTCTACTTTATTCTGGGTCTTCCCTACAATATGTCCAACATTAGCCTGCAATATCTTGATGATTTAGCCTGCTCTGTTCCTCCTAGCTTAAATAAACTCTCTTAGCTCCTGTTCCAACTATACTAGAGCTCAGTCACCCCTGTCACTGACTGCTTACTGTAGTCTCCCTGTGAACATCCTGGTCGACAAACTCCAAAGCTTTTCTCCTGCTTTTCTAGAGCTCTCTCCTAACTCAGCATACCTGGACACAGTAATGGTGTTACCACATGCAGTAGGAGATTTTCCTCTTATTTGTGGAAATGCCAATATCATCTTGGTTAGTCTGACAAATCCCAGCATCTCTCAACCATTTTCCCCACTTACTGTGCCATTTTGTCATAGATGACAATGATAATGACAATTAGAAAACTTTCATATGTATCACACAAGTAAATATGATCACGATCTTGAAGAAAGAACCAAGACCAGATAAAATGACTTGAAAAACAAAACAATGTCAAACTTTAGTATAGCACATGGAGTACACCAATAAAAACTTTGTACCAAAAAAGAACAAAACCCCATTCGAAAAATCCCTATAACATCACATTGTTTGGTGGTAAAAATGAACATCAATGAAGAAAAATGTGTAGTACCTTGGACGACAGGGAGCCTCTCTCCATCTTCTCAAATCCCAGAGCAAGGACACAGTCAGCCAAGCCTGTCCATTAACAGTTGACAGAAAAGAAAAAAGGACAGAACTCTCAGGGGGAAAACAATCTCCACTTCCGAGTACTTAAGATGAATGGGTCAGAATTTTAAAGCTATCAAGGTACAGGAGTAATAATTGAGGTAAATCTATTCTGCTCAGTCTAAAAAGGAAATACGTAAGGAAAAAAATAGGTCATAAAGTAATGGGACACAAACTGCAGAAAGTAGAAAATATGATGAAGAAGGGCTCTCTAAAGACACTTGCTCACAACGCGGGTTGAGTTCTGTGCTCGCGGGTTCGAGCCTGGCTCTTGTCACTAGCTGACTATGACAGCACATCTGGCTGAGCACCACAAGGGTAGGCTTGAGGAGTCGGGACTCCTGCAACTTCCCAGCTTCCTGACAGAACTATTGCATCATTAGAAACTAACTAATACCTGGGGGAGATTATTTTGACAAATTTTACAAGAAATTAGAATGTAAGTTAAAGGTGGCCTGAATTGAAAACCAGACATTCCTGGAAAAATTGATTTATGACCTCTTTTTAAATTGATAATTTTGCTACTGCAATTAATCCGAATTGTCACTGTTTCAAGGTCTTTTGCTCCATTGTTAACTTACACATAACTTTTTGTGTACTGTTCTGGTTTGTTCTTTGTATATTCTGGACTGTGAGCAACTATTCTTAGTGCAATTCTCACTGACTGTACTGATTGTATTGTATTGTTGTATTATTGTATTATTTAGTAACACTGTGCTGTGTTGACTATGCTAAGCTGCTGCTGCACTGCAATTTCCCTCACGAGATCAATAAAGTATCTATCTATACAAAGCACCTACAAATTCTTAACAGAACTTGGTTAATTCACTGCAGCTGTTTCAAAGACAACTCAACAAACTTTCACCTTTCAGGTTTCAAATGGACATATTATTACCCAGTAGAATCATCTACAACACTTAAACTTTTAAAAGACTTCTGAGCCACTCCAAGTGAAAACAAGTTTTCAGAGGCTTATGTAGAAGTCAAGTTACATTTCTCAGGGTATATAAGGAGATGGAGCACATATTCAGTAATTTTCCAGCTGCTCAGACCTTGGTTCTCTGACTACTGTTTTGATTTCCAACAACACTTGTTCCTGCCATCTGGCATCTTATGACACTCTTTTAATCTATGCCACACAAGTCATTCAACTGTACCACAAGGTCCAGTTTACTCCTCTGACTGCTCTACCTTCCTGAAACCCTTCAAGAGTGCTTGTGTGGCACCCATGCTTACCTCCCTGCACCAGCTGGCGTGCCAGGAACAGTGCGGTGGACCCTGTGGAGCAGTTGTTGTTGACATTGACAATGGGGATGCCCGACAGCCCCAAACCGTGGTAGATGGCACGCTGTCCACAGGTGGAGTCCCCTTTCAAAACAACACGTGGCACTGATTGGTAATTGGGCATGCACAAGATTGAAGCACTGGACAAGGACTCCAAGACTCCAGTTCCATTTAGAGTCAAGGTAAAGCCTCCTTCCATCCAGTATCAGAAAACCTCTCACTCCATGTAAGAGTCACAGCAACCAGATGCCTGTCCCAGAAGCAGAGGGCATAAGGCAGGACTATACCCTGCACGGAACACCGGTCATCTATCAATGCAAATCTACTCAAAAAAGGTCATATTTATGAAATAACCACCACAAGGCAGAGGCTTGTATAGAAATAAATGCCTGCAGATCAGAACATGTGAAAATATTATACAGTGGGAGCCTGTTACTTCATTCCTTACACATTTCCATGAGTCCACTGCCCAATAAAAAAAGACCTGCTCCTTCTCTCCATAAAACACAGATGAGGTAAAGAAGGCTTTCTCTCTTCTTTAAAGCTATGGTGATAGAGTAGTACAGAACACAGAATCACTCACCATACACATAGCCAACACAAGCCTGCTCCACGGCAGAATAAGAGATCCCAGCATCGGCAAGGGCTTTCTGACCTGCAACAAACAGTTTTCCTTATCAACTTCTCCTTTGGCAAAACTCATATGATGTGCTGTACTCGCATAGCGAATCCTTAAATATACTGAATGCCCTGTTCAAGACAGATAAAATCTGATCACTGTCCCAGACCTAGCCTATGTCAAGCTAATACTATGCAGGACACAATGCTGTCTACTGTATTTAACCTTTAATAGGAAGCTGCATGTGTGACCATTCGTTGGATCCCTGGAGCAAAAAGGACATCTGTGCATTATTAGTCTCTGTGTTGTATAGTCATCCTATTTGCATGAAAACTTACATGCCCACATACTTATCTCCAAGTGAACGCCCTGTCCACTTCCTATAAAAAAAAACACTTACCCGCTTCTTTTGCCATGTCAGGGTAATCAAACTCCTCTCTTGCCCCCGGCTTCTCAAACTGCAAAGAGAAATTGTCACAACAAAGACCTCTGTCTTGTCACTTGTCAAGATGCAATGCGTGATTTCCACACAGAGTTGGGGTAAATCTCATTTTCTAAATCAGATTCCTCTTTGGAAATCAATTGCCACCTACAATTCAATTTCAGGAATTCCAGTTGCATCTGTAAGGAAGCCACATGCAGTGTTCACAACTTCTCCATGTGCTTGACAGGACAGAGGCTCTCAGTGAATCCTGTGCTATAAGGTGAACTGGATGTGTTAAAAAATTATTATAAATCAAGTGTAAGTGAAACTGAACAGGGATTGGGAAGCCACCTTAAGAACTACTCTGAAATATAAATGAATTGATCTTGTCATCATATTTTTTTTAACCTGTATTGCTTATAATGGCTTTAGGCTATAGAGTCTGTTTCTTGTGCTCCACATGGACTCATATGCAGACTAGTGTGTTTACAAGTCCAAGAGCACAGTTAAAGTTGATTTTTAACAGAATGAGACAGCAGACTAGTACAAAAGGACAAGTCAAACAAGAATACTGTGCTACACAGCCGTGATTTATCTTTGTGGTGTATCTTCAGAAACAAATGACTAACCCAGATCTCTGTACAGAGGTGAACTAGAGTCATGCAACACCTTACCACTATCAGATGAACTTTGTGTACTTGAACTTTACATTAAGATTAAAATTTCAAAGGCTTCACCTATTTCAGGTAGAACACCTTGCAGACAGTAATGTGCTCAATAAAGGTCAAAGTCTTCTACCATGCTTTAATTTTGACTTTTGAAGATTTTTTTAATAAAGAGGACAGATCTGTACTGTTGCAAAAATTCAGCTCTTCTTCACTTTATCCAAGCACAGATGAGCAGACATAAAAAATATTTTATTTCGATTTACTGACAAGAATAAACTAAAGATGAGACGCACTTAAACGGTACAGTAGTGCATTGCAGGGACAAAACTGAATTAAGAGGGAAGAGACTTAATACCAATAGAGTGTGGACCAACTAGTGAATTTAACAGAATATTTTATACGTTTTATGAGATGTACATAACACTGACCGAGATATTAAAATATAACAGAGTAAGAAATGCTCATCGTCAAAAGTAAAACAGCTCTGCATCTAGCCATTAAAATGTCAAAACAGGAATGAACTTTGACACAGTAATTTCACAAGACTGTATGACAAGGGCTTTTAACCACTCTAGACACACGTGCAAACCTGTCCTACATAAAACTAATTTCTATTCGAACTTTAAATTGCGGTCCGGGTATTTACTATACCTTGGACATACCCACTCCCACAACAAACACTCTGCGTTTCTGAGGAGCCATCTTTCCACAGCCTACAAACGGCAGCTTTCCACGGCAGACAGTGCACAGCCAAAGCCAGTTCACAGTCTAGCATGCACCGCCCTCTAACACCAGTCGACACAGATTCTTAAAGAGACAGCACACTGCTCAAGCAAGGTACACTTGAATCCTTTTATTTTGAATTAACGCAGTAGCGCGTTTTCCGTTAAACTGATAAATTGGTATTTAACTCCAAACATCTCATAGTAAATAAGATGTTCTCTGATTTTCATAGCATGCTGTATGCTTCTTACGTATATCACAATAGGACGTTTAGCAACGCCTACAGAGATGCAGAGTAGATGAATACAGATTAGGATTGGGATGCAGCGAACGCCTCCTAATTTTGAAATGCAAAAGCAAATGTATGACCGGGTGTCATAGCTCAATCGGTTTCATAACTATAATTATTGTTATCTGAGTTGTTTTATTTAGCAGTGGATTTAAAGAAAGCGTGAAAAAATTGTTAATAGTACGGTAGGGGAAATCGTTGGGGAAAGACAAGTTGTAGCGGGGGGACTATATTTAGTGGGACACCGATTGAACCTACTTCCTGATCGGTGAAGTTAGTCTGGGGGGGGGTCAAAGTGAATGGGAATAGGGATCGTCTAGGTTGAGTCAGTGTACTGTAATTTAAAATAAATTGGAATTGAGGATCAAAATAACTTTTGATGTAGTGTTAAGGTCGCTGAACTGCTTCTATAATTGAATTCATCCATCTTTTTGCTTGTTGTTGCTGGCTGTAGCTAAATCAGATGGCAAACTTGGTATTTGTGCAGTTTAATTCAGCTATGAGAAGGTGTGGGAGACTGTCTCCAGTCAACGGTGCTGTTTTCACCTCGAACTGGTCCAGCCGGCGGACTTACAGCAGTGAACTTGATCCTGGTTCGGAATACCTTCACAAGAGCATCGTCCCAACAATGCACTACCAGAAAAGTTTACCCAGGTGAGCGCAGTTTTAATATACCTGCTCCCACATTAAGAGTAGTTAGAAAAACGTTTTAGAACATGCAGTCAATGAAAACACAACAAAATTAATCTACAGAAATGTAATAAGAAAATCCAGATTCCAAAGTTGTACTTTACAATTAAATTGGGAGATTATTCCCAAAAAGCGTCTTTAAATTTTATACATTTTGAATGTGAAACGTTTTAGTTAATTGCCAGCGGTTTTGACATATATTCCCTGTGCTGTGCTTAACTGTAACTTTATGTGAAGTCATAATTTAAAGTTATCCTCTCATCCATGTAAATAATCGTCTGAATGTGTGAACTCCTTGTAAATCTTTTACTGTTATTCACGTTCCAAAACTTCTCTTGATTGTTTTCTAGGTTTAATATAATGGAAAAAAATAATTGGCTTAACAGGACAATAAAATGCTTTACCAGCATAGTGCATAGGAGGTACGATGTCGCTGAGAATGTAGGTGAGAGGTCACCGACAATGTGAATAAAGACAGCCAATCTGCTGCGAGTTTTGAGACTGCTGTGCGCTTCGCAGTGTTGCATGTAAATACATCCTCCTTGCAACCCCGATAGTTAACGTAGCATCCAGAACTCGACTTCTGGCTGACGTATCAATTGAGGCCAACAGAAACCGATAACATTGCAATATACGGATACTGTTGCATGTGATTGTCTTCTGTATGTATAATATTGTTAAAGTGAGCTTTCTTTTTAGATTGCCTATTCCCAAACTGGAAGATACAATAAGGCGATATTTAGCAGCCCAGAGACCCCTATTAAATGATGAACAGTACAGGTAAGAAATATGGTGCCATGTTGTTTAGCTTTGAACCCTTTTTTTTCCGTTTTCCAGCACAACCATTGTGTAATGGAGCCTCTTTGAAACCTCTTTCTTTAGTGTCCTATCATATATTAAATAAGACTTTATTGATCCCATAGATAGATATTAAAGCTAGTGGACATCTTTAAGATCATTTATATCCTGCATTAAGTTGCATATTGCTGCAAGGAAGTCTGGGACAGGCCTATTCCCCTCTGCCTCAAGCCCTGTTGTTGTGTCTTTGCAGCAACACTGAGAAGCTGGCCCGCAGCTTTCAGAATGGTGCAGGAAAGGAGCTGCATGAGGAGCTGGTGGCCCAGAACAAGAAGAATAAACACACCAGCTATATATCTGGTGGGACAGCAAATCCTCCAGAATCTATGCATTTTAAGCAGCATACATAGGCTCTTTGAGGTTTAAAATGCAAAACATGGCAGGTTATTTTGAAACTTTGTTACTCGGTTCACTTCAGTTATTCTTTTTTTGGTGTGTTCCTCTCCGTTTGTAGCCCCCTGGTTTGACATGTACCTGTCTGCCCGGGAGTCAGTGGTGCTGAACTTCAATCCCTTCATGTCCTTCAATCCCGACCCCAAGCCGAAGTACAACGACCAGCTGGTGCGCGCCACCAACATGACGGCCTCGGCCGTGCGCTTCATGAAGACGCTGCGCTCCGGCTGCCTGGAGCCCGAGGTCTTCCACCTCAACCCGGCCAAGAGCGACACGCGCGGCTTCAAGAAGCTCATCCGCCTCGTCCCCCCTTCCCTCTCCTGGTACGGCGCCTACATGGTGAACGCTTACCCACTGGACATGTCCCAGTACTTCCGCCTCTTCAACTCCACCCGCATCCCCCGGCCGCGCCGGGATGAGCTCTTCACGGACGAGACACAGAGGCACCTGCTGGTCATGAGGAAGGGGCACCTGTACGTGTTTGACGTTCTGGACCGCAATGGCCACCTGGTGAGGCCGGCAGAGATCCAGGCTCACCTCCAGTTCATCCTGGACGACCCCGCGCCGCCCCCGGCCTTCCCGCTGGGCTTCCTGACCAGCGAGAACCGAGACGTGTGGGCCGGGCTGCGGGAGAAGCTGCTGGAAGCCGGGAATGGGGAGGCCTTGGGGAAGGTTGACAGCGCCCTCTTCTGCCTGTGCCTGGACGACGAGTCGATGAGGGACCACATCCACACCTCTCACAACATGCTGCATGGCGACGGCTGCAATCGCTGGTTCGACAAGTCCTTCAGCATCATCCTCACCAGGGACGGGTCCGCGGCCATTAACTTCGAGCACTCCTGGGGGGACGGCGTGGCGGTTCTGCGCTTCCAAAATGAGGTCTTCAAGGACACGACGGAGCGGCCCCTCGTGGGCCCCGACTCGGCCCCGGCTCCCGGGGCTGACTCAGCCTCCGCAGTCCGCAGGTTGGAGTTCATCCTGGATGGCCCCCTGCGGGACGGCATCGCCAGGGCCCGAGAGAGTTTCCAGGCCACCGTGTCCAAGCTGACCATCAACGCCATGGAGTTCAAGACAGGGGGAAAGGAGACCCTGAAGAAGAAGAAGCTGAGCCCCGACGCCGTGGCCCAGCTGGCCTTCCAGATGGGCTTCTTGCGGCAGTACGGGCAGACGGTGGCCACGTACGAGTCGTGCAGCACCGCGGCGTTCCGACACGGGCGCACCGAGACCATCCGCCCAGCAACGGTGCACACGCAGCAGTGTGCCAACGCCTTTGTGCGAGAGCCTTGCAAACACAGTGTGGATGAGCTCTTCACAATGTTGGGAAAGTGCTCCAAATACCATAGCCAGCTCACCAAGGAGGCAGCCATGGGTAGGCACCTTTCGCATTTACTTGCATGTGTGTCTTATCTGAATCATTTTTAATAATAATAATTGCTTACACTTATATAGCACTTATCTGAAGAAGAGGTACAGCTTAATCACCAGGCGGTTGATAAATATAGCTTTCTAGTTTGTTGCCATTTAATAATTGCTTACACTTATACACTGTAGCTCTTTTCTAGACACTCCACTCAAAGCACTTTACAGCTAATAGCGGCTCCCCTCCACCACCACCAATGTGCAGCACCCACCTGGATGATGCGACGGCAGCCATAGTGCACCAGAACGCTCACCACACATTAGCTATTACACATAGGATTATTAGGAGGCCATGACCGGTAAAGGCCAGGGGGAAATTTGGCCAGGACACCGAGGTAACACTCTTTTAATAACCACAGAGAGTCAGAATCTTGGTTTTACGTTGCATCCGAAGGACAGCACCTTGTGATGTGTGAAGCTTGACCAATTCCCAATAATAATATCTTAACTACATGGGTGATAATATTAACAGCTCATCAAATTGTTAGACACAAAATGCACTGAATTTTTAGCCAGCATTTAAGTTTTCCAAATTCTGAGGGAATTCAACCAAATAAATTATAGAAAAAGCAAAAGTTCAAATCTTCAAGGAAGTTAAGATATTACAGTAATTTACATTTTAAGCAGTAAACTTGCTTACTTACTTAAATTTAGTTGCAACTTCAAGAGCGTTTATTAACATGAGTTATTGGTTAAACCATCCTCTCATTTTCCTAATAGGCCAAGGGTTCGACCGACACCTGTTCGCCATGAAATACCTGGCCAATTCTAAAGGGCAGACTCTGCCCAGCTTCTACCAAGACCCTGCCTACGCAGCCATCAACCATAACATCCTGTCCACCAGCACTCTGACCAGCCCTGCGGTGAGCCTGGGTGGGTTTGCGCCGGTGGTCCCTGATGGTTTCGGGGTGGGCTATGGCGTCCACGACCACTGGATCGGCTGCAACGTCTCCAGCTACCCAACCCGCAACGTGCACGAGTTCTTGCAGTGTGTGAGCAAGTCGCTCGAGGACATTTTCACAGTGCTGGAGGGGAAGCCCATCAGCTAGAGAAGCCACTGCAGTCTCTGCAGTCCAACAGTAGCCAGATGCAAGCGCTAGCAGTGCGGACTTCCTCACCCGGGAATGCCCGGGTTCCTTCAGAGGAACTTGAGAGGCATTTCAAAATCACAAATCCAAATCAGTTCTACTATGCTTTGTTACAAATGCTTTCTAGTCCAGCAATATTCCCTCTCCATCTTTGGGATTGTTTTATCAGTAATGAAGCATGGCAGGCTACTTCATAGGGTTTTGCAAAACAATATTCTGACTTCAAGCCATCCCACACAACCTGATACAATGTTATAATGCACCTCTGGCAGGAATGACAATGCCAGATACAGCTCTGGCAGAATTTAAAAATAATCTGCAGAATTCTTTACGGCACCTACAAAGAATTGTTTTCAGAATTTAATCTTTAGTCTCTACAAAATGTTGTAAATTATAACATTGAGAGCAGAACACAGAAAATGATTTACAAGATAGACCTTGCATTTTAATCTTCCCAGCAGCAGACTGAAACAGTCTCTAACTGAATGCATATACTTTTATTCTAAAGCACTGTTATTGAGGAAATTTGAAAAATAGCAGTCAATATTATGTTTTTTGAAGACCTACTATAAGGTAGTGTGTTAATACAAAAAAATATTTAAAGTGCAACCTCATGTGGTGTGAAAAATGGTTTCATGAGTGAGTTTCACCAAATGTTTGTTATTGAAAATTGTAGCAAAAGGATTGTGCTAAAAATGGATTTTTGCACAAGAAATAATGCTCTATTCTGAAGCACTGTGAAAAGAATTTAAAACCAACACAACCTCTACATGACTCTCCTTGTTTGATTTTAGAGCAGATATGCTTAAAAATTGTGCCTTAATAAAGGAAATTGTTTGCTTTATTGACTTCTCCCCTCCTTTTTTCTTTTGAAATGTTTTTGGACATTACTAGCACTGTGCTAAAAGCTAAAGATGGCTACTGAAACCCACTTTAAATAAATTAAATAATTATTGTTTGTAAATGCAAAATCCTACATTGGAGTGTTGCCCTCGATTTGTACTTGCAATAATTTACCTTCTTAGAAGCAATTTGTATCAATTGCAGAACATTAATCTAATAATCATTGTACACAAAAAGAAATACAGTGTCTTACCAGGGACATCTAATGCAAGAGATTATCAGTCTTGATTTTATTAAGGCTTTTTTATACCACAGTCAGCAGTTTCTCTTTTTAGTAAAGACTTTTTTACCCATGTGGACAGATAGCATCAAGGCTTTGCCCTGCTGTCAGCACTGCGCTGACCTGCCTCTGAACTGGCAAAAATGAATACAATGCTGTCGGCGTATTGAATTTGTTCAGATTCACCACCACCCCACACACTGTCACTAGAACAGGCTTAGCACATGACACACGTGCATGTTTCAAGTTTGGTGAGGTGATGAGGTCTTGGGAGTATCCAGGAAGCTGGAGAATCATCCATCCAAGGAGATCAGCATTTGATAAACTGGTGAGTGACTTCATAGATGCCCACTGACTCGCTGATCTTCTCATCATATTCATTCCAGTCCTGAGTAGTGGGGGAGAAAAATGACTAAATGACTTGAACCTAATGTTTTCCCAGCACTGTATTATTGGAAGGCAGTGACCTTTGTGTGTTCCATACAATACAGGATGGCACAGTCTGATTTACCTCCTATTATTCACAACATTCAATCTAAAAGGAGCCACTTACTCCTTCCTGCAGGTTGATCTCTGGAAATGGGGTCCCAGATTCTGCTCCCTTTGCAGCAAAGCCAGCCTAAAAAGACGAAAATAATCAAGCCGCAATTGTAGTACAGTCTTACATATAGTATCCAATACATATCCAGTATATACATATACAAAAAGTCCATTCACCTGGGGCTGAAAGTCCACCGGCTCCAACCCTCGACATTCAAACTGCACAATCGTCTTAAACTTGTCACTGTCCTCAGCCTGAAGAACAAACACAAGTCAGTGGTTTCTTAAAGTAGAGTTGCACCACACACTTATTTTCATTCTTAATGTTTTCATTGTACTTAAAAGCATTACTTTGATTACTGACAGAAACAAGTGTGTTGTGTCAAGCATTTATATAATAATAAGCATGTAATTTACCCATGCCTTACTAAAGGTTTAAACTCAGATGCTAATTATTAGATATTGTAATGCAATTCAGCAGCTACACGTTATTGTGAAAAAACTACACTTTAAATTGCTGCAGATGGCATTCTTTCATTAGATCACTGTATATGTGTGTATACTGTAGGATTAGTGATAGAATAGCTATACTTGTCATAAACACATTTTTTTTAATACAGCACAATCCACTTCAAAAATCACATAATAAAATCTAAATCCATGTAAGTAATCCAGGTTTTACTTACATTGTATGGAGTAATGGTATCCTTTAAGATGTCTGTTGAAACATTAATATTATATTAATAATGCATAGAAGTGCACTCAAAAATAAAGGTCAATATTTGAAACCAATTATCATGCAAACAGAAAAAGTAAAAATAACATTCTCTTTCAAATCTATTAGCAGTCATTAAAATCCTGTCATATATACAGATGGACTCTTTTGCCAGTTCTCTACATACATGGTTATTCCCCAATAAGTTCCTACAAGGAAAACCGTTCAGGTTAGTAATGGAACAAAACCTCAACAGCAGATCTCTCCAGAAGGAACACCACCCTACCAACAAAATCTTCTAGAGAGAACACTCCACCTAAGCAATAGAATTCTCCAGACAGAACACTCCACCTCACTGCCAGAATTATCCAGACAGAACACTCCACCTCACCAACAGGATTCTCCTGACAGAACACTCCACCTCACCAACAGAATTCTCCAGACAGAACATTCCGCCTCACCAACAGAATTCTCCAGACAGAACACTCCGCCTCACCAACAGAATTCTCCAGACAGAACACTCCGCCTCACCAACAGAATTCTCCAGATGCAACACTACCTCACCAGCAGAATTCTCCACAAGAAACATCACCACATCAACAGTATTCTCCAGACAGAACACTCCACCTCACCAACAGAATTCTCCAGACAGAACACTCCAACTCACCAACAGACGTCTCCTGACAGAACACTCCACCTCACCAACAGACGTCTCCTGACAGAACACTCCACCTCACCAACAGAATTCTCCAGATGCAACACTACCTCACCAGCAGAATTCTCCACAAGAAACACCACCACACCAATAGCATCCTCCAGACAGAACTTACTCACCAATAGAGTTCTCCCGGGAACACAACTTGCACTTCTGGACCATGCTGGCACTTCCCCTCCCTCCTTTCAGAGGCATGCTGTCCTGTAAAACAGCACTCCATCAAACCAAAAGCTTGATGGCAAACAGCAAAGAAAGACCCATGCTGCCCAGTTACGAAACAGTCTCCTATGTGGATTCCATATTTGTGATTATTTATCTTATTCACATGAAGCAATCTATATTTAAATTACTATAGTTTGTAATGTGTCATTTTCCTATTGCACAGCTTTACTGTACCTATATAAAAACCATAAATGAATTAACTAATCTCTCAAGGTGAAAGTAAAAAAATAAACTTAAGGTTACATCCTACAGCTGTAGTGACCAGAAAGGACATGAATGTTTGAGCACTCATGCCCTTTCTCTAAGCAATGTCAGGACATCAGGAATATCACAAGACTCTCTCAACAGGTTTTACAAGCTGTGTCACACCCAGACTTACCATTAGTGTGATGTACTGCCATTTGTCTGATACTTCTCCGCAATTTCCACACTTCAACTGCATCAAAATATCAATTAAAAAATGCATAAGGAACAACATATACACAAATGAATTTCCCCCCATACAGCTACTTTATATACAGTAAACACATCCCAAAGATTAGCGGCAGAAACGAGTTATGAATAGTCAAAAATAACGGTAAAGCAATTAATTGGACAGAAAGAAATAAAATCAACACTTGTAGCCTTTTATTTATTGCAAAAGAATAAAGCAACAGATTTTGAAAAACAGGATATAAATTCTTGCACACAGCAAACGTGAAATACAACCTAGTAGGTTTTTCAAGATATCATGTAATGTATAACCTATTCTGTACTACACAATGTGCCACGTCTGTAGTGTCCTTCGGAATTATGAGTCGTACACTGCTAAAGTAAAAAAAAAACAACAAAAAGTTTAATCTGAAAAGTTTATCAATTAAATATAATAAATGCATCTGAAATAATGCACGTCTATTATCAATGTTATCACGCATCCGTGAGTAACAGAAGCGTAGGGGTGTGTCTTCCAGCTCATTTTAAAGCACGAATTGCAGTACAGTACGTTTTTATCTGTGCTGTCAACAATACTGCATTTCGGGAAACACATTTTTAAGAAAAAAATGTTTTTTATTTAAAATAGAATAATATTTTAATGTATTATTAAACAAAATAATGCAAACCTGTTTTGTCAATAAGTCTATTACTTTATAATTCGTTTTGACTTTTTGAATGGCCAACGTTAACGTTTATAGACACAGTACCTTTAGGAACCAGCGAAAATCTTCTCCCTCCGGCCGGACATTTGTGATATTTTCCAAAGTAGCTTTAAACTGCAGACCAAATTTCTGAAAACAAAATTAAATTATATATAGAAAATATAATGCAAATAATACCAAGCTACTTAAATTGACACATTTCACTAGTACTTACCACCATCTTGAACTTTCTCACTGGTGAATTGCCGTATTTTTTTACGTTTATCTCTATTGGTTAGGCTGTGTTACACTAATGTCTTTGCGTAATGACAACATGAATCTCCGAATATACGCCACGCTTTCTGCTTTCTCACCTGCGCCCTCTAGTAAAAATAGGGACACTTGATTTGAAAAATCGACTAAACTAATTTTTCTGTCTTGAAATAGCGGCAGTACTGAGAAACTTTAGTATTGTAATTGTTTTGTTGTTGAACTTCGTGATTGTTGCCCTTAACCAACAAAACGCAAAACGTTCATTTGAATGAAAATGATCAAGTAAGGGTGTTGTAACATCGACGCATGATGTTGATTAATAATCTCAGAATATAATTAAGTGACTGCAGGACAACTTAAAAAGTAATTATTTAAGAACTTTTGAACTCGTTTTATTTTATTTTTTGAAAATCCTACTGGTCTCTAATTTACAGTGCCTAGGTCTTTTCTGAGATTCATAGCTTTTGCACTTCGAAAGGCTTGTATTTTCCTAAAAGATTAATAAAAACAGCTATTTCCATCTTCTAATACAATGGTCATATCCCTTATCCTAAGGGAACCACCGTTTAAAAACCGCTCGTTTTTATCTCTAAATCACCGTGTTAATTGATGCCTTTAACTGATCTGCTCATTTTGGTTTTTCATATACGGTACTTAGTTCTGCACTAAGTCCTAAGTTTCAGAAATACTCCACTTCAAACAGAATGTTTCCAACATCAGCATTACAGAACATGAATCCTCCACTCTTCAGCTCGGTCACTCATATTTCTGACTAAACAGCGAGTCATCAATTTATGATTAACACACAGCTGGGGATGACTGCATCACATACTCCAATGCCAAGTTCCATTTCTTTCTGCAGTGGACCAATTGATTATATACAATACATGGAGGTTCTGAAAACCTGACATAAAGGAATAATTTGGTAGAGAAAGAAATTACAATTTCAATTCAATGTTCTAATGCTGCGAGCCCACCTAAACCAGGGTTAGGAACCACTGCTCGAGCCTGATCTCGTTAGATCTCAAACGCCAAGCAAGGTTTGACCCAGTTAGTGACCTCTAAAATGTGCTGCTCCAAGTGGTGATGTGGAAGAGTATGTAAAACTCTTCCTTTTAAACCATAATTTTTTTAAGAAATGTCCCAAGATGGCAGCTGGAGACATTGTGGAGACAGAAGGTGCCATCTTTCGAACATGTCAAACCGAGGTCCTGGCTTCTAGATCCCAACACCCTGAATTCCACCATGAAATTGCACAATTGGGCCAAACTACAGCTCTCTGAAATTTAGATGATGATTCACTTTCTTTGTCACCTTATCAGTTATGTAGTGAGGCTGCTGCACATTACCCTCAAGGGTTCCCTTCTATATTTAAAACACTTTGGGATGTATTGGGATAAAAGCCACTACAAACAACTAAGATAACCGCTTTAATAATAGAGGCTCAAATAAACCTAATTGAATTTTTACATCTCCTGTTCGTTGTGACAATATGCAAGCAGATTGTCAATTTCTACAGAACAAATTATTTCATCACACAAAGGAATATGAGACGTTTTCATTCATTATTTTATTTAAAATAAAAAAAGTTTCCCCAAAGCAATGTACAAATAATCCAAAGCAAGCACACACGAATCATAAGAAATATCTTCACTCTTAGATGGGTTTGATCTTGAAGTGCAAACCAATGAGACTGAAGACAAGACATTTAAGGTCTTGAACCAGGTAGTAAAATACTCTGAGCCCCTCTGGATCCCTGAAATAAAGGAAACATTTATTGCACCACACACACCACATCATCACCATTATGAAAATAGGATATTCATGACAAATGTGCTAAAATAAAATATCTTTATTCCTGAACTAGGATTATTAGGGGACCTGATTTAATTCCAAAGGACTAAGAAAGCGAACCCACAGAAAAGTGCATTTAAAACCGAGAAAAATGACTCACAAAGGGCTGTGCAAATCAGCAAAATGGCTGGATGAGATCTGCACAACAACTACAATAAATCAAAGGCACTAGATGGGTGAAATGACCTCCTCTTGTTAATAATCATGTGGTCTTAAACTATAAAATGAATTATACCTGCTGTGCACAAACTATAAACATTTATATTCAAGTATCACAAACATTTTCCACTACAATTGTTTTAAGGAGTAAGGATTGTTCATTTGTATGTTAAAGTCAGTAAGATGAATGCTATAAAAAATGCAGCACATTGACATTTTGAAATGATCTGATTTTAAAGAAAACAAATATATTTTAAGGATATTTGTAGAAAAGGTGAAACTGCAGAAAACATAAATTGACACATATACCACGTGTAAAAAAATATCACATATTTTACAGGGTCTTCACAATACCTCAAACTAGATACTTACTTGGACTGGTTGACATCAATCAAGGACCCAATCTTGGAGGTTGTGAATGAAATGTGTTCATCTCCTATTACAATCTCCAGCTCCTACAAGACATTTAGCATATGAATTAGGAAAGTTTAAGTTAAACCTCACCTACTGAGCAAGCCTCAAGATATAGACTTGGATTTAAAATATTGTACCTAGCTAAAAGACCATGATACCAGTCATACACGAAGCACCAGCCACTCGTCCATTTCAATACTTTCAATCCAACAGTGCTACTGAAGAGACTGAAATTAAAAGTTTAACATCTAAATGGCACATTGAAACAACAGCTATCATCCATAACTGCAAGGCAACCTTTTTCCCCATTAAGGCTCGTAGGAGTATGGAACAAGCTGCCCAGCCATGTTCTCAAAACTAACACCTGGCTTCTTTCAAAAAGCAACTGGATGAGATCCTCAGATCACCAACCAAACTAAAAGGACTAATGCTGCTGCCATTTACCATTACTTATTCTCATATCCCATGTCTGTGGTGCACTTTGTGTCTCTCTCCAGAAGTACTCTTCATAAATCTAAACCCAGGCAGATGCTTTGATAATCAAGTATCACTTTTTTGCCAAAGTGGAAGTGAAATTAAGCAGGATATGGAATCAAACAAGAATACTGAGATGTAAAAAAGGACCATTTGTTAGATGACCAGAACACAGTGGTACAGTGGTTAGCATTGCTGCCTTGGAGCACTGCGGCCCTGAGTTCAATTCTGGACATGGGGTGCTATCCGTGTGGTTTATTGGCTTCTTGGAAATTGGCCCTGTGTGCAAGTTTCCACTTGGCATCCTGTCCAGCGTGTATCCTGGCTTATGCCCGCTGCTTTCCATGTTAGGCTCTGGCTCCCCTGCAACCGTGAATTAGATGAAGCAGTTAGAAACACCTTGAAGGAAAACAGAAGTACACTGACCTGTCTGCCCACTCTGTCAGGTGGTGGCCACAGTGCATCATCTTCCTTAGTGATCTCACTGTCATCTATTATCCTTTTCAGTTCCTCCATCACACTTTTGTGTACATATGCCTTAGGAAAAACAGAAAGGTCATTATAAAGCTTCAGTGCCTCATGATATGCCAATTTTATCTCCTCATTCTTAACAAATTGATAAGAGAATGCCCTCTAATGCTAATGTAGATGACCGCAAAAAAATTGAATACAATTTGTTTAATCGCAGAAAATGAACAGTTAAAAATACTTCCTAAAGTATTTCATAATGTAAGATAAGTCTCAGGCATACACACCTCTTTTCTGATCATGACATCGTTCTTGTAATTGCTGTTGTTGGCGTATCGTAGCTTCCCTGTAAAAAATGAAAATAAGTTGCAAAAACCGTAAGTCTCACTTAAAGAAACAAACACTCCTGATCTTTTCGTATTTTGAAAGCGTGCAGTGCTTCCGCTAGGAAATCGAGGTTTTTCAAGAATACCTTCAGACGGGAAAAATGCAATTGCCCAAGAATGATATCAAAACATGTATATCACAAGTTTCCAAAGTCGTGAGGAAATACTGCCACAGAAGGTAATTTTTTAAGCATATCGTGCAATCATGTATTACTTCGGTTAAGTTTGTATCGGTTTTTGCCTAGTGAACTTCGCGTTCGTTTTGATTTTATCGATATATTCTGAATAAGTAAACAGGGCCTTTCAACATCGGCACTTCATGGTATCATTCATTTTCTGATTGGCATTTTCTCTTCATTGTTTCAGAAACAAACTTAAGATTATTATATCTAAGCGAGATGGGGTACTAAAAGCGTATCATACGGGACATATTTTCACCATCAGAGCTGGTGAAAGTATCCAGCCTCAAATACCTAAATTAACATGGTGATTCAACCACATCCACGTTTACAGTGAGAATCCCTCAATTGGTACCCCGACGATCAACTTCTATATTAGGATTCAGGACTTAAGTACCGTATAGGCCCAAATCCACAGCTACTCAACTCTCGGCCTCTTTTTCTGACTTACCATCGGGTCGAAACTCAAATTCCAGAAACTCGTGCCCAAATTTCCCCTTATGTCCCACATAGTATCTCAGGTAAAAGTCGCTCGACATTTCTCAGCGTAGCACAGTGCACCGTTCAACCGGGAATCACAACGACACACACTGCTCAGCGCTCTCCCTCACAACGCCCGCGTACTGAGGGCACAGTTTACTGACGTCACCCAGGCGGGTCGCTCTATAATGACGCCACGAATAATCAAGAATGGGAGATTGTGTTCTTTCTTTTGCGTTTTTCCAGTTAATATTCTAGCAACAAACATTACTGTGAATATATTATGGAGAACACGGTTGCCTTATCTAAACGTTTTCAGAATAACCTACGATTATTCCGCGAAGAGAAATAAATATCACAGGCACGTGCTACTACACTTTTCTTATGCTGGAATGGAATAACCTCCGGTCCAATAGGGGGCAGTTTAACGTTTATTGGCGCAAACAACCCATTTGAAGAACAGACAAAAATATGAATAATAGGGCGCATATAATTTAGAAATAAATGCAAGACCTTCATGTAAAGTCGCCACCTCTCTTTGTATAGTTCTTTGGTCATGGATTTGATTCAGACCAGGAAACCCTTGTGTGTGAAGTTCACATGTTGGCCATGTGGCTTTTCTCTGTGTGCTTTAGTTTCCTCCCACCTTTCAGACTGTGAATGCCCTGCAATGGACTGGTGAGACGTACCAGAAATAAACAGCTTTCTGGTAATGCGTGCCTGCACAGAAAGTTAATTTACAGTATGAGTAATAAAATAATAATCAATATATTATAAACATTACTCAGTCACGGGTTAAAAAATGTAGCAGACTTTGGTTGTATTCTTCTATCAAAACCAGAAGAGATAGCTAATCTTATTTACTTTACAACTTGCAAACTGAAATGGCTGGGGTCATGCTTACATAATCAGGATTGATGATTACATTCCAATCAGTTCTAAATAAGTGTGTGGTTTTGATCTCTTGTTCAAATGTCATTTGCCATATACTGTACTATTTCCGATTATCTTTTACGAGGGGCATTGTTGTGATGAACCTCTTTTTCCTCACCTAATGCCATATCATGGAATAATGGGAATTAAAACATTTTTAAAGAGCAGTTTATTTGAAAGTCTATTAGATAATAAAGGTTTTGTCCATCTAAGATTCTGAAGCTCTGACTCTTTTGTCAATTTGTTATATAAATTCTACTTTACAGAATACCCAAAAATAGTGTCTCCCATCTGCAAATTATAGTAGCTCACTGTGAAATTCAGAAGGTATTGAATGGCCCAGCTCCAGGTCTTGAAGACCTGTAGCATATGGCATAGTTCAGATCTTAATCCGAGATCTGCTGATTTGAGTTTTGTTAGTCTCCAGAAGGGCTGCTTCCACACAATGTTAGAGACAGCCTTGAGCTGTGCAGCACTACATACGTGCTCATTCATTCAAGACCTTGTGAATGTCATTTTTTCCTCCCTTTTCACCATGGCTTTAAGAGAATAATTGAGTTTATAATTTGTTTCACTAGGATAAATGTTGTTTTTACTTTTGACTTCCCTTGTGTATTACGAATGCCATTTTACAACAGCTTGAGATTCTTGAAAAAAAGCTTTTTAAATGAAATTAAAATGGTATCATACTCAAATGTGGGTGTGCTTCATGCACATCTTACTTGCTTTTTCCACACTGTCATTTATTCCCAGCTTCCCTCAGACACAGCAGAAATATTCCAGAGAACATGACCCCTTTGAGTGTCCTGAAAGTACTGTATCTCCACAAAAAAACCCTCCCACACATCTTCAGGAGCTTTAGAAACTGCAGACTCCTAGCAGCTCTGGCATGGCTAGTTGAGAAGGAAATGTGAGTTTTTGTTGTTCAAAAAATGACAAGCAAACATTTGTATAAAATCTTTATTTTTTGTTGTTTAATTACACTTGACGTGTTACAGTTTGGCTCCCTGTATGTGCCCATCTTTAAACTTACAATCCATTTACACTATAATACATTGGTACAAGCAGGGGGTGGGGGGAGAGGGTAACATGTCATCATGAGGAAGATTCAACACTTAAAACTCGGCATTCCTGATCAAAGCCACCCATTAATACTCGGGGCAGCCACTGCTTTTCACAGTGAAAGCCACTTCAGCACACCCCACCCTAAAGCTAAAATCAGGAGTGCAGACATTCATACAGGACAAAACAATTCAGTCCTCTGGTCTTCTCTGCTACCACTACCATGTCAGCTTCAGGGTCCCAGAACTGTCCCTGCATATTGCTCCCTAGCATGTTCTCACAGCATGATTGCCTGCACATTCACGAACACAGTCTTTATAAATCAAGGAAATGTTACTTATAGCCGGCAGCAGCAGAGTTTTTTTGGCTTTGATATCCAAAGCTGTTGGTGGCCGCAGGGTAGCAACTAGTTGCTGCATAAAAAAAGCTGACAGTGTGCTATTGCTTGCAGATGCACCCCTACCAACCCTCCCCCATAGCCAGGAGTCTCAGCCAGCACCAAGAACAGTTTATTATCCAACACAAAGGAGGTACAAATTCTCATAAGTTTTCTTAATTGCACCAGAAAAGCTCTTTATAAGAAAAGCTTTATGAGAATATTAAATGACACATATAACCATTGCCACAAATATTTATGTACACTGATTTCTAGAAAAAAAAATGCACCCAGAAAAGTGAGGATATGTTGTACCAGAGGTTTCACGTTGAGGCAACTTTTCAAAGGTTTTTGCCAAACAAAGCTAATGTTACATTTTTTTTTCTCCCTGGCCAATATATGGGACACATGTCCCTGTACACAAAATACAAATACTAGCCTGCTTACTGCGACATCAAGAACCGATTGAACATTACGGGAAAACCAAGTTCTACAAAATACAGAGCTTGCGTTAACACTCCAGTGCAGAGTTAATCACACATGTAACTATGCGCTGAAGAAAACCAAAAATGGGATACTCATCCTTGCTTGGCTATGGTGTACCTGGTTTGTTATTCACAAAATATTTTGTAAGGCGTAATTCGTCTCGTCTCTTGGTAGTCTGAAGCACTGAAGAACAGATTCACTTCAGCACGCCCACAAAACCGTCACCACTACTGGCAAAACTAGTCAACCAAATGTTTAATTGCAGTGTACTTAAAATGCTAATTCAACCAGTATGCATTTACACATTGTAACAGATATCAGCACTAATGTATTGGGATGTAAAAAAAAACACATTAATTCACAACTCATTTCATTGTCTACTCTCTTGCCTTAACGTAGTTCAGAAATCTGGGAGACTACAGTCCCCTCTCAGGGAAAAGTGAATGACAAAGGGCTCTGTAAGGAACATGTCCAGTTCCTTAACAGTAAAAACACAACACTAGCTGATGGAGTGTGCTGCCGTTCTGTAAATATCACTTTAAAAGGTGTTCTTGCTGAACCATTATCATTATAGGCATACATCTACTGAAAAACTATCCTCCTTATTTGAAGGGAAAAAAAAGGAGGCATGCAGCCCTCAAATTATACAGATGCGTATAGAGTGACCTCCTAAAATTAATTTTTTGACTACACTGTTTCATGCAATTTGAAGCAGCCCCATGCAAATCTGTCCTTATACAACCTGCAACACTCGCACAACAGGGTTAAAACTCAGACTCCTAAAACTGACACCAAATATATTTTTTACACTTATGCATATCTGACACTGATAGAGGCCACAGTTTGGATGAGGCTAATCTGGTGCATAAGTGTTCTTTTCACAGATGAGTAAGAATGACTTGGAAAGTGTTACCCCATGATAAAACAATAACACAAAAGGGAATAATGATTAGAAAAAAAAAAGAGATTGTTTAATACTCTACTTTTGAGAACAATTGCCAAATGTTTTTAAGTAAAATCAGTATAGAAACAGAAATGACAACTTTATGTATGTGGTCCTATACAATCAAGGGACAAAAGCCTTTTGCTCACGTATTACACTGGGCTCAATCTGTTTATCCTCCCCCACACATTTGTAAAAGAAATGGTTGAGACCAGAATTCTTATGCAAACATTCGACACTTCAACACATATTACAAATACAGTTCAACCACAGTGCTCTGTTTAAACCTGGCTGTGGGTAAGAATCAATAACCTACCCTGGTTTATAGCAGCAGAACCTGAAGTTAAGAAAAATAAATCTGAGTTTAAAGCAATTACACCAGAATAGCTTTTTGTAGTGAAAAAAAGACTATGAAATGTTCATCTCATAACTCCCAAATGCTTCTTCCCATAGTTTCCCCATAGCATCGTTAACCTCTTAAAACTGCATTTTGCCTCACCACTGTACTCGGCTGGACATTCCTCATCGAGTTTAAAATGACATCCTGATAGTTAACATCACATACTGTTTGGATGTGTGATATTACAGAGCCGGGTATAAAACCAACCATTTCACGCGAGCCTGTGACAAACTATCGGATCGAGTCAGGATCAAAAAGGACTAAAATTACTGCAACCAATTCCAAAAATTACCTAGGGCCTCTCATGATCCTGGAAAACTCGTCAGGAGCAACATTCGTCAAAATATCTCATCACATACCTTAAGTGAAATCTATATTAAATGCAAACTGAGGTCAAGGAAAGCTTTCCTCTGAGGGGGGTCACACATTTGTGCGTTTTTAAACACAGAACTGATATAAAAACATCACAAAAAGTGAAAACTGACCAGAGTTTGATTAGATAAAGAATTACCCTTTAAAAAATAAGGGTGATTATCCTGCTTTGAATGGCTTTCAATGGCCAGTGTAAGCAACCAGTAAGAAATTCCAACTTGTAATTCCAGTTCATTCCAGAAGACATTTTTGGCGAGTCGAACAATTTTCAAAGAATGCTTTAGTCAGATGACAAAGGGGTTTAAACAGATAAGGCAGAAATGCAGACTGACTGCAGAGGAGCTTGAATATGAAACTGTAAACTATTAATAATACTGAGAGAAACCAAGTCTGGTGACATGCATTGCAACATCAGTCCTGAGCAATGGAGTTATGGCACATCTGCACACTGATGTTGATGCACTTAAGACATAAACCCCTGTGGTCCTGAGTAGATAACAGGGGCCTGGGTCTGGTCTGTCCAATTAATGAAAACCATCAGGACTACCGTGTTGTATAGAAGAACAACCAGAAATCACCCTGCTTGATCAAATTACCATCCACGTGGTCGCTGTAAAAGCTATAAGAGGATAAGACTAAGTGAAGACTTAGATCCATGGCATCTATTGTCCATGGTGCAAACAGAACCTCCGCTCTATCTGCAGAACAGCTGGGTTCATAACCTCACAACCAAATCACCAGAGACCAGCACAGATCTCTGAACACCTGGTCCTGGACAGCGACCGGCCTCTGGTTCCATCCCTATTTTCTGAGTGATTTCATTTGACCAATTTCCTGCCAAATCGTTCCTCTCCAGGACCAGAGTTGCAGACCCTGTTGCCCCTTTGCCCTGAGTAATTTAGTACATCTCCCCCCACCCAACCACTATTTGGCTGTCCATCTTGATTCCCGTTTTGGAGTTTTATCATAATATAATAGCTGGAATAAGCCACTATGCCTCACCCTGGAGGGGTCAGGACTTTTACTGTCGGCAGGGTACTGTTAATGGGACACCTGGAGACAGAGAGGTGCCTTCGAAAGCTGCAACTGCAAGGCATGACTACTTAATGTGACGAGTGAAGCTCTCCTTTCCCCTGCTCTCTAGGAAGCGGGTCCCAGCAGATGAGTCTGCCACACCAAAAAGGCCACAGCACAATTTTACATGGACTAGATTCCACTTTGTTTTACCTGGCTCAGCTGTGATGTAGACAGCCAGAGCAAACACTTGATTCACAATGGTCTTTAACAATCAGACAATACTGCTCTGAATGGGCAGACTGAAGCTAGTGTCATTGTCTACACCTAGGAAAAGGAGAAGCTGTCACATTCCACTCAACTGTAAGGCTGCATAAAAGGGCACTGGGCTGGCCTTCAGATCTTCAATGAAGGATGGGCAGTTATCTTCACAGGTTAAACTGACTCCTCCTTTGTCTCCAAAAAAAAACAAACAAGACTGAACTCTGACTTTGGATGTTCCTCTTTTGTCCGAACGTGAACAAAATTCATTAAGAAGCAACCTGGAAGGCGAAGCTTTGCACACTCCAGGGCGAGACCACACTAGCAGACTGCAGGCAAAGCCAAGAGCATGTGACAAGAGGCTGGCAGGGACAGACGCAGATGCTGTTGACCACAAACCTTCAGAAGAAAGGGTAGCGACAAAGTACCCGAAAACAAGTTTAACGCCCAACCCAAATTTCAAGCTTAGACTAAAAAAAAAAGCTTTTTCTCAGCAACCAGCAACAGAGGACAGTGAAAGTGTATAGCATATTAGTGTTGGTGCATTTAGTCTACACTGTTCACAAAAAGTAAAAAAAAAATATATAGCAGGCTGGGCCATAGACTGGGCCATAAGCAGCCAGGCTCCACTGCTACCCAGCTCACCCAACATTCCTCCCAACTAATCCATTGTTGTAACCACAAAGAAAAGGCAAAAACCAAAAATAAATCAGAAGCAAGTCACTTTGTCTTTGACCTAGAGCTGTCCAAGTACTAGGGTTTTTTCATTTAAAAAATAAAAATTAAAGGCCTTTTACTGTTTTCTTTTTTCACTAAATACAGTGTGGCTGACTGGCGGTTATGTACAAAGCTATCCCTCCACCCTCCTCTCCTCTCCCTCGCTCTCTCAGAGAGAGATGCTGTGAGGTCAGTGTGGCCGGCTGCTGGACTCCGAGGCCTGTCTCTTCCGAGGCGTGCTGTACCCATTCAGACAGCCGTTATGTCTCTTTGTCAGTCCGCCATTCAGAATGTCCTGGATGTGCTGCACAATGAGGTTTATGGCCACTGGAAAGAGAAGAAGAAGAAACCTTTCATTATTGCGCTGTGATATCACTATGCATCACTGTACCCTGCCACCCCACCATGGGCATGATCAACTGCTAAAACAAAACTTGCATTTGAGCTCAAGCAGTTCCAAGAAGGAAGATAAATTCTGTTAAAGGTATTCCCAGATGGCTACATACAGTAGGATGAGAATGATGACTGTAACCAACATAGCCAAGAAGGCCTCCATTTTGGTACATTTGTGGTCTACCTACCTTCACAGCTCTGATCAACAGCAATTAAGCCTATAAAACCTACCTAAAACAACTGTTGGAAGTGAAATGAGCTGTTGTAGTTTTGTGATGCAACATGGAATCGGTTTTGTTTTCTACAGAAATTATTCAAGCACAAAAATCTTTGGAGACTGCCACGTACTGAAGCACTAAATATATTGAACACAAATACAAAACAGAGGGCCAGAATGAAGCTGGTCAAGTTTTCACTGACATTTTGCCTCAGGAGAATTATCCTTTTCAAGGAGAAAGCAAATCTTTTCTCAGAACACAGTTTATACTTGGCCTTCGCCAAGTTATCAGAATTCAGGCCAAACAAAAAACATCTGCCATAGATTGTAAAACACAAAACTCAATTTTATCTTCCATCAGCTGAGACATCCACAAACCAGAGAACAAAAGTGGAAACCACATGGAAGAACACAGGTGGCACTTTACGCAAAGGATTGTGGGAGTTATGGACAAGCTATGGAGTTATGTTGTTAAAGGCAAGAGGCCAGGATTTTAAAAAGGCTGGACAAGATCATCAATTTGATTAGATATCACAAAGGCCAAAATGGGTTAAATGACTCATCTTTTTTAAAAAAACTTTCTTATCCTTCCAGAACAACTGCTCACTAAACAAACAGTCAAATATACAAATAAACTGAATATGCCTTAAAAGTCAGTGACCACATAACAGACCCAACTTAACATTTACACATTCCAGTCTCAATTATTTTGTCTAATACTAGCAGACAGTCGTAGCTGTAAATACTGTCTAGGCATGCTGACATTGTTTCCCTTATGACTAAAAGGGAGTTTGGCCCCACTGTCGTAGTTTCTTTGAGATTTTTAACCACATCGAGTGTCCGCAATGCCACAGCTTTCATGGAGTTTAGGGAACGGAGAATAACAGGTCCTTACCAAGGTTATCTGCCCCGCGTGGGATAATCACATCTGCATACTTCTTTGTCTGGAATTAAAGAAAAATTGACAAGAAGGGATTTGAAATAGATAATCTTTCACTCCATCATTGAGACCACAAAGAAAAGAAAAACAAAGCACATTTAGCAAAACAATGTTTTTCCTTTCAATCTGAAACTATTCTATCACCCTGAAAAACAAGTTTGGATAGGATTCTCTGCAATTAATCTTCAATCACAAACTCCACCTATATATTCACAAAGAAAATTACCCCAATTTTACCATTAAAACAAACAGACTTTTCAACAATAAAGTCAGACTGAACAGCTGGCAGTTGATGTCCCTTCTTTGTTACAGAGAGCCTTGAATAAGTAAAAGCGCTTGTTCAAGGTCAATTTTCTTCAAAAATGCTTCAAATTCCTATGTATTCAAAGTACACACTATTCGTAGATAATGGGACACCCTGGAAAAGCAAACAATGTGCTTCAAATTTCAGAGTTTCAGAAATAGTTTAATAAAACATGGTTAATCAAAATGAATTATTCCATATAAAAGCATCTGACTGCTGCATTGTGCAGCAAACAGGTCCAGTGGGGAGAGCACTCTCAGCTGTGGAACACAGTATAGGATACAGCTCATGAGAATACAAAGCTAATACTAACGGCAGCCACACAGTGGCAAAAAAAAGTGTAGAATTTCAGGTGGAACACAGTAAGCATTTGGAGGTCTCTGGCTGTGGTCAGGGATCCTAACTCCTGTACATAATAATAATAATATTATAATAATAATAATAATAATATGTTGCTTTATTAGCCCTATACAATTTCTTTCATTAGGAATTCATCTTTTCGCATAACCTGGCTTGCTCTCCATGAGACAGACACACAGACAGGGAGAGAAGCTTGTGGTCAGAGCGCAGGGTCAGCCATTGTACAGCGCCCCTGGAGCAGTTGGGGTTAAGGGCCCAACGGAGTAGGATTCCTCTGCCGGCAACCTTCCAGTCACAAGCACTGATCCTTAGCCACAGAGCCACCACTCCGCCCTATCATTGGGACTGATCTATAACTTGACGGGGCATATATTGGTCTGATCTGTATTTCAGATACGTAGCTTTGTCAGCATTCTTAGGCTGCAAAGGAACAGGCAAAGGTTTATTCCATGCTGAAATAAAAAGAGAAGAGTAACAGTTTCAGATGAAACATTGTCTGTTTGTTTTTCTTTTTCACATGGAATAAATCTTGACCTATAATTTTGCCCCATGTCTGCCAACAGTAGTATAAGTAGATGAATCAAAAGAGATATCAATATCCTGAATGATGCTGGGGTACATCTATGAAAGAAAATGCAAAACAAAAAAGCATGGCAAAACGCATAAGGCCTGGAGCGTTATCTAGAATGAGAGTCTAAAACATCATCAATTAAAATTGAAATAGTATTTTAAATAAGTAATCCTCACAGTGAAAACTATGTACAACTTGACAAAGGCTTCACAGGAAACCATATTAGAATATTTAACTTCCAAAGGATAAAAAAAAGGGGTTGACTGAATTTAAGTATTTTTTCACCACTGTTACTTTCACTGACAGCTTTTCAGAAGAAGGTCAGAGACTAATTCCAGAGGCACTCATCTCTTTCAAAATCAAACTCGCAGTGCGGAAGGTGAGGACATCACAGGCAACAAAGAACCCAGCGCCACAGCAACCCGATGTCACCAGGCCTCAATCTCTACATTGCCTGTCGCTCACTCTCCTCCCCCCCGAGAGACCTGGAGTCTGGCTCAGGCACAGCTCTGACAGGAAGACCGGAAGAGAGGCCAGGCCGAGGGGGCAGTACTCACTGGCAGGCAGAACTCCTCGAAAGCTGGCTTGACGAAGGTGATGTACTGGGTGAGCACCTGTTCCAGGTCGCGCCCTCGTTCGCTGATGTCCCGCAACACTGCGAGACAGGACCGGAGAGAGAGTCAGACAAGGAGTGCGAGTGTGTATGGGACGTCTTTGGCAAAACAGCAGCCAAAAATAAAGTAGCAATTAATTTACCATACTCTAGCCTTCCTGCATATTAACACAGAGGTCCCCAATCCTAGTTTTGGAGGGCATGTTGGTCTACAGGTTTTCAGTTCATTCAGTTCACAAGGTATGCTTAACTGCAAAGGTTTGTCACTTTCTGTTCTTTTTGGAAACTGGTGTTCTAAAAAGACCAAAACCACCTCTCCAGGCCTCCTTACCCTACTACCTATTTTCCCCAAGAACCCAAAACTGTGGAGACCATTAAACACAAGGTAACAGCAGATCACATCATTTCTAAAGAAACTCCCCAACCATGTTTTACGCGATCTGACGCAGTGCTGCAGCCCCCTGCAATGACTTTAGGGGTTTCCACTCATGAATTACTGCTCAATATTCAATAATGCTTGATTTTTCTGCAATAAAATGATGTTCTTATACCGTCAGAGCGCTTGGAGAAGAAGGTATAGTTGTCAGGCTTTTTCAAAGCATGGCAAGCTAAAACAATCATAAAAAAGAGAAAGGTTCTAAGATTAAATACTGCATTGCCATCTCTAGCAATAGAGAACCAGATACCCCAGGTATTCACGATTTAATACCTTCCGTTTTGTATTTAAAATCCTTGTGTGCTGATAAAGTGCTGTGGGTATCATTCACAGGACATCAACAGTTTGCATAAAAAAACCCACAAATATTAAGAACCTGCAAAAGAAAACCAGGGATTACAGCGAGTCTCTACACCCCTACACTGACAGTCAGCCCTGCCCACTAGGCGGCGCTGTGGCAGTGAGCCCACCTCTCCGTGACAGCCGTGTGTCTGCATCGGTGTCCACAAACAGTTTCATCTGGAACAGGTCCCTGATCTCCTGGGAGTAGAACATCAGGATCCCCTCGAACAGTACAACGTCAGCCGGGTACACCGTCACACTCTCCTCTTTCCTGCAGTTCCACAGTGCCCGGGGGAAAGAGCAATGATAGTCAGAATGCTTCCTCTCCCCTCCTATGGTGCACACTCCTCCTAGGAATCCTTTAACAGCTTCCTGAGCAACCCCCTTTCTCCGCCAACTATGAGCCAAGCAATACGTTACTGCAAACGGCTTATATACTCCTTCCTCCTCAAGCGTGGGTTTATGTACCCGCAGTGTCAGTCCCTCAAGCCCATCCTGAGTTCTCAAAGCTTCTAGAACAGTGCTTCTCAAAGTATGGTACGCGTACCACAGGTGGTACACCATATGACCCTGAAAATTTGTTGTGTGCACTGAAAATTGGGATGGGTTTTCATATTTTCTATTTTGATAAAATTAGCTTGTGTCGAATATGCAGCCTACGTACTACGATACAACGTGTGCTAATACTTAAGTGGACACAAGAGCTACTATGTAATTCTATACCGTTGTATAGGAATGCGTCCAACGAACGGAAGTGACCAATTGTATTTAAAAAAAGTTTAAAAAGTTAAAAAATCTCCAGCAAATAGGGTGGTAGGAGAATGTGGATGGTTTTGGAACACTGGCAATCTTGTGAACACAGGAAAGCGTGATAGATAACAGAAAAATATTTAAGGACTGTTCTAGGTTAATTTGAAAAAAATACATCGAGCGTCTCTGTGTTTTGCTCTCATGTGCATGAAATAAAAACTTTTTAACTTCTGAGACGGAATTCTGAAACGGGAGAAAATGCAAGCTTGCGGATTGCTAAAGCAGGTAAACCCCAAACTGAAGAACTTTCTTTACTGTTGGCAAAAGAGCTGACATGTTTTATGTGTGGAGAAAAAGCTGGTAAACATCTCGACCTGCTGCCCCCTTCGAAAGACACAGTCACTCGTAGAATTATTGATATGGCAGATGATGTCAAAAGTACGCTGACAGAGCGAGTTAAGATGAGCAGATGCTTTTCAATGCGATTAGATGAGTCTATAGATTCCTTTGATTTGGCCAATTTGCTCGTTTATGTTAGAGTTTGAGGGTATGTCCCAGGAGGACTTTCTGTTTTGTAAGCCGCTACCAACAGGAACTATAGGAGAGCACAAATTTCAGCTTCTGAATGAATGTATCAAAGTGAAACATTCTTAGAGGCCAGACGTTTCTCAGTGCGTCACCAAAACACAATTTACATTTTATGCACATCAATCACCTTACTCCCCCACTTCATCCCAGCTTCCTGAAGGTTAATCCGCTCAGTAACTGTAAAAGTACATGCTTTTGTTAATTTTTATAAAATTCCTTCATTTTATATGTGAACATATTTATATATTAAATCTATATATGAAAGGATATCCTTAATTTTCCTGTGTAGTATTGGATTTATTTTCTATCCTGCTATTTCATTATTTAACATTTAAATAGATTTACACGATGTATTAGGTATGCATAGATAGAGCATGGTAAAATGCAGTTTTTTTCCCTGCATACTTGTTTATTGTTATCCATGGATAGTTCAGGAATGTAGCCCTTAAGAATAGGAAGGACTGGGTGTACTAATTAAAAGGCAATTTTCTAACATATACCCCAGTCCTAAATGGTGACCTCAGCTCGTCTTGACACTGACAGCAGGCGGGATTCGGATTCCAGTAGTGGAAAAGATACAGCGCTCGCTGGTGCCCACCTGGAATGGGTAACAAAGTCGTACACGGGGATCTGCACCGTTTTCCCTTCCATGATTTCCCAAAGGGTCTTCAAGATCAGCTCGTTGTCGAAAGCGTCTGGACAAAAAGAAGAAGAGTTAGAGAGCAGCCAAGATGAGCCCCAGCAGGTGGAAGGGAGTGGATGGCCTTGCCAGTGCTGTTCCATTACCATTGTGTTTGTGGCTTCTGGGATTCCAAGGCACAAACACAAAGGAAAGTACAATACGGCATAGTAGAAATATTATTCATTTCTGGCACTTCTCCATCTCTAAATGCACACTCACCGTCTTGTAATGGGTTTAGTGTGTTGAATATTTGCAATATTAGATGCACAAAGGGTTATGGGAGTGTAGAACAAGATACCCAGCCATCTTGCTCAAGAAGCAATGCTTCTGTGAAATGTGCTTCTTTCAAGAAGAATGGCTGGCTGAGGTGCATCAATAAAACTACCCACTACCACCAAACAGGCTCTATGGACCAAAAGGCCACCTTTTGCTTGTAACCTTTCTCGCATTCCTAAATTTTACAGATTTTCATATTGTTTTCAACCAGCAAAAATACTTTAGAACATCAGGAGGCTCAATTAACAAAGACACTATACAAGAATGAACAGAGAAAACCCTACCACTAGGGAGGATACCGAATAACTGAATGGGGAAGAAAATCACCCCTTGGTCTCTGCATAAATTCTGCTGCTTTAGTATATATTTTTATATTTTGTTGAAACAAATCCAACTTACAAATTATTACAGCATTCAATTCATACACTGTAAAAAAAACCATTATAAAACACTCAGAAAATCAATTTAGTAAACTGCATTCAGATTCAATACATAATTTGCAAATTTCATAGGATTAAAGTGCCCTATAAATTAAAAAGTAACAACCTCTTCCATGAGGCATTCAGGGGCCTTACCAAGGGCAGCTGTTTTTCAAGCTACAAACTATATAAGCACTATGCAAACAAACAACAAGTTCTTCCATTTTATTTCCCAAAATTAAGGTCAGGGTAATTAGCCTTTCTAGAGAAAGCAGCTCCACCTTAGATATTAACTATATTACGACAACTAAACAGAAAAGTAAACGTTCTTCGTTATTGTACTGCATGTTTTTTTTCCAGCTGCAGCTAGTTCCCGTTAACCCCAGATCTTCACAGCTTAACACTCACTCCTGAAAAACTTCTCCTCGTTTACAGTCCAGCTGCGGGTGGGCTCTGGCCCTGGGAATAGCACTCATAGCTGGACGCGAGTCGAAGGACCACCTGACGAGCAGCTGCTCTCCGCGACGGGAAGAATGCACTGACTGCAGGAAACTCCTTGCCATTAACTCCAGCTGAATTCCACCCGGATACTGCACCTGAATGCCATACACTGCTGCCTAAGAGACTACGCCAAAGCAACAAGGAGCAACTGCACAGGATTTTCTGCAGCGCTCTCCGAGACTCGGCGACCAGCCGGGATTAAAAGTACAGCGCACACCGACCCAAAATTGGTCTACGCACAGGATATCATGTAGGCCATTCCATTATTTTTCCAATGGATGCATCACAACAACAATACTAAGGAAACTATATTATTAGCAATTCCCTAATCAAACCAGAACTCTGAATGTTAAAATATTTAACAGGGCTTACTGTACACCTTTATGCAGAGGGACTTTTGATAAATAAATCCATTCCATAGTCATGGATATGACATTAATTTTCTATCCCTCCCTTTCACTTTTCAGGTGTCTGTACATTCAATGTGATGTTCAATACTGTAAGCGTGGGAGGATGGAGATTGAGGCTGTCGAATTTGGGAAACTGGGGGGAAAGAAATTAAATATAAAGTTGGAGACTCAAACAGAAATATTTGAGTATAAAAGGTCACAGTGTTACATTCTTTTAACTGCAATTTTACTACATGAACAGTGTTTTTTATTATAAATTAAAAAAAATTATAATAGTTTATAATCATTACTATAAAACTAGGACTTTTTATAAAGCCGTCGGAGTGCAATGGTCAGTCTGGCCATGACCAGAATCCATGAGGTGTTCAAAGAGTTTCCGGACATTATTCTACAACTGCACTGGCTTACCGCCTTACAAACTCATTAAAATGATAAAAGGAACAAGGCAGTTGCACACAACTGCTCAAAGGTAGCAGAAAGTGCCAGTATTACCCTCTACATTACTGGCTGCACAGGACATAATTAATTGGGTTTTTTTTATCCAGAGATCTTTTCAAGTTGATCTCATAGACATACTTTAGTTTTAGTCACAAGCCTGGAGACATCCTAGAAAAAGTGCATTAAAAGGACAATTAGGCACTGCAAATGAAAGACCGAGGATGTTGTGTCCTTCAAGAAAATGAAGGACTGGCCTTAGGCCTTCAGGCATTTACTTTCCATCCCAAGCTCAATGCATGGCAGTATCTTACTGTGCAACACTCAACAAAGACTGCAACCTGCCATCAGCACAAAATTTAGCAAAGTAGTTCAGAGGATAAATGTCCATTACCTAGATTATAGGAAGCGCAGAGTAGAGAACTGCACAGTGGTACAAAATAATTAAGATTGGCAAGATTAGAAGGTAATGAAAACAGACCACTATACAGTACTTTGCTGCATCCTCCAACTATACAGCTAAAGAACATTAGGAAGCACCCATCAAGCCTTCAAAGACAGGAAATGCCAACACCTATTTAAATGTCCCTGCTTCCAAGTCACTGGTCATCCCCACTGGAAAGCACAGCAGCTTCACATGGGGAAATTGTGTTCCGTTACAGACAGTTTTGCCTGCCTACCTGGGTGGTCAAAGTTGAACTGTCCCTTGAGAGCTTTGGCCTTCTGCTCAGGGGTCAGCACACGGTAGAAACTGTCCTGGCTGAGGATGGCCACCTGACGCTGGTGATGGTCAATCTCGTTCTGTCCAAGCAGCTCCATGATCTTCCCACACACTGAGGACTGGAAAGGTCCAGGAAATAAGAGGAAATATGTATGAATCTATGACATTCTTCTGAAAAATTCCAAAAAGATCTGAACCATAAGGACAATACCAAATGTTAAGCACCACCTCTGACTTCAATCCATGGGCAAGGGTAGTGTCTTAGTTACCTATGTATCATTACTAGTCAAAGTGCTTAAATAATTTACCAGTTTCATCAACAATCATTGAAGGAAGATTATATATTATGTGTGAATGTGTTTAGAGTGAATCACAATTCTGGCCATTAACAAACAGGAAAAACTGCCAAAACCCCAAATGAATTGCTAAACACTTTGCATTTTCCTGTAGCTTCCAAAATCATCTATTAGAAACTAGTATAACTACCGAATGAAACAGTAACTGTACACTGTAGCGGTATTCTGCTCTATATCTTTATGACAGTTTTGTAAAGAGTTCAACACAAAGAAGGAAGAACTGAGTACAATACTAACTATAAAACTTAATCATACATTAAAAGCTTAAGTGAAAAGAGAGGGCTTTAAGCATGTTATGAAAATATAAGCTGCAGAGAAAAGTGTAAGGTAGGACTTAGCCCACACCCCCACATTGCCTCGCCAATGAAGATGGCAAATCAGTGCAAGTCATCAAGAGCTGTCTCGCAACAAAAGCAGAAGCTACTGCATTTTGCAACAAGTAGTACTGGTTGCAGTCCAGACCTGCTTCCTCCACATCCTAATGAGGTTCATTACAAGTACAGAACACCCCCCCCACCCACCCCCAACTCCTAACAAAAGGAACTGATAACTCCACAAAAAACTCAACCACTTCTCACCCCCCACAAAAAAATCCTACACAGCTCTATTTCTAGCTCGTTTGTGTTGTTGACAAAGCAGCACGTAACAGTGCCAAAAAACACCCACCTCTCTCCCCCAAGTACCTGCTTGTCTCACACTGTACACTCTCTGGCTCCTGCCAAGAACAACAGTTCTAATGTTTTGCCCTGTTCTCAGGAATGCCACACCCCCGCTGCCGGCAGCACTCGGGTCACGGCCTGCGCACGCACGGCCGCCATATTGACAGTGGAACCAATGGTGGTACCAGCCGAGTGAATTTCAAAGTTTACGGAAACATCCTGCCTGCTTATTTTATGTAGAAGAAAATGCTTACTGGGGGGAAGAATGCTTACTTCACCATACAGCATGGCAATGACCCAAATCCACACCCCAGTGGAACAAAGATCACCAGAAGAAAAAAAGTGAAATGTCTAGGGCCAAGCCAATATCTAGACTTAAACTCATTAAGCATATGTTTTACACAGGGAAGAAAAAATGAGCCAGAATACTCCAGGAATTGAGGTAAGACCTCAAAGTGCCTAAAGCAAAGCTTCTCAAATAGTTATTCTGCTTGGGGAGACCTTCCTTTTTGTAATCCCATGTTTATTCTGCCCTAGATACTTTTGCAGTTGGTACTCCAGGTCTAATTATCACTTCTATTACATGTAAGGTTAAGGAAACAGGACATATTGGTCTATAATGACTTGGTTCGGTTATAGTCAGCCTTTTTCTGGAAGGTTCTTCGTTAGCAATTTTGCTGACAAAGGTTATAATTGCTGTCTTCAAAGACTGTTGCAACAGTTTTGTTGAACTACTGTATGAATAAGTACAAAAAACTTATCCACTTAACACTTCATTAATACTACTGAGTGAAGAGCTTCATCTCCGTTCTGCCAAGGGAATGCTTTCAATTGTTTCCACAGAAAACACTTAAGTGAAATAATGAATGTATCAGCTATTACACAACACAAGAAGCCAAATCATACCATGAACACTGTTGAGCTAACACGGGAAAACTGAGCCTTCTCGCACCGAAAATAACCACAAGGCTAAGAAGCCCAGGAGAAATACCAGCTACAATGACTACAAGGGCTTGTAGCAGCTGTTTAAAATGTACCATTAGGGAACATAGGCCACAGCCTATTCACTCAAAGAGGATAATAAACCAAAACTAATACTAGCTGATCAAGACTGCTCACACAAATGTGTCTGACTGCTAGTTGAATGTGTCTTTATTGCAAATTAATAAAGCATTTCCCACTATAACTTTTCCTTTCTTCTAAAAATACATTGCCAAATGGTGCAGATAATCAGAATTAGAAAATACACCCTTTACAAATCCATGAAAATATACAAAAAAGGGCAGCTCCAACTAGAGACCATAGCCACTTGCCAGAAATCATGTTGCTCTTTTACACATTTAAAAAAAACATGCGCAGAATAGGCCAAGTTTTTTTTTTTTTTAAGTGTTCCAGAACAAAAAGACTTGTCTTGTGTTGTAAACAGCATTACTGCATCGTGCGGGTCAGTGACATGAGGTAACAGCCAAGGCAAAATAATTCCAGGCTACCTAGCATGAGCTCATATGAGCACAGTCAGGAAAGCAAACTTTTGTGTGGCTCAGGACCATGAGAGGAATCCTTGTAAGTAGACATTCCTGACTGTAGATTTGTCATATGCAAAGCAGTTCTAGTTCAGGGGCTAAGAAGGAACAGCTGATGTCATCTGAAGACTTGCAGTCCAGCAACAAGAGACCGCTAAGGAGCCACATTTCCAGGACAACAGGATCAATACCATGCACTATTATTAGAAACTCGCACCTCTGCATGCCATCTGATAATTACACAGATACCCTGACTCCTCAGAGCTGAGGGAATGAGAAGATACATGTACTCCACTGTGACTGTTGTCACATCTACTCTAGTCTCGGGATATCAAGGAATAAAAGTACTGCAAAACATGGAGGCAGTAGCAAAGAGTAAATCAAGGAGCAGCATTTTGCTCTTACAAAGCCATGCATATCCATTTCTGTGACACCTACTGTATGTAAAACACTGAGCTTTTGTTTTGCAGATGTTTTGTTTTATCATTTCCTTACAGTTATAAAGCACTTGTCTGGACACTACTCTTGGAAGTGCTTTAGAGGTAATGAGGACTCCCCTCCACCACCACCAATGCGCAGCCCCACCTCGATGATGCGACAGCAGCCATAGTAGACCAGTATACCCACTACACACCAGCTATCAGTGGGGAGGAGAACAGAGTGATAAAGCCAATTCATAGATGGGGATTATCAGGAGGCCATGAGTGAGGCCAAGGGGAAGTTGGGCCAGTTAACACCCCAATGTTTCAAGAATTGCCTTGGAACTTTTAATGACCACAGTCTGGACCTCAGTTTTACATTTTATTTGCACTGGGGCATTAGGAACCAGGCTGACCACAGGGTGAGTGCTACCTACTTTGTAAAGAGATGCAGCAAGAGAAAGGGGTCACACTCCATTGTGATCAAAGAAACACTAAAATTATCAATGAGGAATATTGGTGGTGGTGAGGTGTGAGGCTTAATCTTCTCTACATGTTTGAACTTTTCACCACTAGTTTAAAACACAAAAGGTAGATAGCTTCAGACATGTGAGAATGTAAATCAAACTTAATGACCCCACTGTTTTACACCAGACTATCTCTAATTCAGCACGGAACTGCTGTTCCAGAGTATTTCTTAAAAGCAGTTTGAATTCTGGGTGTTGAAAAGCCTTTTTTGTTGTTCTAATGCAAGTACAGTGAGAAGGGAGAATCTTTTCTTGATCCAGGCATGTGGTATTCTGGGTACTCCTCAATCTCCACTGCATTATTCAGACAAAGGCTCTTCAAGTAGGTGAAGTGCACCTTCTCTGGCACACTGTTTGTGGTTTCCAGCACTATGTAAACACTTGCACTGTATTAACACCTGAAATTTAATTCTTACAGAATAATACCTGCTACATTTCTGTGACTGTTTGTCATGCATGCAGTACTTATCCAGCTCTTAACAATTCAATGACCTTGCAATCTTCAATCCCTTTCTCCAGATAGCGCTGCAAGTCTCCAGCACACAAACAGAGGCATCAGTGACTTGGGTGGTGGGGGATTGGGTATATGAATCGGTCAGTCCCCCCACACATTTTATGGTATTATTCAAAACCAGTATTCTTCAACATGCAGGTGTTGGATTTGCGGACTTTCCCTGCAATTCAAAGTGTCAGCTGTAAATCCAAGCTGGAGGAGATAGTGTAATCATCACAAGATGCTCATGAAAGTGAACTGCCATGTAAAATTAGAAATAAGTGAATATAAAATGAATTATTGAAACCAGAGTAAAAATCATTCAGTTAACAGTGTTCCAATTACAGATGCTTTTATACTTTTTTCAGGGAAGTAACCCCCTGCACTTGGTTTCGCAAAGATGGGTGAATCTTGTGGTATTAAATTCAAATAGCCACAATACAGGATGTGACGATGGAGAAAGCACAACACTCCTACTGTTAAATAGCTTTCATTGTTGTTGAATTTTATAACGTTTTTCAGGTTGACATTTAAGTGCAACTGTGAGAAGTGCTATCCCAGGATGCTGTGTTTGCCATGTGTCCACCTAAAAACATTATAACTTGTTTTAAAGGTTAAAAAGCTGGATCCAAAATCGAAGGAGACAGCCCTAACGGTCAAGCTATCATGCTGCGCTGGAAGAGGTAAAATGTCGTTCTGTTGCCAAAAAGAAAAACTGAATACTTCCAACACAAAAGCTGAAAACTGTGGTCTGTCAGAAACAATGCTCTTCAACTCCGTCAGAGAAAACCACCACAACAGAGCTGCAGGTGGCTCTGGTTTAGAAGACAGGAAATGGTCTCCCTCTCTGCCTGCACGTGCGGCTATCGCCACCGATCTGTTGCACCTTTGAGCTCATGCCTGCATCAGTGCTGTGTGCGACAGCTGGCTCTGCAGTATCGCCAACCAGCCTCTCCAACGGTGCCAGACCAGGCCCTCTCATAAGCTAGCGTAGGCTGACAAAACGCTTGACCTCGTGCCAGTGCTGACTCAACATTCCACAGCTCCGGTCTGAGGCTCTTTTGTGTCCCGCAAAAAGAGAAAACTGCAGCCGGAATGATTGTCTCCCTCTTCCACTGTCTGCCCCCACTTGCGCTGGCTGG